GCGTGCGACCTCACACTGGGCCTGGCTACATTCTCACCAGCCATCATACCATCATATCTCCCACTCATACGTCGGGACGCACCCGGCCACGTACGGGGCCTGTCAACACGCCGGCTAACCCAAAGACGCGTGCGACCTCACACTGGGCCTGGCTACATTCTCACCAGCCCTTATACCATCATATCACCCACTCATACGTCGGGACGCACCCGGCCACGTACGGGGCCTGTCAACACGCCGGCTAACCCAAAGACGCGTGCGACCTCACACTGGGCCTGGCTACATTCTCACCAGCCCTTATACCATCATATCACCCACTCATACGTCGGGACGTACCCGGCCACGTACGGGGCCTGTCAACACGCCGGCTAACCCAAAGACGCGTGCGACCTCACACTGGGCCTGGCTACATTCTCACCAGCCCTTATACCATCATATCCCACTCATACGTCGGGACGTACCCGGCCACGTACGGGGCCTGTCAACACGCCGGCTAACCCAAAGACGCGTGCGACCTCACACTGGGCCTGGCTACATTCTCACCAGCCCTTATACCATCATATCACCCACTCATACGTCGGGACGTACCCGGCCACGTACGGGGCCTGTCAACACGCCGGCTAACCCAAAGACGCGTGCGACCTCACACTATCACTTGGGCCTGAGCATAATCACAATATGAGGGGTACGTGGGGTAGTGCGTATAGCACTGCAAACTAACATTCAATCTCCTTATAAATCATTATACAACCACACAATTAATTAAATATATCATATAATTTCTAATCATACAAACACCTTAACAAACAACTAGCATCCGATAATCCCCCATAATCCCCATGACATCAGGACCTGTCACCACGGTCATTTTAATCTTCCTAGGAATGTAATACTACCAAGGAAGTCCCACAGACAAACCAGGGTCAAACTACCCAATCTTGGTCCAACGGGCCCGCGGGGCCCACGACCTCCAATTTCCGATCCGAAAGTTCCTATAGGTTCTACAAGCTCTAGGATGCACGTCCTGCAAGTTTGGTCTTGATCGGACGGTCGGATCGCTCACGATCACACGATCGGACGGTTACTAAAACCCTAACCCCAGGGTTGGCATTTCCGGAGTATCCGGGACTCCGTTTTACGATCCGTCGAATCCTACACGATCTTGGTAACACCTAGATCAACATATAATAATCTCAGGACCATCCAACGGTCCAAACCCAGCGAACCTGGAAAACACGCGATATGCGATATCCGTTCGGAACTCTAACGGTATCCAAAAAAGATCCGAGCACACCTACGCGCTCGTGACATCGAGAGGATCACAATGGGACAAAAATGCCCCTCAGCTACAGTGCCCACGCGCCGCCACACGCGCCGGCAGCGCGTGGGTGTCCAAAGCGATACCCATCGCCGGAAAACTTCCAAATCGTGAGCCCAGACTCCTACCCTAGGTAATACACCTAATTTGGAGTCACTTTTGTTCTTGGACGTACCCCAAAAACTGACCGGAAGTGGCCGGAATCTCATCCCGAAATCCGGCCGAACCCTAACTCGAAAATCAGATAATCTAGGCTCAAAATCGATACAATCCTACCCAACCATCAGCTAGATCATGCAGAAGGGATGAATTTCCATACCTTGATCGCCAAAAATGGCGGCCGGACGACGGAGAACGAAGCCGGCGAATTTTCTGTCAAAACCGGAGCTTTTCTCCTCGTTTTCCGGCGAAACCACGGCGGCTGGCGGCGGGACCTGGCCGGGGTAGGAAGAGGACGGCGGCCCGGTCATTTTGGTACCGGCCCCGTCGACTTTGGTGGCCGGACGAGCGAACGGCCGGCCAAAACGTGGTCGGCCACGGTGGCTGTCGCGAACCAGAGGAGAGAGAGAGCGACGCGCGGGAGAGAGAGAGTGTGAGAGACGGGGGCAATTCCGTCTTTTTTAACCAAAAATCCATTTTCCAAATATTTACAATTATGCCACTGAGCTTCTTTTGATCATATCTCTCTCGTTACAACTCCGATTCGAGCCCACTACGTGTCTACGAACTCATCTCGCCGTGCTCTACGCAACGGTACATCCGAAATTCCCAAATTCATTCCGGGTAAGAAAATGACTAAAATACCCATCCCTCGGGTAAATTCTTAATTTCACTCAAATTAATTAAAACAGGGGATAAATTTGGAGTCGGGGTGTTACAGACTACCCCCCTTATAAAAATTTCGTCCCCGAAATTTCATACCTGCCACTCCAAAGGGTGTGGGTGCTGGGCCCGCATCTACTACTCGGGTTCCCATGCTTCATCCTCCACAACCAGGTTGGCAGTTAAGCCATTCGCTCTATCCAAACAAGCAGAAGAAGAGAAGTCTCTTTCTTCCACTAAGAATATCCTTCAATAACTGCGGTAATGCTTAATCTTCCTCTGAAAGCTAAACGCTTCCATTTGTGATTTGATTCTCTTCTAGCTCTCCCATGAAGAGAAGTCCAAACTCCTTGACTTGTTGATATCTTTCTTCTTTCTCTAGAATCGATAAGCAACATTGCCAACACGATTCTTTGAGAGGAATGTCAGAAAGGATCATTTTTACCGAATTGTAATCATCATCTTCCTCTCTCTACCATGACCCATTTCTGATTCCGATGAAAGATTTCTGCTCAAACGTGCTCACTGCACACAATCGAGAATTAGCAACATGTTCAGGCAATGGAGGATCTCTAGAAGTAGATTGATCAACTCCATGTCCTCCTGCCCATAAGAACTCTACAAACTTCATCCAACACTACTACTTCTCAATTTAATTTGTCACGACCCTCCTTGGTCGGACTCACAACTCCACCATTCCCATGTAACTTGTCCATCAACTACCTCTGACAATTTCGTCTCATCTCAGCGGATTCAATACTTTCGGCTCTTCCGTTTCCTTCCATAGGATATTGAGATACGACAATTTGGATAGACACGTTTCAAGGAACGTGGCACCCTTAAGTGTACTCATCAATACCCTAAATCCATCCATGTCAAAGAATCCTCCGCATCAAAATGATGACGTCCCGTGACGGAACCCATCATGATCCCACAACTTAAGGATGCACACAAGGTGTGGGGTCCACAAGAAATTGAACCTAAGCTCTGATACCAAGCTGACAGGACCCGTCCCGAATTTCCCGGAACCCGAGACGAACCCTGCGGAGACCCCGGCATCACACCCACGCCGGGTTTACTCCTTAAATCTACGTCCTCGTTCACCATAGAGGATTAAGGGCACGAGACTTTCTGCCGAAAATTCGGCAGAGTCTCCCCTGTAAATTGAACATTCCCCAAAACTTCCACCTGCATAAAACACATTTTATAACCCAACCAGCAGCACGCACAATATAGTCTCATGCAATTTACATAAATGGCCTCCGGCCTTCAGACGATTCTAGCAGAACTACTCACACTGCTTTTAAAATAACTCCATGCATCAAACATGCACAGAACCAATTCAAAATCTAACTATGCACACCTTCGCTCACTCAGTTCACCGGACCAGTCTCAATTCAACCAAGTTTCGGGACCAACCACGAGGTCCGCATCATACACCATGAAACCACCTAAGTGGTGTCTAAGTCGTGGCTGCACCTAGGCGCTATCCCAGGCTGCCTACGTACCCTACTAAGGGATCAAGCCACACGTAGCTCTTTCCTATCAATCCTGGCTCCTGATATCAATTAAACCATTACATCCATATAAATTCATACATTCTCGGGTTTATCCATCACAACACACCAAACATAATCACATAGCTCCCACTCATACGTCGGGACACACCCGGCCACGTACGGGGTCTGTCAACACGCCGGCTAATCCAAAGACGCGTGCGACCTCACACTATCACTTGGGCCTGGCTACATTCTCACCAGCCATCATACCATCATATCTCCCACTCATACGTCGGGACGCACCCGGCCACGTACGGGGCCTGTCAACACGCCGGCTAACCCAAAGACGCGTGCGACCTCACACTGGGCCTGGCTACATTCTCACCAGCCCTTATACCATCATATCACCCACTCATACGTCGGGACGCACCCGGCCACGTACGGGGCCTGTCAACACGCCGGCTAACCCAAAGACGCGTGCGACCTCACACTGGGCCTGGCTACATTCTCACCAGCCCTTATACCATCATATCTCCCACTCATACGTCGGGACGTACCCGGCCACGTACGGGGCCTGTCAACACGCCGGCTAACCCAAAGACGCGTGCGACCTCACACTGGGCCTGGCTACATTCTCACCAGCCCTTATACCATCATATCACCCACTCATACGTCGGGACGTACCCGGCCACGTACGGGGCCTGTCAACACGCCGGCTAACCCAAAGACGCGTGCGACCTCACACTGGGCCTGGCTACATTCTCACCAGCCCTTATACCATCATATCACCCACTCATACGTCGGGACGTACCCGGCCACGTACGGGGCCTGTCAACACGCCGGCTAACCCAAAGACGCGTGCGACCTCACACTGGGCCTGGCTACATTCTCACCAGCCCTTATACCATCATATCACCCACTCATACGTCGGGCACGTACCCGGCCACGTACGGGGCCTGTCAACACGCCGGCTAACCCAAAGACGCGTGCGACCTCACACTATCACTTGGGCCTGAGCATAATCACAATATGAGGGGTACGTGGGGTAGTGCGTATAGCACTGCAAACTAACATTCAATCTCCTTATAAATCATTATACAACCACACAATTAATTAAATATATCATATAATTTCTAATCATACAAACACCTTAACAAACAACTAGCATCCGATAATCCCCCATAATCCCCATGACATCAGGACCTGTCACCACGGTCATTTTAATCTTCCTAGGAATGTAATACTACCAAGGAAGTCCCACAGACAAACCAGGGTCAAACTACCCAATCTTGGTCCAACGGGCCCGCGGGGCCCACGACCTCCAATTTCCGATCCGAAAGTTCCTATAGGTTCTACAAGCTCTAGGATGCACGTCCTGCAAGTTTGGTCTTGATCGGACGGTCGGATCGCTCACGATCACACGATCGGACGGTTACTAAAACCCTAACCCCAGGGTTGGCATTTCCGGAGTATCCGGGACTCCGTTTTACGATCCGTCGAATCCTACACGATCTTGGTAACACCTAGATCAACATATAATAATCTCAGGACCATCCAACGGTCCAAACCCAGCGAACCTGGAAAACACGCGATATGCGATATCCGTTCGGAACTCTAACGTATCCAAAAAAGATCCGAGCACACCTACGCGCTCGTGACATCGAGGATCACAATGGGACAAAAATGCCCCTCAGCTACAGTGCCCACGCGCCGCCACACGCGCCGGCAGCGCGTGGGTGTCCAAAGCGATACCCATCGCCGGAAAACTTCCAAATCGTGAGCCCAGACTCCTACCCTAGGTAATACACCTAATTTGGAGTCACTTTTGTTCTTGGACGTACCCCAAAAACTGACCGGAAGTGGCCGGAATCTCATCCCGAAATCCGGCCGAACCCTAACTCGAAAATCAGATAATCTAGGCTCAAAATCGATACAATCCTACCCAACCATCAGCTAGATCATGCAGAAGGGATGAATTTCCATACCTTGATCGCCAAAAATGGCGGCCGGACGACGGAGAACGAAGCCGGCGAATTTTCTGTCAAAACCGGAGCTTTTCTCCTCGTTTTCCGGCGAAACCACGGCGGCTGGCGGCGGGACCTGGCCGGGGTAGGAAGAGGACGGCGGCCCGGTCATTTTGGTACCGGCCCCGTCGACTTTGGTGGCCGGACGAGCGAACGGCCGGCCAAAACGTGGTCGGCCACGGTGGCTGTCGCGAACCAGAGGAGAGAGAGAGCGACGCGCGGGAGAGAGAGAGTGTGAGAGACGGGGGCAATTCCGTCTTTTTTAACCAAAAATCCATTTTCCAAATATTTACAATTATGCCACTGAGCTTCTTTTGATCATATCTCTCTCGTTACAACTCCGATTCGAGCCCACTACGTGTCTACGAACTCATCTCGCCGTGCTCTACGCAACGGTACATCCGAAATTCCCAAATTCATTCCGGGTAAGAAAATGACTAAAATACCCATCCCTCGGGTAAATTCTTAATTTCACTCAAATTAATTAAAACAGGGGATAAATTTGGAGTCGGGGTGTTACAGACTACCCCCCTTATAAAAATTTCGTCCCCGAAATTTCATACCTGCCACTCCAAAGGGTGTGGGTGCTGGGCCCGCATCTACTACTCGGGTTCCCATGCTTCATCCTCCACAACCAGGTTGGCAGTTAAGCCATTCGCTCTATCCAAACAAGCAGAAGAAGAGAAGTCTCTTTCTTCCACTAAGAATATCCTTCAATAACTGCGGTAATGCTTAATCTTCCTCTGAAAGCTAAACGCTTCCATTTGTGATTTGATTCTCTTCTAGCTCTCCCATGAAGAGAAGTCCAAACTCCTTGACTTGTTGATATCTTTCTTCTTTCTCTAGAATCGATAAGCAACATTGCCAACACGATTCTTTGAGAGGAATGTCAGAAAGGATCATTTTTACCGAATTGTAATCATCATCTTCCTCTCTCTACCATGACCCATTTCTGATTCCGATGAAAGATTTCTGCTCAAACGTGCTCACTGCACACAATCGAGAATTAGCAACATGTTCAGGCAATGGAGGATCTCTAGAAGTAGATTGATCAACTCCATGTCCTCCTGCCCATAAGAACTCTACAAACTTCATCCAACACTACTACTTCTCAATTTAATTTGTCACGACCCTCCTTGGTCGGACTCACAACTCCACCATTCCCATGTAACTTGTCCATCAACTACCTCTGACAATTTCGTCTCATCTCAGCGGATTCAATACTTTCGGCTCTTCCGTTTCCTTCCCATAGGATATTGAGATACGACAATTTGGATAGACACGTTTCAAGGAACGTGGCACCCTTAAGTGTACTCATCAATACCCTAAATCCATCCATGTCAAAGAATCCTCCGCATCAAAATGATGACGTCCCGTGACGGAACCCATCATGATCCCACAACTTAAGGATGCACACTTTTTTTTTTTTTTTTTTTTTTTTTTTTTTTTTTTTTTTTTTTTTTTTTTTTTTTTTTTTTTTTTTTTTTTTTTTTTTTTTTTTTTTTTTTTTTTTTTTTTTTTTTTTTTTTTTTTTTTTTTTTTTTTTTTTTTTTTTTTTTTTTTTTTTTTTTTTTTTTTTTTTTTTTTTTTTTTTTTTTTTTTTTTTTTTTTTTTTTTTTTTTTTTTTTTTTTTTTTTTTTTTTTTTTTTTTTTTTTTTTTTTTTTTTTTTTTTTTTTTTTTTTTTTTTTTTTTTTTTTTTTTTTTTTTTTTTTTTTTTTTTTTTTTTTTTTTTTTTTTTTTTTTTTTTTTTTTTTTTTTTTTTTTTTTTTTTTTTTTTTTTTTTTTTTTTTTTTTTTTTTTTTTTGGGGGTGGCGTCGACCGATCAACCCTATCGTCGTTGTCGGCACAGTGAGTGGTTTTTTTTTTTTTTTTTTTTTTAATTTTTATTTTTTTTAATTTTTTTTATAAAGTTTGGGTTCTCAGGCCGAACTTCTTCACTTGTACATCCAGTCCTGTGCATGTATTAGTGCATCGTGATGAGTTCGTTGGATACGGATTTGGAGGGTTAAAGGTACAGTGTCAAAGGCCCCCGGAGGTTCATCATCTTTATGACTACTTTCCTGGTTTGAATTTTGGTCATCATCTTGTACTTGTAATGGCGAAGGTACTAGGTTTGATTTTAGTTAATCACGGCATGACCTTAATTGTCGTAAGTAATTGCATTTAATTTCCAGACTCATTTAATACGATGCTAATATATGGTGAAACGGGTCCCCGTAATTTTGTTGCTAAAAACTACGATCATGCGGCCTGCGGCGACCCTAAATCAGTCTTTGAGATCAATTTTCATTACCTTCAGTGTTGTGTTTTAATGTTATGAATACAAATTATAATAACCCCCCATCCCTAGACATAGTATTTATAAACTAAGAAAAATCAAACCCTATTTAATACAGAGAACCACACCCAATATCAATGCCCAAATCAGTCGTGTGTGTGTAATCTTTTTTTTTTTTGTGGGGTGGTGTTTTTTAATTGGTTTTTGCGGGTGGTGAAGGGCTGGTTTTGGGTGTGTTTATCAACGTGTTTTGGTGTTGGGTATTTTTTTATATTTGTCATCCCCTATGTTGGGGGGGGTGTTGTACTGACACCCCTTTGATTTTTGGATTGTAACACCCCAAAAATGAATTTGAATGTCAGATAATAAGAGTTATGATTCACTCGCACCCCCCAGTCTCTTCTCAGAAGTTAGTTTTTCACAAAATCTGTTTCGGAATTACCGCCGAATACCTTTTTCAATTGTTTCACGCAACCGCCTTTTTCGTTGATATTCGTCCAAATCTGATTGATTTTATTTAATACAAAAAAGTGTGCAAATCCAAAATCACCGGCATGTAACTTGCATATAACTCTCAAAGGCTAATTTATGTGTATGTTTGGAGCAATTTTTCCTATATTACATCCTCAGTCTTGGATGAAAAAATCATGAAGGTGATTTTCCGCCAATCACTTAAAAACCTCAAGGGTGTCGTGTCAATTTTTGAAACCTCAAGGACTTATGTACGAAACAACCGACCACCTCAGGCATGTTTTAACGCCGTAACACGAACCTATTCTCCAATACCAACCAAAATTTCCAACAATCCTTCCGGAAAATGTGAGTATGTGATATAGGTTGTTTTGCATGAAGCGCATGGTTTTGCCACACCTTGCTTTTTGTTTTAAGGTACAAGGGCCAAAGGCCTACGTCCACACTCTACAGGGGGTGTTCTTTTTCTGGCATCTGCTCCATCAAAGCCCTCATTAGCAGCCCCAGCTATTCAGCTCTCTACTATGGCCAGGCCCTGTGAGCACGTGGGAACATTAGATTTCTTTGCATCCAATCTAGTCCCCTGAACCCCTCCCAGTCGTTGGTTGAGGTTCACTAGACACACAAAAATAAGACTAAGGTATAAAAACCGGCACACACCCGCAACCCGTTATGCAACACGCCCAAACACCCATCCTTAAGCACCCACTCCAAACCATTATATATACACCACCCAAAAATATATCTATTAAGTGTGGTGTGGTTTCGATGTTAATAAATAGTGCTTGAGTTGTGTAGCATACTGTTTAGGATGGGTGTTATGTATACGATTGTATGTTTTATTTTCCTTATGCCGAAATTTTTCCATTTTCCGTAATAGACTACCTCTCTGGCACTGGGCGCTTCAGTGCTATGCGAGAGGGCTTTTTTAAAAAAAATTTCAATTTATATTAGAATTAAACAAGGTGACAAAAGGGTAGTGTGTGGCTAACAAAATAAGATAGTCACTTTTATATGAGTGTTTATTTTTATTTATTAGTATTTTATTATATGAAAAAAAGTGTGAATTTACTAGAATTGTCCTCATTTAATTATAATTGCAATTTTTAATGTTTGCATTAACCCCTGACATTTTCTGGTATTTTGATTTTTTTACAATTCTTCGTCCACCTCAGCGCCACATAAGGATTGTATAAGAATGTGGTAGACCATGTGTAGAAGTATTAATTCTGTGCTATTAGATGTATGACTCCTTGCCCTGTCCACACAAGGACGTTTCCCCCTCTTAACACATGTAGTGTTGACACAACTTGCCATTTCATCTCTTGGAACTTTTTATTTTTAATAATCATTTAATTTTACTCATATAAATTTGCCAGTGTCAAAATCATCATGACCTTTTAATTTGATACCACAGTGTTAGAATTTACATAAATAAATAAAATCCGTTTTGGTACTCGGAAACCTAATATTTAAGAAAAACTTTTGGGTGGACCATAAAACGATATGATAGGTTACAAAAATTATGTGCAGGATACGGCCAAATGATCTAGCTGAAGACCTAGTAAATGAATAAAGGGAACAATAAAACACTATGTTAAAAAAAACAGTAAAGTATACACAGGAGGACCGGCAACCGGAAGAACTAAAGGAGTACCACAAACTGCCCGAAAGCTGTTATTTTTTTGAATTTTAGTTTAGTTAGCATATAATGAAATACTTATATAGCCCATTTGTATTAAATTAAGTGGTTTTTTTGGGAAATTTGGTCTCTCGCGTCAAAAAAAAAAAAAAAAAATTCTCTTCTCTCTCAGTCTTCAAAACATCCTCTCTCGGGTCCTCTCTCTCCTTTCCCTTCGAGGAAACCAGCGCTAGGCCAACGATCTTGGTGCTGCATCCGGCCAGCATGCAGCAAAACAGAAAAAAAGGATCGGGTCAAGGCCGCGATCAGTCTGGGGCTAAAGCCCAGACCCATCCTACCTTGACACGCAACTGAACGAACTCAAAACGTAAAAAAAAAAAAAAAAATTTTGTATTTCAATTTTTCCGTGACGTCGGGGTTGCGACAAAAAAAAAAAATTCCTCCGTGTCCAGCGGCCAAAAAGAATCCGGCTGAATGTTTCCCTCCGTCGATCGCGGTATGAACTTTATATCTAATTTTCCGGGTGCTCACAGCTGTAGTGGTAAATTTAATATATTATTAGGATAGATTTTGGAGTTTTTTTGAGAAAGAATCAAGACACCCAGTTTTTGAACCGAGGGACTTCTGTTTGGCGTGTTCCAGATTCGCCGGCCATTGTGTTGCCAGGGTTCCAAGACCATCGAAACATTCGCCTTAAAAGTAGAGGATATAGTCGTCTGAAGATGTTAGTACAAAGGTATATAGTCCAGACTTAAGTTTGAGGAATTAATTGTAGTATGATTTGGGGGGGGTTTTCATGTCGGGGGGGTTAATTACAGTTGCTGGATTTAAGTTTTTATCCATAATTGGATTGGCTGTTTCTGATAGTATTTAAATTGAAATGTAGATCACACAATTCTTCTTGTTTCGTATGTTTATTTTTGATTATTGTCGATGTGGAGATAAGCTATTGGATTTTCTCAATTCGTTCTAATTTGTATTCGATATTCTTTTGAGGATTTTAAATTTGGTGATTCTAATTTTTTTTGTTTTATAATTTTGGATTGATTATCCAAATTTAGTTTGTGATTTCGTGGATATAAGAGGTGCTTTTGTGTGTTTTGTGTATGTGACGTGTTCAGATTTGTGATATTTGGATTTGTTATCAGTAATTATTTTGAATAGTTAGATATATCGTGTTTTTTGTCTTTTATGCACTATTGAGGTTTTGTGTCGACTATAATTTGTGTGTTAGGTAACAGTTGTTAGTACCCTATATTGACTTTACACTACCGCCATTAGAAATCATGATTTAAATAGAAACAGCAGTGTTGATTAGCTTATACTAGGAACTTTCGTATTGGTAGACATGCATTAGAAATATGGATTTTATATGAAAACTAAAGTTGTTATTATCCTATCTGGACTTTACAAGGGGTAACATGGCATTAGAAATAGGATTTCAGGGAATCTAGCAGTGTTATTACCCTATATTGAAACTTTACAAAGGGTATACATGCATTAAACAAATAGTGATTCAAAGGAATCTAGCAGTGTATTACCCTTATTGGAACTTTACAAGGGTTAAACATGCATTAGAAATAGATTTCAGAGAAATCTAGCAGTGTTATACCCTATAAATGGAACTTTACAAGGGGTAGACATGCATTAGAAATAGGATTTCAGAAGAATCTAGTAGTGTTATACCCTATATTGGAACTTTACAATGGTTAAATGCATTAGAAATAGTTCAATCATAGGAAAAAGAAGTGTTATTACCCTGTACTGGAACTTTTGCATTCAAATAGGATTTCATTGGAAACAAGCAGTGTTATTACCCTATACTGGAACTTTACGGTGGTAAACATGCATTCAAATAGGATTTTAGAGGAAACAATCAGTGTTATTACCCTATACTGGAACTTTACAGCCATTAATCAACATGAAAGTAAACTAGCAGTATTAAGAATGAGTATATGACTAAATATCTCTTTCTTTTTTGAGTTGCTGAAAACTGACTATTTTATAGTCATATGCAGTTAGTCCAATAGTGAAAATCCAATATAATTTCAAAATTTTGTCTTGGATTCGAATATAAAATACTGTTATTACTATAGACTGGAACTTTACAGCAATTAATTAACATTACAATAAAGGTTTGGTTTTTAAATGTGTCTTACCTTTGAAGCCTTTCTTGTTGAAATTGTTCTCTGAAATTTTATCTTTGTTTTGCAGGTGGAGGTTAGTGTGTGGTGTTGGTTTTTGAAAGTAGATCAAGCTTGGTGGTTGTTATGGAGTTTCAGTTTGCATAAATGATGAAGACGGTGAAATAAAGAGATGTTTTGTTGAGATGGTTTAATGAAGATGCGTGCTTGAAGTTACTATTTTCGAGACAGTTATGTGTTGTAATAAAATGTTTTGGGACTAAAAAATTTGGCTTTTTTATTTTGATTGGGCTTGTTTTGGGTGTTTTTTTGAGTTTTTTTTTTCAATGGCAGTCCTGTAATTTATAGGAACTTCAACACCAATTTCTTATATAACAAATGGATTTTGGGTGTATTTCTAAAGTGCATTCCATGTGGGGTTTTTTTTATAATTTCAGCTCCTATTTTGGGTGTTTTAGTGAAACTCCCAAATATTATTTATACTAGACACGGAAATTTTTTATTGTTTATTTTTATAAATAGTTTTAATTATTTACTATATGTTGTTTTTACACGGACTAAAACGTTTTTGTTTTTTTAATGGATTGCGATTTGATTTTCACATTCATTACTAGTTATCCATTGTGGAGCAGTAATATAGTAAAATTAGGTAAGAGGCCCGATTTTATCATCCACGTCAGAATTGATATCCACCAACCATTTTTGTACCGTTGCAAAATTTGCCTTCCAATGGTCATCTCTCCGTAGTTATATTATAATATCCAACGGTCACAAAATTCAAAATTCAGATTTCTCCTCAATTCTGCAGCAGAAGCAAACAGAAAACCATATCATATTCTAAGCACCAGAAATAAACACATCCATTGTTACCAACTTACAAGAAGAACACAGTGAGAAAAAAAAATGGAGGGTTCTGATAAGGTTCTTTTGTCATCAGCACCACCTAGGCGCTCTGTAACACAAGAGCCCTTTGCATTTGGTACGCTCTCTCTCTCTCTCTCTCTCTCTCTCTCTCTCTCTCTCTCTCTCTCTCTCAGTGTTTGTAGTTTTGATTTGCCAATAGAGTTTTGTTTAAAATAAAAAACAATTTCAATATGCTAATAAGAGTTCATAATTCATAGTTCAAGTTTAGGAAAGATAGATATTCCATTTCTTTTTCTTCTGTTTTGAAAAACGAAGCATTAGAAATTTAAAACTCCTTTGATTCATCATATATTCTAGTTTTTGTTTCAAAAATTGTTTTCTTTCTTTCCAAAATACGCAGACGAAAATTATCAATATCATCAGCAAGTGGGCAATTCCCATCTGCGGAGCCCAAAGATACCAATGGCAAAGAATTACATGTCCCCAACTATATCTGCAACGTCCAAGGCCATTTCTTCAAGAAAGAACATCTTAGGCGAAAGAAATGAGGCATCTGAACCCAATTTTTCCAATACCCTTGTTGAAAAGTTCCCCCATATAGGTACTGATAATGGTAATGATTCTTTATCCCAATCCTTGCCATTAACCCCTTCAGTTTTTCAATGCCATGATGATGGTAAAGCTCTTTCTGATAGTCTGTCTTCAAGGCCTTATGACCCTATAACTAATTACCTTTCTCCGAGGCCTCAATTTCTCCGGTACAACCCAAATAGGCGCCGGGAGCGTTTTCTTGGCCTAGAATATGGTGGTACTGAAAGAAATGAAGACTTGGGTATTAGCAGAAGTGGTTCTTTCGATTCCCAGAATGCTATTGATGAGGAAGCTGGAACTATTACCACTCCAAGTTCTTTGGCTTCTTCTCGTCAGGATGGTCTTCTTAGCAGAAGTGGTTCTTTCAATTCCCAGAAAGCTACTGATGAGGATGCTGGAGCTGTTACCACTCCAAGTTCTTTCGCTTCTCCTCGTCAGGATGATCTTCTTAGTATAAGTGTTTCTTTCGATTCCCAGAAAGCTATTGATGAGGAAGCTGGAGCTGTTACGACTCCCGGTTCTTTGGCTTCTCCTCGTCAGGATGGTCTTACTATGCAAGGAGATGAAGAAGTTGAGGTGAGTGATGGAGAAATTGAGGAGAGTGATGAGGAAATTGAGGAAAGTGATGAGGAATATGAGGAGGTGAAGGAAGAGAAGAATGGTTGGAAATTGAAAGGGCTTTTAAAAAGTTTGCTTCTTTTGTTGGTTCTAGTACTCTTTACCTCACATATATCTACTATAAATCATCAAACAGTCTTTGAAGGCATTCAAGATGATGGGTGCATTCAGAACCATACACTTGAAGCTGCTTTATTTAAGAAACTTGAAAGTGGAGGTATGTTTTGGGATGAAAAAGAAGAAAGACATATGGGTTTGGTGGAAATAGGGGTTGAGGAGGGAAAGTTGGTTGAATTTGGGAGTGGAAGTGAAGTTATGGGTCAAGGAGAAGAAGAAACACGAATGGATTCATTGGAAGAAGTGTTTGAGCTAAAAGATGAAGAAATTGAAGCTATGGAAGTGACTGAACAAGAAGAGAATGGAGTAATGGATGAGTTTGGTGAAAAACAAGTAGAAGATAGTGACGAAACTTTTGATCAAATGGCTGAGAATTCTGATAAGATACCTGGTGAGGTTGATCACCTCAATCTAGTGTCTGATGTTTCAAATGATCTTGAAGAAGAAGGTGAGGTTGCAGTGGAGCAAATTGATGGAATTGTGGAGAACAAAATGGAGGAAGGACTAGAAGAATATTTCACAAACATGATAGCTGAACCTGCTATGTCAGAGACCATGGATAATGACAATCTAGTGTCTGATGTTTCAAATGATCTTGAAGAAGAAGGTGAGGTTGCAGTGGAGCAAATTGATGGAATGGTGGAGAACAAAATGGAGGGAGGACTAGAAGAATATTTCACGAACATGATAGCTGAACATGTGTCAGAGACCATGGATAATGATGATGATGCAGGCTTTGATGAGATTCTCAAGTTAGAAGCAGAAGGGAACTGGAGGGAGGAGCTAATCACCCACATGAAATTGAAAACATTTTATACAGCTCTTGTTGGGGTTTCCATATTTTCTGTGATTGTTGCATCTCTGGTGTTGGCGTTTCGCTTTAAGCAAAGGAATGGTACAAAAAAGGGTTCTTCTGTGATTGAAAATCCTTGTGCCAAACGTCTGATAATAGAGCAGAAGAAAATCAACGAGAAGGTTTCTTCTCTGCCCTTGAAGCCGTATTCAGAACCTGTGACAGCAGAGAACTACAAGCCAGTACTTCCCAATAGGGTAGAAGACAGCAGCATTGAGCATGTTTACTCTTCTTTCAGAAGGATGTCTTTGTCTTCTAAGCATTCAACTGAAGCAGCTTCTGAAGATAATTACCATAGCCAGGCACCGGCAGTTGAATTGCTTGCTGAATTTGTGGTTGGAGAGGTCAACAGCTCATTAAGGACTTGTAGTATGAAAAACCAGATCACAGAAAGTGAAGAAAGCAACTATTCTGTTTCTTCAAAGAAGAAATTGGGGAGCAAGGTTCAGTCTGTTTCTTTTCAAGTGCATCCGATTGCGTCAGAGTTTTCTTCCATGGATTGCCCTTCAAATGGAAGCTATATTACTCCTCAGAAGATCATAAAGAAAAAGGTGAGCATTTCTTGGTTGCATAAAAGTTTTACTTAATTCCTCTTAAAAAGAATTTGACAATTAGGGCAGTGGATTAGTAATTAAATTCATGACATAATACCAATTTTGAAATGCTAGCATTATGCAAACACATTGCTTATTGCCTTCCTCGTTACTGTTTATGTGCAAAAAATGCTAATAGGAGGGTAGAGATGTGTATATTTGAGACATTTTATGTTGAATCATCATAATTAATAATTTATTCTTGTTCTTTTTTGTGTCAATTTAGGAGGGTGGAAAAGATGAAGAAGTTACAACTCCGCTGAGACGATCAAGCAGAATTCGCAACCGAACAGTCATGTCTCCATGAATCTTCTGGCCTTAATCTTATGTTCTGGCTTGCACCATAACACACAGCAGCTATGTTGTTTCCTAGTTCAGCATTCTTCCACTGAAGAGTGTCTGGAGAATTTTGGCTGTGTGATGCCAATTAGTGTAGAGAAACTGATTTGTTTTCAATTTGTCTGTAGTGTAGGGCACTCATTCTTCATTTGTATTTCTAGATTATCAGAAATTTGCAATTTTTTTAGCAGAACTTTCTATATAACCTTTTACTTTATGAATTAACTTAACTACATACAAAAACAAACACCCCTGAAGTTTTCTGGACTACCATGGTTGCTGGGTCTGCCAACAATGGTGATATGAAAACGGCAAAGAAATTGTATGGAAGAATGGTGGAGAAAAATTCAGTGGCATGGGTGGCTATGATAGCGATGTATGGGAAGTGTGGAAATGTTTTGGAGGCCAGGATGGTTTGCGACGAGATACAGAGGGCAGATGCATCATGTTGGGCAGCAATGGTGACTTGTTATGCTCAGAATGGCTATGCAATGGAAGCCATTAAGAAAATGAGGGAAGAAAAGTGACCGTCCATGAGGTGGAAGTGATTGGAGCTATTTCAGCTTGTACACAACTTGGGGATAATGAAGTTGCAGCCACATTAGCAAAGCATGTGGAGGAAGGATAATGAAGTTGCAGCCACATTGGCAAAGCATGTAGAGGAAGGATGCTGTGGTCTGTTCTGATTGAATCAAATTCTATAAATCATTATGGCATGATATCTTTCCTATTGCTTTCATTTTGTTCTTAATGCTGATGTTTCCTCATTTATCAAACACCTTCAGAGAGGACACTCTTTGTATCCAATGCATCGATCCATATGCTTTCCAAATGTGGAAACATAGACCAGGCATGGAGAGAGTTTAACAGAATGCGTATCAGAGATGTCATTATTTATAGTGCACTGATCGCCTCTCTTTTTCTCAAAAACCCAAAACCAGCCAAGCCCCTATCTTTTTCTCACCTTCCTCTCCATAACTCCTCAAGGTTGTGATTGAGTGAACCGGACAAAGTTTTCTCATTGTTGCCCATTCTTCTTCCCAACACCCACTCACCTCAAATCTGTTATATCTCCACCTTTGAGCTCCTTTTCCTCTCTGATTAAACACCATATCCAAAGTGAATCAATTATCCTTATTTTTCCCGGAAAATGAGGGAGAGTGGAGGAAAATAATAAAAGACAAACAAGTTACAGGGAAAGCTTTCCCATGTCACTTTTTTTCTTCCCCAGTACACTGTATTGTCTTCTTTTGAATCTTGGGTCTTCAGCGTTCAAACAGAATATGAGGAAGCATGGATGGCAACTTCCTTACCATCGTCTTCTGGAGTAGTTTCAAGAATCTTCACTTTGGTTTTATAACTCAGTCAATTGATGTAGTAATTTTTGTGTGTGTTGTTGTTCTGCATTTCTGAAGGTGGTAGCTGTTGCTGTATATCTGGCCTTGGCCTTTGCTTTCTGTTTTCTTTGCTCCTTCTGTTGGAAATAAAGATTTTCCAGTACATTGTGATGGGCCTCTACGCTCATCTTGTAAGTTATTTATCTTGAATCCCTATTTTTATACGATTTTCTTTTCATTTTTTGGTGGTTTGTGACCTGAGACCCGTGCTTTCTCTTCTTGTTGACATGTGATTTATGCGTTTGGTTGGTTCTTTATATTTTCAATATTACGTATCTCCTGTTCTCAATAAGAAGTAACATCTCTCTTCTTTTCAGATTACAAGTGTCTTCTTCAGCCTATATATTTGGTGTGCAGCTGCTGATCCTGCAGATCCAGGAGTTTTTAGATCAAAGAAATATCTCAAGATTCCAGCCAATGAAAAGCATACTAGAAGAAAAGATTCTAAACTATATGGAGAATCAACATCATCAATGCAAGATGCTAATACTGTAACAGTTGTAGGCAAACTTCTGGATAAGGATGTTCTGGGCAAAGAAGCGACTTCAAAAATGTCCACCAGTGATAGTGGAAAGAAGAATGCACCTGAAACTTCGTCTCGCATCCTGTTGGCTTGCTTTTCACCCCTATGGTTACTTCTCTACTCTTGGTAAGCATAATCTTCGATTCTGTGTCTTTGTTAGAATCTCTCATATGATCAAAACTTACAATCACCAACATATTGTTTCGTGTTGTATATCTGAGGCCTTTGAGTTTGCTCCAATTCTAGGTAACCTAGGCCTTAGAATTTTCAAACCTCATTCACTCCACCCATCTAAACATTTCCAGAATTCTAAATGGTATGCAATGTTTGCAGTCAATCTTCGAGGCATGACTTATTGCCTCAAATGAACCTCAGTTTCTCCTAACTGGGATTGGATACAAGGATCTTATTTTCTCCATTCAGCTATATCTATGGAATTCTCTTTAAAATATGGATAATCAGTGTCAAAAAATAGTAAACTACTCATGGTCTTCCATTTTTACTTTATCCTATATTTTCTGCCATCATTCCCAAAAGCAATAAACCAGAACCTGAAGATCACCTCAGAGTAAGCGTTTTTATTTTAGTTAGTTATTGACATGTATGTATAATGTACTGGAATCTTCATGATTATCTGTTGTATAATTGAGAGGAAGCAGTTCTCTGCTGATATTTCTTTCAAGTTGGGAAGCAGTTTCTCTGTAGTTCCTTCCATTAGCTTCTAGTCCTAATCAACCTTCTATAACTTAGGCTTTTGCTAGTTTAGCTAAGTGATTCCTACGTCTAAAAAAGAATTGATTTATCTGATTTGTTTTTCTTTTCTAGAACTAATGAAATCTAATGTTAAACTTTGCAGACAGCGTGCACCCTATTGGCCATGATTGCAACCCTGCCACTTGCGCAACTTTTCTTTTTTCACATCCTCCTTATAAAGAAGGTTAGGCTCGCAATTGCTTTCCGACATATTCATGCTGAATTTTTCGTTTTACATTGCTATAGGAAATCAAATCCTTATTATAATCGTCTGGGTCATTTTTACCAGTGCAGTTTTAGTCATTAGTCATCCCACCCATAGTGAATAAAAAGTAATAATTTTTAGATAATAAAATGCTTGTCCATTGAATATTTTTGTCTGTTTTCACATCCTTAATTTCTTGTTTGACAGTTTGTGGAAGTAAAATATCTACGGATCCTAGGTTAAATAATGAAGCCAATCAATTTGGAAATTATTTGACCAAATTGGGAATTATTTGATTCTTATCCTAATTGGGGATTTGATTAAATCAATCTCTCCAAATTGGGAAAGAATAATTCATTTCCATTTATAGAATTATTCTTCCAAAACCCTGCCTCTGAAGCTTCTATAAATACATGGCTACGCACAAGGATTGAGGTACGTCTAAACTTCTGTCTGAAACTCTATAGAAAGTCCCTCTCACAAACCCTAGCCGCCATACTCTCTCTCTCTCTCTCTCTCTCTCTCTCTCTCTCTCTCTCTCACACACACACACACACACACACACACACACACACAAGGATTGAGGTACCCTTTGTTAGCTTTGTTTTTCCTACAAATACTCGACCTAGCTTAGGCATCGGAAGACTTTTGGCCAACACCACTGGATGTGATTTTTTCACTCCATATTGTTTTGTAGGGAGAAAGAGAAGCGAAGAGGAAGAAGGGATCTTCAGACGAATATTCTTTGGGGATGAAAATCACTCCCACAAATTGGTGCTTTCATTGAGAGCGCGAAATAATACTCAACGCATGCTCCAAATCCATTTTCCACACTTTGTTCCAATCAACCGTGGTTGATACAAGACATACAAAGAGTAACACCACCACGACAGGCCTGTCTCATGGTTTTGTGGTGGAAACCGCACTGCAGCAGCAAGGGGCAGCCACTAAATCCACTTTGCAACTACTTCCCAAGGCTGCCAGCACATTCCAGCATCTTGCAGCCGTTGGAACCATTTCACAGCCACATGCTGTTGCACAGCCACCAAACCGTGTGGCTGGAACTGCTCAAGCTCTCGCTGCCGCAAGATCCTGTGACCACCATAGCCTTGCAGCTGCAAGCATCGGTTGCTGGAGCAGCTCCACTGCGTTATCCCACCACTAGAGTACAACAGCAGCCGTACCAGGCAGTGCCGAATTTTCTGCACAACCCTACCGCTACTTCGACACCGTCCCAATCTTGAAACAAATTCGTTATGTCCCTATTTTGCAATCACACTTGACATATGCACCCGTGTACACGTCTAATAGAGCCCTAGTCCATATGTCTTTAGGCCTAATGCACACCACTCTTCCCGATCCGCATAGTCAAGTGAACCTTAACTCACGGGTTGATCATCTCACACAGAGGGTCGATGACCAAAACAATTTGATTGGTTGAATCAAGGCCCTAACTTTAGATCCCATGACGAGGAGAGAATGACGCTCGAGCATATCGACGCGCAGTTCGAGAGGTTCCAAGCTAGTCGGACAATGACAAACGGGCAAGGGAGAGAATGAGATGTAGACATCAGCAAGCCATACTCTGAGCCGGTCAAAGATCCCTTCGAGCTTAGGTCCAAGGACCAATGTGCATGAGAGGCTGGTTCTACAGTCCGATGTCCACACTCGCTTGGGCCCACAAGGAAGTATCCATTCTAGGCTTGGCCCATAAGGAGCTGAAGTTCGTGAACGTTTGCGTGACAAACACAACGACTGACTCTCTCAGATTTGGATCCTCTATTATGACTTTCTCTATCATGATCTACTTAACTTTTGTTCTCCACCTGACGCCTTATTAAAATTTAATCTAACATATTTAAATTGGACACATCATCCTCTATTCTAATTTTCTCTACCATGATCTGCTTTGATTCTCTCTGCCATGATCTGCTTACTTCTTCCCTACATATGCTATCTCATTAAAATTTAATCCAAAGCATTTTAAGTTGACACATCATCTTTAAAACAAAATCCAATTTCAATCACATATCAAAACTTTTACTCCAAACAATATCCTCAAATCCCCTACAATCCATACTCAAATAAAACCAGGCACCTCGGGCCGTTCATTACTCATAAACATAACTTTTCAAAACGTTTCTAAACTTCCCAAGCCATTCAATATATCTACCAATCATGAATGTTATCTCAATAAATCCATAAGCATTCCAAAGCGTTTCTCAAACCAAGTCATAAATTAATCAAAATCATGCACTTCAATACAAGCACAAGTTATAAAGCTCCTAAACAAGTCTTCACCACATGTGAGGGTATTGTCAGATTTGAAAGAACGTTCTCGTGTATTTTTCAGATTCAATGTGAAATTGTAGAGCATAAGCATGAACAACAATCTATCTCTCTGTGTTATACCAAACTCAAGTCTGGTTGAGTTCATACAATTTCTCATGGGGCTTAACGACTCTTATTCTGCTGTAAGGGGACAAATTTTGTTGATGCAGCATCCTACAGCAAAACCAGTATTTAAGTTTATATATTTGTATTTAATAATTATTGCAAGATGACGGATTTGCTATATATTTGTATATCTATACATGCACACGTACGTACGTATACGTAGGTTAAAATTTCTTTCTTACAGGAATTGGGGGGAGCGTATTACTACCAAAAGAGCCGCCTCTTGTTCTACTTGAAAAGGTTAAATTATCAGATGACAAATAAGAAGCCCTTGAAGCTGATGAGGTCTTCTTAATCTTAGAAATGGTGGCCTTAGGAAGTGTGTAGGATCTGTAGCTACCCAAGCCACCTCCATAGCTCTTACTTTGTTTTAGTGCTTTTCTTTGATTGTAAGGACTCTCTTTCTTTGCAAGATCTTCAATGCTCTTGACCTTTGACAATGATGTAAATGACTGACACTTGCCTTCAAAATACTTCGAAAGTCCTCTTCTGTAGATTCCAAAATACATATTAATATGCAACATCCAGCTAAAAGTATCAGGTTGATATATAAAATTAGAAATTATGAATTGAGATGAGTTTACTTTTTTCTTTAATCTTACTTGATGGGTAGCTGCGCCATGAGATCTGACAAGTCATACAAAGAACCATGAGAATTGAAGGAAGAAGAACATGATGATGATGTTGTTGTTGATGAAGATGCATCATCTACCAACTCCAAAGAAGATGTCGATCGATCGGAAACCGATATGGATGATGTGGTGTCGTACATATACCCATTATCGTCATCATCACCATCATCATCATGTCCTTTCATGATCACGCAGCTATCTTCCCGTGCTTTTGTGTAGCTATCATATTGTGTGATCAAGCATGGAGCGTGAAGCATTTGTTCTTCACTACTTTCACCCATAGATGGAGCAGCCTATTAGATCTTAGCAAGATGAAGAAGAAGAAGAAAGTTATGGATATAATCGTTTGAAAGAGGTTTTCATATATATATATATATATATATATATAGAGAGAGAGAGAGAGAGAGAGAGAGAGAGCATGACACACACGGATTAGACTTGGTTGCCTGCAAGAAAAGAGTGTCCTCCTCGTGACATGTAATGACATGGAGAATTTATGCGTTTTAGGCAAGGAAGCCACACATACATACACTCATGTTTAGTCTAATAAAAGAAATACAAGATGCAAATGGGTGTTTTTTTTTAAACTATGGGTACAAACGTGGACCACTAGCTAATCAAAACAACATGCAATTTCATGCACTCAACTGTCTCCCAATGTTTTCAATATGATTGCCTTATCCCAAGATTCCTCATTATCTTCTTTATATGTTACGAATAAACAAAAGAGGATAAGCTCTATATCCTTTAAGCCACCACCTACGTACGTAAATGAGTCACCATTGGACCATTGTTGTGTCCATTTTTATAATGCAATTTTCAAGGTTCATTGGGTCAAAAGAGAAGGTTGTTCTAGATGTACCAACATTAGGGTGCATTGTTTAGATAGGTATGTGCTTACTCCAACATCTCCTAACTAGGCTACTTCCTTATCAAGAATCATAAGGGTCAAATTATTAAATTAATAAAAGAGGTTGTGGTGCAAATTCTTTTGTTAGTCAATTTTGTTTTGATCCTCTCCTAGTTTCTTAATTGTATTAATATAAATTTCCTTGATTTTTTTTTCTTTTCCTTGCTTTTTCGGTTACGTGACATATATAGCTTGAGATTGTGTTTGGTGCATAAGAATATTTCCCATCTTTTTCTCGGAAAAAGATCATCAGTAAACCTCTATTTATTTAATCCTTAGTGGATTTGAATCCTCGGCTTGAATTTTTTTCTTCGTTGGAATTTGCTTCTCTTTTTCTTCTAAATATGTCGTGTCATTAGAGAACATTGTTGGAAAGGAATTTGGGTTTTTTACAATAGTTTCTAAAAAGGAATTACCCGCAAACAACCAAGTCCCAAAGACACAATTGATGTTATAGAAAGTACAATTAATTGAGCTGCATTTTCAGATATGAATTTGTTTTATGATTTGATTAAAGAAAAAGAAGAAATTAATACAAAGAAGATAAGATGATATACATGAATGATTTGGTTCACGTACCAAATCATAATTGGACCACACCAGGGATTAGGCTGTTTACACTTTTTATAGCACCTCACCGAAATATTAAAGTGATGGGACGGACCATTAAGGCCAGCACATTTTGACTTGATAATGTAAATCTATCTAAAGAATTACAGATGGGGACTTGATCGGCAAACGAACCTTCTCACATCAATTCAGATTAGTCTTCCTTACAGCCTTGCCCTACCATTATTATCTGCTCTTCTTCTACCCTTATCCACACTTCTCTGTGCCTTCAAAAACCCATCGACATCATTCTTTTACGATGTTGATGAAGATTAGGTCCGTGTTTTCATTCTCACACAAGATTTCCACTATTCAATCTCCTTTTAAACAAGAACTCAGAAAAGTCAGTTGGCATCAATAGCCATTATTAGTTCTCGTAATTTATAGCCAATTTGATTTTGTATATGAAATTTCAACTCACGATCTCCTCTCTAATAAAGTGTAGAGCAAATTCACACTGGAATCTGAGTTCCAAAATTCGGATTAGGGCCAATGATTTTATTTTTTGGGATCAAATAGAAATTCCATTACATAAACTTCAACAGTACAATCAAAAACATCAATAAGACATCCAAAATATCAATCCTAAGAGGGCAACAAATTAACATGCTAAAAGCAAAACTAACACAGACAAAAGCCGCATTAAAACTACTAGCTCACATCATCACAATTAGCTTTAAGCCCAAACAAAGCCTACAAACCCAACATAACCAATCCTAAATCAACCCATGAGCCTAAACGAACTCTACCACCACCACATGAAGAAGTGTCATCGCAGCCACACCCACCACCGCATCCGTAATAGATCTAGGGAAAATATGATTTACAGTGATCTACTTGTGCATAAGAGCGAACAAATAAACGAAAGCAACAACTTTGCCAAAGAACAATTGAGTGATTTGCAGCAACCTCCGTAAAAGACAATGTAGAATCAAATTTAAAGAACATGAGCGGCGTTAGGGAGTTGGTTTTGGGAGTAGGATTTGATTAAGAACATAGACTAAAATGGGTGGTGGGAAGCTTCAATCTAACCATGGCTTAGAAGAAACCACCACAAGAGGCTTTTTATTCAAAACGCCCCAATTGACTTATTTACTAACAACAAAAAAAAGACGAGAAGAAAGGAAGGGGAGAAGGGGCAATGACGCTTCTTCCTCCTCCCCCCTCCATGGAATTTTCCTTTAGGATTCACAAAGGGAGAAAGCGACTAGGGTTTGAGAGCAAGCAGCTTTGAAAGGTGATTAGGGCCCAATGTTGGTGAACTGATTAGATAATTTTCCTATTGTTTTATGATTGAGATGTCGCTATATACATAAGCGGCGTTAGGGTGCGGGTTTTGGGAGTAGGATTAGATTGAGAACATAAACTAAAAGGGGTGGTGGGAAACTTCAATCTAACCATGACTTAGAAGAAACCACCACAAGAGGTTTTTTTATTCAAAATTCCCCAATGGACTTATTCACTAACCTAAAAGAAAAAGACTAGAAGAGAAGAGGGGGAGGAGGTGGCAGTGATGCTTCTTCCTCTTCCTCCTTCTATGAAATTTTCCTTTAGGACTCACAGAGGGAGAGAGTGGCTAGGGTTGGAGAGCAAACAGGTTTGAAAGGTGATTAGGGCCCAATGTTGGTGAACTGATTAGATAATTTTCCTATTGTTTTATGATTGAGATGTCGCTATATACATAAGCGGCGTTAGGGAGCGGATTTTGGGAGTAGGATTAGATTGAGAACATAAACTAAAAGGGGTGGTGGGAAACTTCAATCTAACCATGACTTAGAAGAAACCACCACAAGAGGTTTTTTTATTCAAAATTCCCCAATGGACTTATTCACCAATCTAAAAGAAAAAGACGAGAATAGAAGAGGGGGAGGAGGTGGCAGTGATGCTTCTTCCTCTTCCTCCCTCTATGAAATTTTCCTTTAGGATTCACAGAGGGAGAGAGTGGCTAGGGTTGGAGAGCAAACAGGTTTGAAAGGTGATTAGGGCCCAATGTTGGTGAACCGAATAGATAAATTTCCTATTGTTTTATGTTTGAGAGTGTCGCTATATACACTCAGATATTTGATCACTACACCCAGCATTCAAAATGAAAATTTGTAAATTTGTTATAAAATAGACAGAGTATGAAAGTACCATTGAATATTGGGGTGGGATTGTATTTGCTCTTTTGGTATTAGACTGATAGAATTTTATCTCTCGGATAAAACTTTCTAACTCTCCGATTTCTCTCTCACTTTCTCTCTTCTGATTGTTGCGTATCAAAAGCTTGAAGATTGCCTCAATTTATAGGCGGATTGTATAAGCTTCACAACTAAAACATTTACTCTACAACCACAATATTTACTTCTTACTGTTTGTAAATAGTGACTAAGCCTATAAGTCTTCAACTCTCCATAAAACATGGTATTTCACTTCCAATATTGTTCTTCACTTTCAATATGTGGGCCATCCATCATTTACAACAAACTAAGAAGACAAGAAACTTGGGGAATTAATTTTAGAAGCAATCCTAGAACACTGCTTATGGATTCGTCTTTCTGATATTTATCCATAATTTTCTTATCGAAAAGAATGACCATATGAAGGGGAGCTTTGGCGTGTTAAAGGAAGATTAGACTTAGGGTTCTTTTTCTTGTGGGGAAATCCTAAGATACTTATAAATTTATATATAAACAAAAACTATAAAACTCAATTAACAAGTATTACAGTTTGAAAAAATAAATAAAAAAACAAGTATTACAGTTTTGCAGTAGGAAAGAAATAGATGGTAAGAGCATGTAGCTCGAGTGGTTAAGAGCATTTACCGTCTTCCCCAATATCATTTGTTAAAAAAATATGTTAAAAAATAAAAAACCAACGGGATCTAACCCAATGAAAAAAATCTTGACTTGTTGATTATTGGTCGTGTTCGAACCCCCATAGCAGTGTGTGTAAAAAACCCTCTCCCCTCTAATTTAGATTATTGTACATACTAACAAAAAGAAAACAACTTAAAAAAAATTGTTGGTGAAAAATATAAAAAAAGGTTAATTTCGGTGTAGGATCCTGAATTTTCATGAACCGATAACATATTTTCATTCGGTTAAGATTATTAGAGTGTTGCCATATATATACACACAGATATATGATCACTACACCCAGGCCCAGCATACAAAAGAAAACTTGCGAAATTTCCAAATGTTCCCCATGATAACATCACAATAACATGAAATCCAAGCTTTTTCAAACTTAAAAAATGCAGTCAATAGGAGCACACAGCTGTGATTAAATACACAATTAAGAAAACAAGGAAATCAGAGAAGTAAATAAAACAATCTAGAACACCAATAGTCACTGCTTCTGTCTGCGCATGGTTATTCCCAGCAGCACCACCAGTGCCAGTTCATGGCCAAATAGCAGGAAGTAGATGCAAGCCCAAAAAGAGAGAATTTCAAGATATGAAAACGATGATGGTGAGATGAGCTACAGCCCCTGGTCAATCAGGTAGTCTCCCAGCCTCTCCACAATAATATTACATTGTCCCGGAGTCAAGGGCTCGTCATATATACCGAAAACCAGAGCCTGGCCGGTTTTCTTCACAGTAATGCCACTAGAGCCCTGCAAAAGAAATCAAATTGAATTAAACTTCACGACACTCTGAAAGACGCAATCCTTCTTAAAGATCCAGTCAGGCACTAACATATAGGGCCCATATAGACCAGAACCGCTTTGCATAGACAGCAACCACAACATCATAAGGCCGCATGAAAAAGGGAATTGAGTGCAAATCTGGTTAGGTGGTTGGTAATAAAACTTTATAGAAGACAAAGCATATGCAATTGGGCAACCATGTGTTTGCGTACTTTAGCGTGTAAGTGAGTCTATTATCAGCAGGAACTAATTAAAATAAGGAACCCAAAAGAAAATCTAAATACGAAACAGAGGAATATTTAAGGTGGTCCACCTGTGGGACTCTTGATCTTGAAGCTCTATTATTATTCCTTCAAGGACATACCATTATCTAAACCCCTATAATAAGCAGCATCTGCGAATGCAGAATGTTGACTGCAACATGAAGAAACTTTAACAAATGAAATTGATAGTTAGCAAGTTTAAAAGTTAAAAAGGTGAACAACCATGAGTCCCACTACTTATAACATGGGTGCACATAAAGTGCTTTACAGTCTTCAACGCATGCTTTTATGAGCCATTCATGTTAAAAATCCTCTGTTTACAAATCATGGCTTGAAAAGACCTTTTCTTTCAAAAAATTATGGGAATAAACTGTCACTTGAGTACAGGATGCCCATTATTAGGACTCAAATCGAGTCTTTACCCGTGGTAAACTCAAGCTCAAACTGTACCTTGCCTATATCATATATATATATGTATAATATTTAGTATCTAAAGCATATATACACTTATATAAATCTGCATTGACATGTAATTATACTAAAATATATAGAAACAAGAAGCTGAGACCCATCAAGCTTGAGCTTAGCATGGCTGGTGAAGTTCAAGTAGCCCACTAGTTTAGCATAAAAAAGAACCAGTTCACAAGTGAATTGATTCATTTATACTGAACAGCCAGATATATTTCACTTGAGTACAGTATGTCCACATTTCACGCTCACTTGTAATATACGAAATGCAAGCCTGAGATAATATTTTTTAAATATAGGATTTTTTGTGGAAATTCCTCTACACTTATTGTGAAATTTAGTAGATGTTCCATAAGAAATGTCACAATATGCTCTTGAGTAGGTATTATATATGCATACATATAACTGTTCTCTACAAAGGCCTTTCTTTGATTCACGTTTCTTAGCAGTTATATTAGATATGAATGGTTGAGATACGCATGAGCATTTTCTTAGTCTAAAAACTGAAACAAATAACGGAAACCTCTTCCGGACCTTGTGTTAAGTATGAATTGAAACCCCAATGAAGTAAAACACTTTTCAAAGAGACTATTCTCAGAAAACTTATTTTCATTAGAAAGAAACCAAAAGAAACACTCAATTTCCATTGCACCAAAACAAACTGAGCATATAGATATAAACCTACCCCCCACTACAAGAAAAATAATGGAAACAGTGATATCAAATTATAACCAATTAGTATATGATGAAGGAGAGGAGCAAAGTAAAGAAACCTTCTTTCCACGAATGACAGCTCCACCCTCGCCCTGAATAACCATGTACTTTGTGCCACCAAGATGTAATCCAGTTGGAGCAAGAGACCCTGGCTCATCGAAATCTTTCATTATCGCCGTAATTTCTTCAGGCTTGAACTGCACATAAACAAGCAAATCAATCTCACTCTCTTCCATCACTCACTAGAGACTAGACACTGCCGCAGATTAAATGAAGAACACAAAATGTGCTTGTGATGCAAAAACCCACCTGAATTCTTTCTATCATACATTGTCAGCAAAACAGAAAACATTTTCTGGGCAACCAAACAAAGATCAAATTCCAAAATTTCAACATGCAGAGCACAGATCATTTAGAAAATATCAATCACAAACCACATCAATCAATCACTTTGAAAAGATTAGGATTTCAGCAGCATATGAACTAAAGTGGTTAAATTAGTATTCATTAGTTTTACAAGTAACTGCATTTGCAATCCAAAAACTTCACTTCGCCGTTTTTTTTTTTTTTTTTTTTTTCTTTCTTGAAACAAACAGAGCCTAAGTTGCACAGATCTAATAATGAAATGAAACAAAAATAACCGCAGAGGGAAAGTTGGAGAAGGAAGGAACCTTAGGGAAGGCGGAACTCTGGGCCCACACACTACCGTCGTGACCGACAATGGCCGCGGAGGCCAGATGGTGGCCGTCGATGTCGCACATCAAGTGATCGTCGACGTAAACCTGCCACGACATTTTGTGATTCAATCGTGACCGTCGAATTTCTCAATTAACTTTGATTTTCTAGAATATATTAATTTTCGTCTACGGTCGGAACCCTAGCTGATTTCTGGTTCAAAGGAGAAAGGTATTTATATACACACACGTACAGAGAGAGATGCCTGAAAACTCAAAAGAGAAAAGAAGGTGGGAATTTAGTGGGCCCAAATCAACCGTTGCGTAACATAACACGTTGGTGTTGCGTCGCTAATCTTATCTCAGCCGTTGGATTTGAACATGATTGATTGAGTGCTCTTCACGTAGGAGGACCACAGGTGATTGAGAACTTCTGCTTGTGTTCATGGTCACGTGGGACCCCCGTGAGTTAAGTTTGGGTTTTCTTCTCTTTTGTAGGAAAACATACATGAATTGTGTTCCTAAATTGTTTACAAATTACATCGAATTGCATTCTAATCACACATAGTAAATTTCACATTAATTGACAGGATTTTCTCATAATTACTCAACCAGTATTATTAGCATTGGAAAATGAATCTATTCACATTTTCCGTGTGTAAATAAAAAGTATTATGAATTCACCACTCTTTTGTAGACACGTACATTCTACATATTATTATCATATAAATTAAGAAAGAAAAATATAAAATAAAAGTTGGTGAATTCATATACTGAACCAATTGCACACAATTCCTCTCACACCATTATTATATTTGATTTGCACACAATTCAAGATCTGACATGATAAAATTTCATCCCATCTTCAACCATTAGATTGAATTCTCTTATCTCAATCTAAATCCGGCAAAGTTTACAAATTTACAGCCCCACGTTGGAGATGCTCTTACATCGGATAAAATTTAACTTATTGTAGCTAGCTGTAATCAAAATTCACTTATGTGCTAGCTAGCTGTAAACAGAAAGCATTGCTACATTTTGGGTTTTTGATTTGCTCATTAGGAAACCTTAATGAAGACATTCAACTAATGTAATACATTGGATCAGGTAACTTGAAGGTCCGATTGCCGACATTTGTCCCTAAGATATCACTCCATTGATCACCAATATTCCCAATTATTCTAAATCCACTCTTCACAAGCTTAGTTCTCTCTGCTGATTTGTGCACATATGATGTGTTGCCAGAATAAGTCGATCCCCTGCAAGCCAAAAATGTCACTAAAATATAAACAGTACAATAGAAATGCCTTTTCAGTTTGACGAGCGGAGATAGTGTCCTTATCAAATGATCTAACCCACAATTGTAAACGAAAAGTTGTAATTTAAACCGTTAACTATAACCCAAGTGTAAGGGTTAATTGGGGAATATTGATTCTGACTTGAGCACAAGCTTCTCCCAAGTGTGATATCCGACATTCTTGAGATTGGTGGTTGTGACATTTCTTTGATCTTCTCCTCTTCCTGTTATGAATACAATCTTGACTCCAAGTTTCAAAAGCTTTTTGTAGAGCTTGAGACTCTCAGGCAAAGCTGGGGCTGTGCCTTCTAAGACCCATGTATTGAATGCAGTGGAATTGTATAACTCCGTCCTGAAATTTCACATCTTTAAAATATAAGGGCTCAACCCTACCAAAGACAAGGACAAACCTTCATCATGCATGTGATTTTCCAATAATCCACAAATTATCAAGAAATATTTTATTTATAAAATTTCTCAATGGATTTTCTTTGCTTTTTTTATTTTTTATTTTTATTTATTTATAGAAACTTTCGATTTTGGTTTTGCTTTAATCAAATATTCAAATTCAAGAGTGATAATTTGAAATAATATAATAACCTCGTGCTATCATCCCTTGCCGGCCTACCCCTACCTATAGTGCTTCAAGTCATTAATTCGTTGATTCATAATATATATATATATATATATATTTATCAAACAAGGATATACAAAACGTGTGAAGGGTTCTATCATAATATCATGATGGTGATATATGAATTTTTTATTATTTATTATTATTTTATTATGATTAGAACAATGAAAATTTGATTGCAAAATATACAAAGCAAGCCAACGAGGTCTAATCCAGTGGAAAATGACATTGACTTGCAAATCAATGATCTCAAGTTAGAACTCCATTGACACCTTGGTAGTGATATGTGTGTGACAAACTCTCTACCCCTTGTAGTTTACATTATCGTTTGTATTAAAATATATATATATATATATAACCACGCAAAAAAATTAGAGTAATAACATTACTATAAAGTAACTTACCCAAATCCATGATCAGCATAATAAGGTAGATTAGAGAGCGTAGTCTCATCTATATCAAACACCCACACATTCTTGCCATCGTTTGTAAGATTGAGACTCTTAGCATAGAGCCAAGCCTCATTAGTGACCACCTTTGAGTCTTTCCTGTACTGGTCGCCAAGCAAGTAGTGCCCAACATTGCTGGAACAGTCTTCCAGTTAATAATGTTGTTAGTTTCCACCCCCAATCTCCAACTCAAGCACGACACGCCAGGAACGCTGTCACCGCCCGCTCCGGATTTTGTCCTTAGCTCATCTGTTTCTTGGTGAGTGAACGAGGTTTGTTTTCAGGGGTGGAAACTAGAAAAAATCTTGCAAGGAGGACCATGGAAAAAATTGACTACAACTCAAGGGTGCCAAATAGGGGTATTTTTATAAGTATGTACACAACAATTGAAAAGAAAAACTCACTGAAAGAGGCCCAAAGAGCTATTGCTTGGTTGTTGAGAGAAAATTGAAGGAGAAAAAAGGTATGACGATTTTAAAACTCAACAGTCCAAGGGTTATGACGAAATTAAGAACATTGCAGTGGCTCCTCCCTGTAAGGAGCTATTTGTCCCTATATATATAAATCATAGCCTCATACATATATAGCTCATTAAAAGTATAAAAAGAAAAATTTCTTCACATGGGTTAAACTGTTATTTGTTTGTGGGGAACAATGGCTCTTTCTAAAGAGAATGATAACATGCGTCGGTCGGTGTGATGTTCACATTGAAAAATCTCACTTACAGAGAATGAGCCAAGTATTTTCCTTATATCATACTCGAGATCAAATGCACTTACAACATTGCCAATTTTTATTTGGTCAATAAAAAGCCTTAATCAAACATGATTCAAGTGTTTTGCAAAAAGCAAAACAAAAATCAGAACACTGATATATCAACTAATGTAATACATTGGATCAGGCACCTTGAAGGTCCGATTGCCAACATTTGTCCCCAAGATATCGCTCCATTGATCACCTGCATTTCCAATTATTCTAAATCCACTCTTCACAAGTTTAGTTCTCTCTGCTGATTTATACACATACGATGTCTTCCCGGTATAAGCAGACCCCCTGCAAACCAAAAATAGTGTCACTAAAACAATTACAAAACCCTAAAGTGTAAGGGGTAATTTGGGAATATAGATTCTTACTTGAGTATAAGCTTCTCCCAAGTGTGATATCCGACATTTTTGAGATTGGTGGTTGTGACATTTCTTTGACCTTCTCCTCTTCCTGTTAAGAACACAACCTTGACTCCAAGTGTCAAAAGCTTTTGGTAGAGCTTGAGACTCTCAGGCAAAGCTGGGGCCGTGCCTTTTAAGACCCATTCATTAAATGAAGTGGAATTGTATAACTCAGTCCTGAAATTTTCAAATATTAAGTATAAGTGGTGTGGGTAGAGGTTCGAAACCCCCTAGACACCCAATGAGTATTTGTGTAAATCCCCAATCGCTTGTACTAAAAAAAAAGCATTATTATGAAGCTAATGATTAAAAAAATATGCATAGTGAGGGAGAGAAAGGTACTTAATGATTTCTTATACTAATACAATATTAATAAAATATATTATGTTCTGTCCAATGAGGCATTGCTTTGCAATAGAAATAATGAAGGCATTTCTTGTGAACCAAAAAATAGAAATAAAGTATTCTATATAATTTAGAGTGCCAGAGCTCGTGGTTTTGCTAATCTACACGATGCATTATTCATTAATCAACTGACTTAATTTAGAACTTACCCAAATCCATTAACAGCATAATAAGGTAGATTAGAGAGTGTAGTTTCATCAATATCAAACACCCACACATTCTTGCCATCCTTTGTAAGATCGAGACTCTTAGCATAGAGCCAAGCCCCATTAGTGACCACTTTTGAGTCTTTTCTGTACTGGTGGCCAAGCATGTAGTGCCCTACATACCCTTCACATTCTGCTGGAACAGTCTTCCAGTTAATAATGTTGTTAGTTTCCACCGCCAACCGCCAACTCAGGCAAGACAAGCCGGGGACGCTGCCTCTGGCTCCACCGGTTTTTGGCGTGAGGAGATGGATATGGTGGGTTAGAACTGGCTCATAACCTTGGGTGGTTGATACAATTGTGGCCAGGAAGAAGACTAGTGCTACTGGCAATATTTCCATGATGTATGACATTGTTTGAGAGGAAACTTTGTTGCTTTGAATTGACAATTTGTCTTCTTTAAATAGGCTCTACTAAAGCTAAATGACCCTAGGTTTGTAGGATAATTACTTGGGTGGCCCTAGTTGTATATATGGTGTAAAAAAAAATACACAAATTGAAATGTAAAACCACTCTTTATGAGCTGGAATATATTCTTTTTATGATGTACCACTTGGATTTTATCTTTAAACTATGCTCATTTCTTAAAGAAACACTAGCACTTTTTGCTATTCCGTATCAATAACGCAATGACACATGAGATAACATTTTCACATATTATAGCATTATTCGTTGGAAATAACAAAATAGTATTATCTACGTTTTAACTCAGTTTTTTCTGCGTTGCTTAAGTTTAAAGTTTACCTAGCTAACTAGCTGGCTCTTTTTTTTTCTTTTCTATAATATCTTTTTGTTGGGGGGCGGGAGAGCTTATCTGGATATATGTAAAGAAATGCTTCACATTATTCACATTAATGTTACAATATTCATGCTTTTTTGTTTTTCTTTTGACCAAGTCATGTAAGAACCACAGACACACACACACAAAGGTGACACCATCTGATCACACAGACGCAACAAAAGGCAAAACGACTAGCATATATTAATAAATAAATAGAATAATGCAATGATATGTCTGTAGACTATATGCACAACGTGCCACTGATAATAAAACTTAAATATTTGAATATAATTCGAAGACAATTATTTGTACCAGTAGTGAATAATATATTGTTCTTGCTTAGTATATTCTATTTTTGGTAATAATTGGTATATGCTTTTACTACTAAATTAATGCAAAATGCCATCACTTTATTAGGTAGCATAAACTTGTCGAAAAGCATAAAAGTGGAAATAATTCTTTAATACATTTTTAAATTAATCACGAGGAACAAGAGTTTAAAGAGTAGTAAATTATTTAGAGAACAACCACGAATATGGAAGTTAAGATTGCACTAATTTGTCTCTTAAGTTGTCCCAAGGTGTATCATCATCACTTTTCTCAATACTTGATACATGTCTATTAACATAACTATAGTTAACTCTTTATTTTGTATTTATGGAATTATAGTTATGTCAATATATACGTGTCAAATATTGAGAATGATAATAAAGGTACACATTAGGTTAAAATAATGAGAAAAAATACTCCCCAAATAAAAATCAGTATCTAGTGTGAGTTTTTTTCAGTAGTGACAGCAAAAGAAAAGATGAATAAGGAAGGAAAGATACGCATGCCACTCCACATATAGAGAAAGCATCCTCTTCTTATACGGATTTGGAAATTCTGTATGGACAGCCTACACCTACCACCACCCACATGTAATATGAAGTTTGCTGAGCTTGTTCTCCTTTAGGACTCTTTCAGCCTCCAATATTAAACCCAAAAAAAGAAAGAAAAAAAAATTGTTTTTTTAATCCATGCCGTCCACGTGTTCTGATTCTAAATGCATTTTGAAATTACATGTAGGATGACTAAAAATGCCTAGAGATGGATGAATAAGCTAATTTAAGATTATTATCAATAAATAAAAATAAACTTCCAAGTAGGATTGATATGACTTATCAATCCTTAAATGTGCAGAGTTTAAAGTAAAGGAACACGCAGATATTTATTTTACTTGGTAAAACCCCACTTTTGGGGAAAATTCATGGGACTCATCAGTCCAAAACAAATCCACTATAGAATGAAGATTACAAGAAGTACTCATACACTTATCCTAAACGCAATATAGATACTGTTTACTGACTTCTTCATAACTCAACTTCTGTCACGAGATGATCTTCGACACTCCTTGTGTTGAACGCAATATTGATCAAGGATTGAAATATCGGCCGATACACCGATATATCGGTATTTTCAACTATCGACACCGATATAAGGGGGTAAGACCATATTTTCCCCTGTATCGACGATATATCCCCGATATTTCCGGATACCCATAACAGAACCTAAAAAAATTTAGAAGTTTGAAGGCACAGTCCACTGCCCACATACCTTCAATCCATCTGAAGAGGACATGGCGATCAGTTTTGGATCTATGAGCATAGGAACTAGACCTAGTACTAACTCAAATAAATCTTATGATGGCTATGGTTATGTCATGTCTAATTATAGTGGAACTAGTTATGGAGCTCAAGATGATAAAAAAGATTATGGACCTACTAGTTGGTTAATCCTAACTATCCAATGTATGAGAGGACAATAGGGAGCTCAAGAGAGACCTATGTGCACCATGTTCAAACATGACTTATAAACTGCTCGAGTTACATGACTTGGTATGACTATTGTATGAATCTAGACGGTTGTTCCTCATTGTTTGAACCTCATAGGAGCTCTTTATTTATGTAGATGGACGTTTATCTAAATTGTAATCCAATGTTTAAACAAACTATGAATTTATGCATGGTTTATTCATTCTAATCAACATTTTATTTTCAAACTTTTCATTAACGCTCATTACATACAACTTATATTTCATCATATGTATATCTTATTATTGGTGAATTTTGAGTTTTATTTGTTCAATACATTCATTGATAATGCACATAACATTTATGAAAGTTTTACACCAAAATTATGTGTTTCAATGCCTATATCTGTCATTTTTGTTGATTTTTTCCTGATACCTAAAACGATAATGATATATCCCCCGAAATATCCATAAATTGGAGGCCCGATATTATCTGCACGGCCGATATTTTAATCCTTAATATTGATCATGATTGCTTCAAGCTCGACTGAGGATAAACGCCACCACGGTCTTGGTCTCCTCAACCGTATGCGTCACAGAACATGCATATGAATGTAATATGAATGATGAAAGCATTTGATAAATCACCAACTAAAAACAAGAACACTTGATGACTTATCCCAAAGATATGCACAACAGCTTTTTCTTAAGAACTCTATATGCTCAACACAAATGTCAAAAGCTGTATCTGTCAAAAGATAGGCACACTTCTTTTATTCAAAATTCACTTTCCCTAGTCAAACGGAAACACAAGAGTCCACAAACACTCTTTAATTATGACTATCAAATTTAATCCAATATGGACTCTAGTGAAAGACATCATAACAGGAGTCCAAGAGACCACAAATTCTATTCAATTATGAATATCAGTTTTGATTCAATATGGACTCTAAGTGATGACGCCAAACAACCACTTTTTTATGGTGAAACAATATCTCTTAAAATAAGTTAATTAGGAGATGAGCACGGGGCACGTCATTGTAGGAAACGCTAATATTTTAACTTGAATCAAAATGGCATTGAAAATAACTTCAACTAGGAATTCTATTATGAATGCATGATTATGTCATGATTTACCTGAAATCAAGTTTCTTATATCGATCAAGACATGCTTCGAAAATCCGGGATTGAATGTGTTGCGCCAAAACTTGCAATAAAAAATATATTCACACACTAATTCCCAACCTATATTAAAGTCTAGAAAATGTCAATACAATTTTCGTACTGACAGATTTGCAACATTCACAGGATATTTTTAGATTCACAAAAGATACTCTTTCAATTGCTGTGCCATTTTTATTTTTGTAAGAGGTTGCCTGCCCCCCGAGAAACATGACGATCAACATATCAAAATGTATGAAGAAACGAGCAAAACAATTAACAAAAGAGTACTTGATTCGTACACTACACATGCAAGTTGTTGCTTTATTTCTTTGTTGGGGTCCTATCATGTCTATGGAAAACAGCAAAACAAAAGCAAGGCCACACAACTAGAAATGGTGATGAACAATACCTTACTTAGAGCCTTAATATAAACAAAATCTTGGTGTTTAAAGTAAGGGAACTTCTGTTTTTGTGACAAACTATGATTTTCATGTTGAAGAAATATTATTGCCACACAGACAGTAAATGAAATTATCTAGCCATGTGTCTTAATTACTTGTCAATCCAAATTGATCGACCAAAATCTGTAAACCCACCGACAAGCAGAAGTCTGCATCGATCTTTAAACCCACGTTTTTCTCTTTCTATTTTTGGTACAATGGGATGATATTGACCTCATGTTTTGATCAGTCAATCCAAAATTGATCTAGATAAAAATATCTTTTTACTTTTAATGCCACGTCCAATCGGAAGCAAGCATGGCTACAGGTAATGGCAGATTCATGATTTTCTCTGTGGGACATATAAAAAGTAAATAAATTTAATTAATATTTTTGTTGTTGTCGAAGTTAAAAAGGGGGAGACGAGAAACTCACATACACAAGTGTATCATGGAAGCTTGAATCAAAATACACGTGAGAGTACACCAAAGACCTACGCCGCTCCAACTAATAATCCATTGGTAATCTAACCAATATTTAGTTAGGTATAAAATTTCAAACTTTGAATAGTAATTTTAATTATCCAAGACGAAATCGAATCTTCATGTTGGAAAAATGTTGGATAATAGGGTTCATAATTGGGTTTTGGGCTGAAGGACAAGGCTTTCTTTATCATTTACTGGACCAAATATAATTGTGGGGCCTGGGTATCTTAGAAAAATCTGCGAACGACTTTGTATTGATGGATGGTTCATGAAGAGTGGAAACTTTAAAGGGGACCTGGTAGTTATAATTTCCCAAGAAATGATAAGAACATACACAAAATAGACGCAATAGTGTCATGCGAAATGAAACTTAAAAACACGACACTAACATAAAAATAGGGGTGGGGCAATGGAGTGAAGGTCGGCTCATCTCAAACTAGCTTTCGGTCATGTGGTAGTTACCTTCACTTAATAGATGAGGTCTTAAGTTCGACTCATATCAACGCAAAGAAATGAAAACAAGGCCACCTCATCTCCCTCATTTGAAGATTGGAATTAAAACCAATTAATTGTTTACGTTGTAAATTTACTAAGAAGAATAAAAGCTAATTTATTTTTAAATGGTTGGTTATGGGCTACTTAAAATAAGGTTGACTTTTTTTATTACGAAAGAGGCCAATGTGAAATGAGAAATGTAACTATACCACCCACTTGAACTTTGGCAATGGTTAGTTCCATAGCCTTTCGCGGTCCAAGATTTGGGAGAATGATTTCCACCTGGCGTGTTCTTCTTCTTTTTATTTTGATTTGTTCGGACTTGCGTGTCTCGTGGTTTTTCTTTGTAATTTAATTCTTTTCGCATAAATAAAATAAAATAAAAACTATACCAGCCACTATAAATAAAAGTCTAACAAAAATTGGGTTAATTGTATAAATGAATGTTACGTTTCTAACATTTATATAGTGTCGTTGTGGTTACTTGGGTGCACTAATCAATCCATTGTTGCAATGCGTAAGTGTAAGTAGATCCAACCAAAAAATTTCAACATTAAACTTAACAACTATGGGAATGATGATTCAAACTCAGGTACATAATAGGCTCATATCCATAACTTCACAATTTACCCTTAAGTTCAACTTCAACATTAAAATCTCAACAAAAGCATATATAGTCATTTATAAAAAAATAAAAAATAAAAAATAAAAGACTTTTTGAAACTCTGCACCTTTCCCCATAGTTCCTTCTTAAAAAAAATTTGTGAAAACCTACAACAATTATTGATGCTTGGGTGCACCTATCAAAATTTTCGGGTCACATAAGTGAAATGGCACTTCATCAGCCCAAAAATTAACGGGCTAGCCCGGATAAAGCCCATCCTGAGCTATTCTTTTCTTTTGAACCCAAATATCGGATCCTACCATTTTTGCTAACAGAAACCGGTCCGCCCGTGCTGGCCTAAAACCCTTGCAGCTCTCTCTCCCTCTCCGGCGCATCGCCGCTTTGCTGCGTTCAAAGTTTTCTGGGTTTTCACTTCTGATTATGATCGCCACAAATCCAACGGTTTTTTTTGTTAAACCCTAAAAATTCACAAAATTAAAGGAAAAAACCCTAACATTTCTCTGTCTGCTTCATCACCATGCTCTCTCGTCTGCTCCCCAAACCCTCCCATTTCTCTCGCCTAACCCTAATCTCCTCAAAGTTCCACCCACCTCCCCAACCCCAAAACCCTGTTTTCACTACCTTCGTGCCGAGGTTCTTCTCCAGCGACAATGGCAAGGGCCCCTCCCAATCCGATGTTTGGAAACTTTCTCAGGAAACTGATGGAAAGTTCGACCCTTTGTTCGGTGAGAGCTCCGGGGACGTTTCCGGAGTCGCCGATTCCGGCGAGGCTGACGAGGCCGATTCGTGGTTGAAAGAGAAAGGCGGGGAGGAGTGGGAAACAGTGGAGGGGTACAAGCCTTGGAGCTTGGGAGAGGAGGAGAAGAGTGACTTGTTCGATATCGGTGAGGGTGTACAGACTGTTGCTGCAACCGACGGTGAGATCCGCAGGAGTAGTAGAGAGGAGATTGAGAAGGCTGAGGAGGCTAAGAGCCTTGAGAAAGAGGAGCAGGAGCTCACTGCTGTTCTCAAAGGTAGTTCCTTTTTGTTAATTTTGAGATAACAGTTTGATGTGAACACACATTTTGATGTATGTGTTCCAGTTTGAAATCATAGATATGGGAAAGCATAGAAAAGTGTTAAGCTTAGTGGAACCACTTGTACTGTACTATTGCCTTTTTGGTTGATTTGGGCATCAAGCATTTGTATGTCTCCTTCTCTTAAGTTTGTTGAGAAGGAACTGATTGAAAGCTTGTTGAGACGTCTTTAAGTTTACCAAGCAATTTCTGTCATTTTATGTCCATGCGTGTATTGTCTGTTTCGTTCTGAATCCTGCTTTTGAGAACTACTATTTGTTGAATCGATGGGAGAACGAGTTAAAATGAATACATATTTGCTTGGTTTGGATGTGTATTCCACATATGGCTTAAAACCATTTTTTATACTTTGTTGGAGTTATATTTTTTAAATGATACTTCACTTTGGATGAAGTTGCTTATTCATTATTTCTGTTTTAACTTGATCAGTGATGTCCTGTGTTGACTGGAATAAGTTGAGTGATTCACATTTTTTCTTTTACTTCGACTTGTCAGGTGAATTGTTCAATTGTATACTGATTCAGTATGGTAATTGCAGGTGCAAATCGTGCATTTGGTGACCTTGTTGCTGCATCTGGAATCACAGATGAAATGCTTGACACTTTGATTGCATTGAAGGATTTTCAAGGGATAAATGGATTGCCCCCTCTAAGAGAAATAGAAGACATTCGTTATGAGAAAACTACCAGAAAATCCTCAAGAGCTGAAATAGAGCGCCAGAAACAGGAGGAACTTGCAAAAGCAAGAGTGAGACAAGTAGACGACAAGGGGAGAGCTTATGGAACAGGAAGAAGGAAATGCAGTGTAGCACGTGTCTGGATTCAACCTGGTGATGGGAAATTCACGATTAATGATAAACAATTTGATGTCTATTTCCCAATGCTCGACCATCGTGCAGCCCTTCTTCGACCTTTCTCTGAGACAAAAACGTTGGGCCTTTGGGACATTGAGTGTACTGTTCAAGGAGGTGGCACCACAGGTAAGCCTAAGTTTCAGAGATACACATCTTATTATGGTTTATATGTTAACTTCTTCCTTCGTATTGACTTGTTTGGGATCCATTGCAACTGTTGTTTCCCTCCTTTATCCTTGAACTTGCAACCAGTGTTGTCTCACTACTTAGTACTTACACTGCCGACATCATGGAGAACAATTTTTTGTCCAGCTCCATATGTTAGTGGACACTTTTTCTGCCCATATTCTTATGGGGTCATATGTTCAATTTGACTCCTTAAAATAGATGAAATGGACGTTAGTGAGTTTTTCTTCCTAAGCTGTTAGGGTGCTCTAGTTGTTTGAAACCAGATATATAAACAGGAAGAGGCCAAAGAAAATGATAGGAAAATCAGAGCCAAAATATCTTGACAGAATTACAGACAAATTGATTGTAATCCATTAAGTTTGTTTTATGCTACTTTGCTCTTCTTTATATTTACTAGTTGGGTACGAATATACCGTAACTTTGTGCAAATTGTTAATTTTAAAAGCATGTTAATCCATTGCATACGTCTGTTTATGGAAAATTAAGAGTGGATTTTACAGGTCAAGTTGGCGCAATTCAATTAGGAGTAAGCAGGGCCTTGCAAAATTGGGAACCCGACTTGCGTCCTGCACTAAGAGATTGTAATATATTTCTCCTCCCCTTTGTGCGTTTGTCATTTCTAATTGATAGGGAGAAACAGATGCTAACCTTGTAAATTGTAAATTTTACTAATTTGTTTTCTTATAAATGATCTTTTATAGCTGTGTTGCTTTCTTGCTAATCCAGTTGTTCACTTGTCTTTCCAGCTGGTTTCTTGACAAGGGACTCACGTGTGGTGGAAAGGAAAAAACCAGGAAAAGCAAAGGCAAGGAAGAGCTTCCAATGGGTCAAGCGTTGATCAATTGTTGCGAGCTTGGTTTTCTACACCAGTATTGATTGGGAACTTAAAGTATGATTTACAGCAATAACTTGTTGAGATTCACTCTTATGGCCTTGCATGGCATTTGTAGTGGTAGCTTGTAACAGTCGATGAGTAATAGAACAATTTTGTAGATTATGTGATCCGAGAAGCATTTGAAGCTATATGATTTGTTTCTGATTCTTTGTTGCTTCCACAGCTTTAAGTTTTGTACTCGACATGATACTTGAGTTAGGTTTTTGAAGTGAGGTTGATAGCATTTGTATGATTTCTTATTTATTTTTGGCTTAGTTGTTGCATTGGTGTATTAAATTACAATGTATTACGAGACAAAAGTAATTGATCAAAATGTCGTTGCAAAAGCAGACAATATTTACAATTTGAGATCATATTATTAGAGGTTGAGTGGATCAAAATATTATGGCTTAACCATGTGGTTATGGACAACAATTTATCAACCGCAGACCCTTTAACATCCAACAATTTGTCAAGGCAACAGCCACATGCTTGGCTGCGATTAAAAGATGCCTCCAAAGAAGCAACGATGCAATATTGGGTATAACTACAACCTTCATTGGCTAATATACATCAAAACCCTTCATCATCTTAAAGGGCTTACAACCCAACCTGTGATCGGACTCTGCCTGCGAACTCTGACTCTCCTATGTGAACCACTCTGCAATCGTTCAAGCACAGCATATGTAATCGAATCCGGTGTCAACCCCTGCTGCTTAAGCTTTGCATACAGATCCACTGCCTCAGCAGTCCTCCCACACCTCTCAAGACAGTCGAGCAAGATGTTGTATGTTACAATGTTAGGGTAGCAGCCTTGAGCAAGCATGTCCTCGAACAACCTGCATGCCATTTCAACCCTATCTGTCTTGCCGAAGCACTCGATGAGAGTGCTGTAGGTTACAACATCAGGGCTAAAACCCTTCTCTTGCATCTCCTTAAACCTCATGTGGGCTTCATCCACATCACCATTCTTGCCAAGGCAGTTGATCAATGAATTGTAAGAGATGATATCAGGTTTACAATCGCTGTTCTCAAGCTGTTCAAATATGGTCACAGCCTCATCAACCTTCCCAGCTCTACCATAGCTCGAAATCAGAATATTGTACGTAAATATGTCAGGTTCGGGGCCGTCAAGTTTCATCTTTTCATACAGTTCACTGAGATGAGATACCTGCTTCAACTTTCCAAGAGCTGACAAAACTGTGTTGTACATCATAGTATCAGTAGTTACCCCTTTCTCATGAATGTTACTCAGCATGTCAATGGCCTCCGCGGTTTTACCAGCACTACACAGACTCTCCAACATCGACATGTACGCGTCCCGATCCCCCCTGTCATGGAAGCTCCACATGTTGCAGAACAGCCGGTGAGCTTCACCGGCATGACCCAATTTACTCAACGTCCGCACAAGATACGCGTATATTGACTTAGTCATGTATTTCTTCGACATCTCCACCACCTTATCAAACCTACCCAGCTGCCCTTCAGCAACCAAAAGATTCAAAATCACACTGTACGTAAACTCATTAGGCCTGCAATTGTTCTCCACCATTTTTGAGAACACAATGATGGCCTTCTCAACCATCTTGCTCCTAGCAAGAGCCTGAATCATAGTATTGTAAACAATCATATTAGGACTGCAACCCTTTGTTATCATCTCCTGAAACAACCCCAGAGACTCATCACCTTTGCCCAATTTCCCACTCATTCTGATCATGATCGTGTACGTAAACTCATCCGGCTCGCAATGCTTCTTCTTCATATCATCAAACACCTTGTATGCATGCTCAACCTGTCAAATTTTCTGCTGCACATCAGAAAATCAGAAACCCACAAAAACCCACATCGAATTCAAACGTGAGTGCAACGATAAGGTCATATATTCAATTCATTCATTCAAATTCCAAACCTTCTCGTCTTTGGCTAGCGCATCCAACAACATATTGTAGCCAAAAATATCGAGCTTATAACCACGACGCCGCATTTCCAGATAAGTATCGAAGGCTTTGGTGGAGTCGTGAGAGCGCAAGAAGGCCTGAAGCAAGCACTTGTAAGTGTAGCAGTTCATGTTGAGACACCATTTCTTCACCAACCCAATACACGTCTGCAAGTCTTCAGTGTCGCCGAACAGGCCTATGAGGATGTTGACGGTGGAGATGTTGCCACGTATGTTGGAGCGGTCCATGTCGCGGAGGATCGACCGGGCGAGGTCGAACCGGGCAGGGAAGGTGGACTTGGAGAGAATGAGGAGGAGGCGGTTGCAGGTGAAGGGGTCATGGTGGAAATTCGGGGAAAGCGAGGGACAAAACCGGAAGAATCTAATGGCGAGGTCGGGGCAGTTGAGGGATTTCAGGATTTCGGAGGCTTCAGATGAGGTGAGGTGGAGGGAGAGGGAGGAGAGGTAGTCGGAGAGGTCGGAGAAGGGGTCGGACGACGTGGCGGAAGGTGACTGGCGGAGGAGGATTTGGGTGGCTTTGCAGATGAGGTCGCGTCGCGGGAGAGCGTAGCCGCGGATGTCTGTGGGGAGGGGCGGTGGTGGGGTCACCTCGGCGGAGACGGAGAGGCCCGTTGGGGAGGTTGAGGTTATCTTGGCAGTGTACTTCGTGGCGTAGTGGCGGCGCATGGTGGGAACGGAGGTGGTTGAGCGCGTGGGTTTGGTGAGGACGAGGAGCCTCAGGTGGCGGCCGGGTGTCATGGTGTGGCGGTTAGTGTTTGGTTTTGGAGTCGTTATGCTCGGAGAGGGACTGGGTTTGGTTTGGACTGTTTTTGGTTAAGGGGTTCAAAGTAAACGACGTGTCGTGTTGAGTGAGGCAGAAAATTTTGGATAACAATTATCAATGCGGAAAGACAATTGATATTTGAACTGTATTTATAAAATTATATAATTTGAAGATTTAATATTTTGCCATATAATTTATAAATTATATATATATAGTATTTTATTGAAAATTTAGGAGTTAAGGCTTAAAAGATATATTTGGTAAGAAGATTGAGGTGGACTCATTAGCATGAGGTGTTGGATCAAGAGTATTGTAGCTAGAGATGGTGCCACCATTCTCGCTAGGTGGCAGGACATGCAAAAATTAAAGGTTTGTAGCTAGAGATGGTGCCACCATTCTTGCTAGGTGGCAGGACATGCAAAAATTGAAGATAGCCTCAACTGGTTGTTATCCTATATTGTTGCCACCAAGAATATTAACTAATGAAGGATTTCTTGTTGTCTACTTCTACTACTATAAATAGAAGTTTACGTTTATAAATGGTTTACTACATCTAGAGAAAGGTATGGAGAGAGACATCTAGAGAAAGGTATGGAGAGAGAGAGAGAGAGAGAGAGAGAGAGAGAGAGAGAGAGAGGTGATGAAATTCTTGGAGGAGATATGTGGCTTAGCTTGTATTTTCTTAACTTGGAGCAATGGTTTGGAATCGAGGTAAGAGTTTCTTGGGGGCCTTTACGGGGATTGATTTAATTAAATTTCGTGAGCATTATATTATGCGTGGTATTACAGTTTGGTTGATATTCTTTGTTATTTATGTTTTGTTAATTATCATTATATTATTTTATTAATATTGATATGTTCATATGTTATCAGAGATGGCTGGAATTCTTGGGTTGATGAAGAAAGTATGGAAAAGAGGGTAATGGAAATAATCTTTTGTGTAGTTGAGTCTAGCTCTTGGTAGGTACCAGATCTCAGGAATCCCACAATGCACATGGTTTTTATTGGGTGATGCAGGTCTGGCGATAAGGAGTTAGACAAGATGACTAACAAAAAGGGAAAATTATGGGATGATTTGAAATGGGGGTTAGTTCATATAAATGGGCATTCGGGACTAAGTGGTATAAGCATGGTATGTGATGTGCAGATTTGCTTGGCCAGTTGTATGAATTAACGGGATTAGATGAAAAGCATTCATGCATTATTATCTTTTATATGTTATGTGATTGTACGTCACTTAATTTAGTTATATCATTCTACTGTGGTAAGGTCTCATGTCCCTACTGAGTGGTGGTTGTTCATTCCTTATCCTGTCTAATTTTTCAGATGAATTAGTGGGTAAGAGGAGGACTAAACCAGTTAAGGCTAAATTATATGAGAGTGATAGAGCTTTATTTATTAATTGTAAAGTTGCAAGATTTTGGAGTTTTGGCTTCTTTTTATTTTTATTTTTTTCCTCACTCACTGAGAGCAGGATTTCCACCGACCCCTGAGTCTGGGGCGTGACAGAAGAGTTTTACGGTTTCATTAAATTGTTTTGTTATTCACTGACTTGTTAAATTAATGTTTAGGATGCAACCCAATCAGAGTGATGATACATGGGGAGTCTTCCAAGTGGGACCCGATGGCCTTATCCCAGTAGACGAAGAAGTATACCACAACCGTCTACGCAACCAAGCTTATGTGGACGTAGTTAATGAAGTTATAGATACAGGATATAGAAGGATGTTTTATACACCAGATATGCAGAGACTGGTTGTTAGACATCGGTTGCAAGCCAACAATATTATGAGTCAATATCAATTAAATATTGAAGCACACTCTTACGACTAGGTGTTAGAAGATGCTGCGATTATAGTTGCTGATATTTGGCCACCACCAAGGATAGACTTACCATATGTTCCAGAACCACATGAGTTAAACTTACCCCTATGTCCCAGACCCAGAAGATGAAGCATATTTGGAACTTCTGGAACTTGATGCTCTATCTGCTGGGTCTATTGGGTCAGCTACTTTAGTGGTTATCACTGAACCACAAAATTCTAATCCAACTGTCATCAATCTAAGTTCTGATGAAGAAAATTAGCCTGTTAGGTTCACACTATCTATTTTATTAGTCAAACTTTTGAGAAAATCTATTCATCATCAGAACTAATATCTATAATTTCAACAGGAGGGATAATAGGCTTAGGATGTTCATTTTCTTCATCATAACTTAGATTGATGACTATGACAGTTGGATTAGAATTTTGTGGTTCAGTGATAATCACTGAAGCAGCTGATGTAATAGACCCAACAGATAAAGCATCAAGGTCCAGAAGTTCCAAATATGCTTCATCTTCTGGTTCTGGGACATGGGGGTAAGTTTAACTCATGTGATTCTGGAACATATGGTAAGTCTATCCCTAGTGGTGGCCAAATATCAGCAACTATAATCGCAGCATCTTCTAACACCTAGTCGTAAGAGTGTGCTTCAATATTTAATTGATATTGACTCATAATATTGTTGGCTTGCAACCGATGTCTAACAACCAGTCTCTGCATATCTGGTGTGTAAAACATCCTTCTATATCCTGTATCTATAACTTCATTAACTATGTCCACATAAGCTTGGTTGCGTAGACGGCTGTGGTATACTTCTTCGTCTATTAGGATGAGGCCATTGAGTCCCACTTGGAATCCTCCCCATGTATCATCACTCTGATCGGGTTGCATCCTAAACATTAATTTAACAGGTCAGTGAATAACAAAACAATTTAATGAAATCGTAAAATTCGCTCTGATACCATTCTGTCACGCCCCGAACATGGGATTTCCATCAACCCTCGAGTCCGGGGAGTGACATGGGTTCACCGTACATTTTAGTTTTTAGTTTTCATTTTTTGTGCTAGAGTATAGAGGAAAATGAAAGTGAGAATGTGAGTGAGAGAGAGGATGAGAGGGGAGGATATGAGGGAGGAGTAACAAAAGTGAAAACAAAAACTTGAAAGTGAAAACAATTTCAAATAGATTTCAGTTTTTAGTTTTAGTTTTCACTTTTATTACTCATTCCTCTCTCATCTTCCCTCAATCCCATCTTCATTCTCATTTCCACTTCATTTCTCTCTATTTTTCCTCTATACTCTAGCACAAAACATAAAAACTAAAAACTAAAAACTAAAAACTAAAAATGAAATGGTCATCAAATGGGCATAAAATATAGTGTCACACTAATGTGAAATGAAAACATACACAAGGTTAAGGGGGGAAAAAAAACTAACACTCATCGGCATAAATCTGTTTTAAAACGATTCACTTTAGTTACAAATCCCTTACGAATATTGCAAATAAAATTTAACCAAACACATTATGTCTTTGTAATTTTTTTTGAAAGAAAAAAAAACCTAAAGTTGAAAATGGAGTTGATTGATAAATTGGGAGAAAAAGAGGGAAGTAAAACAATGAAAAAGGTATTAATCTGTTAGTGAAGAATGAAAAGGTATTAATCGGTTATTTGTAATAGAAAACTACAGAACCGGATTATTTTTTATATTTCTACATTATCTCACATTGTATAGATTATAGCAGCCTTTTTCTTTTTCTTTTCCTTTTTTGTCAAAGATTGTGCAAAAATTAAAAAATAGTTGAACAAGTCACGCTCTTCTTGCTAGTTATTTGTTCTAGTTATACAACCCAGTGCATCCACGGAATGGTTCATTCTCCAAGCAAATGAAGCAATGCAAATGTTTTACATCGTAAAAAGATTGAATTATACCCCCATTATGATATTAAATCTGGTACTCCTGCTGAGCACAAACTTCAACCCCAAGAAAGGTTGAAAAGAATATAATCAAATATTAGTATAGTAAAAAGGCAAAGGGCGTGTCTCTCCCATATAGAGAGAGAGAGAGAGAGAGAGAGAGAATGCATAATATTGGCAAAATGGATCCTGATACATGCAATTTGGATCAAATTTTTCCTTTCAAAATTTTATTTCGACAATGCCGACAAGGCAAATAACTTGGAAGTCGTAAGAAGCCATGTGATTCAAAAAAATTATGGCAGAAGCACCTCTCATTTTGCATGGAAATGTCTGCTAACTGATTCGTAACTGGGGACATTCGAAACTGCCACAAAAACAGGAGGGGTTAATTTTCTCATCCTTTAATCAAATGATAGTAATATCTCAATATGAGATCAGTGTAAAGCATTGGAAATTTACCATTGCCAAATGATGCCATTGTTAGAGGTGAAGAAATAATCTTTTGCGCAATTGTAGTAATATCTGTCAAACTCACTTCTTCTACTGTCTTCAAGAAATGCTCCACAGGTTTCCTGCAATGGTTAATAGTGACTGTATAGCTTAGCATGTCACAAGAAACACTGTAATGCTTCAATATTTTAAAATTCTACTAAACCATAAAGAGGCTTAAGTAAGGGCTATCAAATAATGTCATACCACCAGAGTGATGTAAAATAAATAGAAAACAAAAAAGGTAAAAGAAATTTGAGCAAGAGGATTGAAGTGAAATAGGGAAAAATGGTTCCATCTAGATATTGCACACCTCTCTCCGTATGTCAAAACCTGCCTCCCTATGTCCTCTGATGCAATCATCTGCAAAATGAAAATAAAAGACCCAGGAATTATGACCAAACCTCAAACAACAAATACTGAAATGTGCGTGTAAGAGAACCATTATAGTAGTATAATTATATGAGGCAAGGAGAAATGGAGGTCAAAGACTCAACAAAAGAAAACAAGAAGATTCTGTGTATGTATGCATAAGAGAGAGAGAGGGCATACTCTAGATTCTAGATTCATTAAGACTGCAGCCTTTGTGGACTCCTTGGCACGTTTAAGCTGTACGTCCGTAACTGCCAACATGGAAAAAAGAAACTTAGCAAAGAGAAACATAAATCAGAAATCTTTCGAGTACAAGAAGAAAAACAAGAAAATGCAGAACAAACCTTGTCCGGGTGTTGCAATTGAAAGTAATTCTTTAGCTGCTATATCAACTAGTTCTGATCCAAATTCACTGGCCTACATTCAAAAATAGCAACAAAAGAAAATTATTCTAAAAATTAAGAAACGTACTTTAATTATATACCAAACAACATTATAAGCTGAATGATGATTCATATCACATAATACAAAACATGATGATTCCCCCAACTAGACCACTTTGATGAATTCTCCCATGCAAAATTCTAGATCCAATAAAAGTTCACCTTCCTTATGTATAGAAAAGCCATTGTAAATTAGCTTGATTGGAAACATAGCTCCAATATGTGAAAATTCACATCATAAACTCAAGTTAAATGCAGAAGAAAAACCTCATGCACAATTCCAACAGAAAATATCAATAGCCGGACTTGAAATTAAGATAACAAAAATCAGATGGATGTCAAATTGATAAACCACTTAATGAGTCTATCTTCTGACACAAAAAGACTGTCCAATTCATGCACAGGCACTACCCCAGCAATCTATCCAACAAAATGCAAGCCACATTAACCATGAAGATTTAGAACTAAAGGGTGGGCCTTACAGAGCTAGCATAAATGCCAAACAGCCCAGAATCATTGAAGATGCTGTTGAAGGCAGAGAAGGACTGAATCTCTTGAAACTGATTCAAAACGCGGAGATCTGTTGTCAAATGATAGTAATGATCAGTGAAACAAGAATACATATAGCTTCTAAAACAGGATCCCTGGCACACACACACACACACACATATATATATATACAGTTATTCTCTTATCCGGATGTCCGCACGTTATTCTCGTGCGGATGTTATTGTAAACAAGCAGGAAAGCAAGGAGGGACATGCAAGGAGGGATGTTATTGTATACAGTTTCTGAGTATATGCTTCTTAAATTACACACGAGCAGACTGCGGATTTAACACCAGATATCAAACCTGCTGCATTCTCTTGTTAAGGAGGGATGGGGTGCCAGAAAAACAAGAAATGAAAGAGGTAAATAGAAAGTATAGTTTAAGGGGTTTAAAAGTATTGCATGTACAGAAAGAAGGAGAATCATAGTGAAAATAATCAAGCAATCTAGCTAATTAACAATAAACTAGAAAACAAAACTTAAATAGCGAAGGAGGAAAATCATAGTTAAAATAATCAACCATTCAAGCTAATTAACAATAAACTAGAAAACCTGGGTAAAACTTACATAGCCTTGAGTGCATCCCCTTTCCAGGTCCCCCGGCAGAGAAAGAACCACCACCTCCCATAAGCAACTGCAAAATACAAAAGTATTATTGTCATCCAAGTATGGCATAGTCTCTCTTATGATCACATGTCACTAAGAACGTAATCCAGAGAGGAGATATAGATACGAAACACAGAAATTCGTCAAACATAATCTATTTGACATGCATGAAATCTCATAAACATTCCACAGATAAATGTGAAACCTGGAGAACCGTCAAAAGGATGGCTTGCTTCTCTTGTCGCCAGCCACCGGGAACTTCAAAAGCAAGAGCTATATGGGTCTCCTGGCACAACAGGAGTATAGCAGATAAGCATGCTAGCAACAAATTAGATAATGAGGAATATAAGTAGACATGGAGCACCAACTCTGAAGCTGTGAATGAGCAGAAATACAAACCGATGGACTAGCTTGAAGACGATATTCTCCTCCAACATATTTAGATTGTGGCTCCTCAGAGCGGGGCCCACTAGGTAGGTCAGAAAGAAGTGGTTCTGCGATAGATACAATCTCCTCATGATCGACCCCTGAAGCTGCAAGAACAATCCGACGAGCCGTATAATTCTCCTGAAATTCCCACATCAGCCACCAGTCAGTAGCCACACCACACAGCACATGGATAGAAATAAGGATTTTTTTTTAAAAAGGTTAAAGAAAAGTAACCAAGAGCGCAGATTATTTATTCGAAAACAATAACTAATATTTCGCATGCAGTATTCAACAGACTTTTAGGGTAAGAGATAGTTGACTTGAGCATGCAGTATTCATAATTTTTTTTTATAATCTTACAGCAACAAAATTCTCCAAGACGCTGCCATTCAATCTGTTCAATGCTGCTTCCGAAGCCAGAAGAGGATTTGCCAGTGCGCCAGAATAACCAGCAGAATGAATTGCCTCCAGGAGTAAGCCCTGAGGATTGTTAGATAGTTCACCAATCTCTGCCCGCACCTTCTTCAGCTGTACAAAAAAAATTCTACAGAATATGAACATATGGCAAAGCTAAAGTTTTTGAACAATTGACAAAAATAACCATGTATGGAGACCAACACTACAAAATTGTTTTGATTGCATTCAAGATCATAGAAAAAGATAGAGACTATATTTTTTTATAAATTCATAAACAATTCCAATTTCAAAGAATATGCTGAAATTAAACTTTGTTAATTATCCCAAATTTGATTGGACTTCTCTCTTTCAAATGCTTAAACTATTTATTGGAAGAGGTATAATTCATTGAGTTCAGTTCAACCTTCCATCACCCCAAATTCCTCCCGCCTACCAAAGAATGGGGAGACTTATAACGAACTTTAGAAAGGTAAATGAGCATACCACAGTATTTTTTTCAAACAAACAATCCTAAAATGATGCCCATTAACTTTCAAAGAATACTGATGAAGAAATTTTACCTCTTCATTGACCTCCCATTCCAAGAAGGCAGGATTCCTCACTGCATCAACAAGCAGTTCCACCATTTGAGGAACATAGGTTTTGATAGCATCAAAAGTGTATCCCATTTGCTCCCTAGAGGCACTGGCTCCTATGTGACCACCAATTGCTTCCACTTCCCTCACAATGCGTAAGTGGCTCCGGTTGGTTGTACTCTTAAAAGCCAGTCGCTCTAACAAGTGTGAAGCCCCACTCGACTCAGGTGTCTCATATATGGAACCAGAATCGACATATAATCCAATGGAGGCCGCAGGACTCTAATTAATCAAGACAAGAAGAAACAAATCAATCAACAGATTGAACAGTAAACAGAGAAGGGGGTACATTAAAACAAAGTACAGCTACATCATAACGACTCTTACATACCGGTGATGTTTCTGAAGCTATTTTAACACCATTCGACAGAGTTGTAATCTGAGTCTTGCTTGGCTGAACATGATCAGGTAGTGGAGGAGGAAGGTTAACACCTGGGAGTTGGGTTTCCAAAGGAGGAAGAGTACTGGAGCTTTCCCCCGTCAGCCAGCTAAAGATACCCCCTGAGGCTGGTTTTATAGCAGCTGCACTTGTTGCAAACCTGGTGGCCCCCAAATTTCCGGCACGGCCCTATTCAGACAGTGAATAGTGCAACATGGAACAGTCAATGCCACCATGTAGATAATCAAGAACAAAAATTGTTTGTATCTAGTAACTGCCCTTAATTTCTCCTGATAGATTTATATTTATTCAGAAACTAAATTTTAGGATCTGTACCAAACAAGTTAAAATACACAACACCAACCAGATAAAAAGAAATCCATCTCTTTAAATTTACAAAAATAAATACATAAATAAATCCATTGTGACCAAGAAGCATATATGAGACTTATTCGAACAGAGCACCACAATAGAAACCAAGAACAAATTCACCCAGAACTGCATTCAACAATGCCTGAATTGGGTCGAGTTAGATTTCTCATTTTAAACAGAAAAAGCAAAAGAAAAGTACACATAATACATGAGGACCATAAACTTATATCCATTATATTACTCCAATTCCCCAGCAACCAACAAAAATGTCAATACAACATTAAAAAAATCATCACTTGAAGCTACAATCAAAATCTAATTAGACTAAAATGCTATAAATTCGCATTAACCAATCATTTTATAAAATCAAATCAAATATCTGTCATAAAAATATTAGAAAATACATAAAACAAAAACCCAGTAAATTTAAGCGTGGATCTTAAGAACCGCAGATTCATCATCCAACATGATTTACATTTCCTCTCAGCAACTATAAAGGAAGTTAGGGTTTCGGAAGACCTAGTTTGGTACTGACCTTGAGAGCCCTGAGTCGTGAGGCTGCTTTGTACATGGTCATGTAGCTCGGATTGATTGAAGCCCTAGAAACCTATTAGGGATTTGCAGGTCTCTCTGTTCTCTTTAAAAGGTTTGAGAACAACACAAGAGTGGAGGCTGCTGAAATAAAAGAGTTTTCAATCCCTTTTTTTTAATTATTTGTTATCTTGGACCAATAGAAATATTCTCAGAAAGTATTGGGCTTCACTAACAAGTAGAGGCCCAACAGAAAACTCAAAAGGCCAGGCCCAACAAGAGCATGTTGATCAACTGTTCTTCTACTTTTATTTTTTTTAACATATCCAGTTAATTTTGATCAACCCTTCTTCTTATGCGTCCTTATTTTTTCCTCAGATTAAAGGGAAAACAAAAACAAGTACTTTCTTAGAAGATGTGGTTGAGATAGGGAATACCTGTAAGTGATATATGTGCATCACTTTAGAGCACGCAAGTTATTTTCGTCGTTATAGAAACGTTTTTTTTGTTATTTTCGATATGAGAGTAACGTTATTTTTAAAATTTTAAATAATTTTTTTGTATGGTGGTTCTCATTTTGGATAATTTGATTGATTGATTTATTTTAAACATTAGTGGTTTTAACATCCAACTTTGAAATAGTCAAATGATTTGGCACTCGGCAGCCAAGGTAGGAGGAAACAAGGAGTCCAATTTTCATGTTACCAACTATCCTGTGCCACCCTGTTTAAGTCAACCTCTCATCATCCTAAGAGCATCTCCAGCGCCATACCCAAACTGGGGGGAAAGGCAGCCCTGGCGAGCCCAAGAGACCTCCAGCACAGGAAATCCAGCCCGGGCAAGGCGTGGGATCCACCAGCCCGGGCAAGCCCACGGGCTAATCTTGCCTGGGCACCAAACCTCGGGCTGCTGATGTCAGCATGACGTTAGCAGATGATTTTCAATTTTTTTTTAACTTTTGGACCCACCAGTCCACATTGCCCAATGGTTACAAGCCATGTGGCTTCTCCTGGAGCCTCCGATCAAAAAATCTTGCACAATCCAAGGGTTATCCAATTTTTGGCTTTAAAAAATTGAAAAAAAATATCAAAATTTTTTTAAAATATATCAAAAAATTCTGGAAATTTTTTCTATACATACCTACCAATATTGTTCACCTTCCACACCAATTTAATTTCAAAATTTTATCCGAAAATGTTATCTTGATTTTTAGGTGAGGATTTTACGATAAATGTTATCTCTATATGATAAGTGTGTCTAGCTTTTTCTCCTTCAACCACTAAATGGGCCTTCATCAGTTTTATTTTTTAATTTTCCTTACATTTGAATTCTCTATGCATCACTTTCCCAGATTCGAGTTTGAATGAATTAGCCCATGTACCTCGCTCAACCACATAATGGAATAGGGTTTCTATCTATTTTTCTCCCGTAAGCAGATTCTTCAACTCAAATCCCAAAAGTTTCAATCTGTATTTTCTTAGTTTTCACCCAAATTGAATTGGGTTTCTTCAATTTTTTAGAATTTCCGTAAACAATTACCGAATTCCAGTTTCAATTCCAAGTAAGCATGTATGAACTCGCTTGGTATTTTAATATTTTTCATTGTCAAATAAAAGGAAATAACAGGTGTTTTTAGAGTAGGGTTTTTCGTTTATGTTGATTAGAGTTGAATGTGATGAGTAGGGTGTACTTATTAAAATTACATTTGTTTCACAATTCAAAATATTCTTTTTGGTCATTTTATATTAGGATAAATTAGTAATTCAATAAACAGTTTGATAGTAGGGTGTACTCAGTTAATTTTATGGTTCGTTTAACAGCATTCTTTATTTTTTGTTATTTTAATAAAAATAAATGGAATTAACATAGTTAAGTGGCTTGCCACATGTCACGAAGTTAGCAGGAAAACATGATGGACACAGGGCATTTGGTAACAAGAAAATTGGACTCCTACTGAAAATATTGTAGAAGATTATTTGTTCTTGAACAAATTCCAACAGATAAAGGGAATATTTTGTACACATGAAACAATTGGAATCGAACCCTTTTTTACCTTAATTTTTCTGCTTTTCTATATGTCGACATCTGAAGTCTAAAAAGATTTTGCCCATGCGGGACTGTAACAACGTCATACATCAAAATAATTGCTTTTGATGACTTAAGGACACTTTAAAATTATGTGATGGAAAACTAAGTAAAGGGCGTGACACATGACCCACAAACCAAGCATGCCTTTTGATGTCACCAATAACCAGCATGAACTATCAAGGCCCCAAAAATCTTTAAAAAACTGACACCAATATTTAAACATGTAACATTGCAAGTACTTCAACGCATAAGTGATTTCTAACAATTAATAAAGATTTTATTTAGGTTGTACTGAACTTTCACTTAATCATATTGCAAATAAAAACATACTATAACATAAATTCGAAGCACTTTAACTCTAAATTTTAAAGTTATGTGGTGTCATTTTTAATATGGTAGCAAATATGTGCTTAGTCAAGTGTGTTAGAGCCGATGTGCTTCTTATTCTACACTTGAATTCGAATCTTCATTATCATAATTAAAATAAAATATTGTTTATATATATATTAAAAAAAACTTAGTAAATATCACGAGAGAAAATAACAGCACAAATATTTAGTTTCATGTAAAATGTACCTGTAAATAAAAAGGTCTAGAAAAACATATGCTCTAGAAGCGTGGACAATGTTCTAATTTCTTCCCCAAGAATCTACATTAATGAAACAACTATGAAAGGACAATAATTAATATTAATATTTTCCTTTTCTTTTTTTTTGGTCGAAATAATATTTTCCATCTTGAAACATCAAGGAAAATTAAGCCTTCAGCTTTTGACAAGAAAGTAGTTATTTTTCAAGGGAATAATAGAAAAATCAAATTCAATAACAGTGAGCTGTTGTATAGTCAACACGTTGGACTGGGAACTGTCTGATTAATCGTCATCAACGGCTACAAATACGCCGGGTGTTCCTAAACTGTGTACTAGTATCTTAAAACCCAATACTAATATGGCCAGCTCTGCCTCCATTTCAAGGCCCAGGTTCCGCTGCTTCGACCCGACTAACTCTTACCCTGCGACTCCAGATCACCCCCGCTACTTCTCCTCCGCCGTTTCTCCCAGCTCCAGCTCCAGTTCCAGTTCCAGTTCTCCCAGAGAGAACGGCTTCGGGGACACGATGGCAATTTCCAACAACTCCGAGCCCAAAATCGTCACCGGCGAGGGTGGCTACGTTCTCGAAGATGTTCCTCACTTAGTTGATTACATTCCTGACCTCCCTGTAAGTCTGCACTCCTTCTCTCTCTCCTGCTTCAGAAAAACAGAGGAATTTGTGTGATCAATGTGTACTTGTATATTTTGATTTTTGATCAAGTTACTGTAACTGCTAAAACACATGTGATCTTCTTCTTCTTCCTTGGGCTTGTAATTTCTGCAAGTTCAGTGTTGCGGTGGGGTTTGCTTTTTGGCCATAGTAGGTGTCAGCCAAAACGAAGCGTTTTGAGATGACTGTCTGTGAAGTCAGTGTAAAAACCTGTGATCTTCTTTTGTTCTTTTCAGAATTGCGTTTTAACTTATATTAATTTCTTGAGTTTTTGTCGCCTCAGTACACGGAATTGGTGTACTGGTTTTTTTATTTTTTTGGGTAAAAATTATATATAAAATATATAAATGGTTATTATTAATATTTTAATGGACTAGAATCGGATGGAAAAGTAAAGAAATTTAATTATTATTATTAATCCCAAGTTCTATGAGGTTTTTTAAAATATTAAATTTGATAAGAAATGGGAATTGAATAATTTATTTGATCATATGTTAGGACAAAAGGAAAAACCTTTCATATGTTCTGTGCTTCTTAAAATTACTCTGATGAACGTTAGAGATTTATTTTATTTTTCATTTTAATAACAGTTTTCTTGTTTGCTGCTAGAGGAAAGGATATCTGTCTGACTGACAGTTTTACCTTCCTGATGATATCTTGCAGACATACCCCAATCCATTACAAAACAACCCTTCCTATTCAGTTGTTAAGTAAGTTTGGCTCTTTCAGTTCCTTGCTTCACAGAAAATGCATGTGATGTCACTCATTCAATTGTGATCTTGATAATTCACAAATTGATCTTGTGTTGGCCAGGCAGTATTTCGTTAATGCGGATGATACCGTTGCCCAAAAGGTGAGTAATATTCAGTTCTTGCTGTATTAATTGTGTATTTATTTTTCTAATATATATCTTATACAAATTACTAGTGATATGAAAATTGTAATATCTTACAATTTCAGGCTTCACAGTTGTATAAAAGCTTAGATACTAGGTTTGTGCATGTCTTCTAATTCCATAATGTTCTTCTTTGTGTAGATTGTTGTTCATAAGGATAGCCCAAGAGGGACACACTTTCGGCGCTCTGGACCACGTCAGAAGGTTTTACATTCCTAGTTTTTTCATATATTTATTGTTCTTGTATCTATGTATTCTAGTCAAATGACATGCCATTGAATATTTTTCAGGTATATTTCGAATCAGATGAAGTGCATGCATGTATTGTGACATGTGGTGGTCTATGTCCAGGCCTGAATACAGTTATTAGAGAACTAGTTTGTGGGTTAAACCACATGTATCATGTCAAAAGAATTCTTGGAATAGAGGTAAGTAAAGGCATATTTGACATACATTCAAATATATTCTAAATCTTCATTATCATATTTCAAAATAGGAGAAAATAAAATGCTAAAGATGCATGAAAAATGGACTTTAGTAATGAATCATTTCTTTCCCTCACTTTTCATACTATATGAGGTAAAAATAACATGCAATAATTTAATTGTGGCCTATCAGTTGATATAATTTTTTTAAATGAAAAATAAAAAAACTCAGTTCATTATAATCTTTTCTCATGCATGCTTGAACAATATCATGAACTAAGGAAGTAATTTTCTACATGTAGGGTGGATACAGAGGTTTTTATGCCAGAAATACAGTCCCCATAACACCAAAGGTTGTGAATGACATCCACAAACGTGGTGGTACCATCCTTGGGACATCACGAGGGGGCCATGATACGTCTAAGATTGTGGACAGCATTCAGGACAGAGGAATCAATCAGGTTGGTATTGTCTGCATATGTTTCAGATTTCAGTTATGAGGACTTTGATTTATTCAACAACTTTTGTGCATATACTAACGTATGTTTGTGCTTGCTAGGTTTATGTAATTGGAGGAGATGGAACTCAGAGAGGAGCTGCTGTGATTTTTGAGGTAATGCAGTTTGATGTGACACTACGAGCAGTGATCTCCAGTGCTTCCTGGGAAAAAGTAGTTTGGAAGATTTAACAATCTTGAGAGTATTGGGCAACAATATGGGATGTTAAAATAAGTGACTCGAGAACAATGTTTAGTTACTCACTTACCACTATTTAATGCAGGAAATCAGGAGGCGTGGCCTCAAAGTTGCAGTGGCAGGAATTCCAAAAACCATTGATAATGACATTCCGGTACTCCTAATTCCATGCATGACTGATCTGATGCATTTAATTTAACACTGGCATTCACTCTTCGAAACAGTCTTAATTTTGGATTCCATGCTTACTTTTATTCAGGTTATAGACAAGTCCTTTGGTTTTGACTCTGCTGTTGAGGAGGCTCAACGAGCCATAAATGCAGCTCATGTTGAAGCCGAAAGCGTTGAGAATGGTATTGGCGTTGTCAAGTTAATGGGCCGCTACAGTGGTAAAGTATCAATCCTATCATCTTTATGCCACCAGATGTTATCTTATTTATCCATTTCACGTGTAATGGCTGTACCATCTGCATATCAACTAGATATGAGTATCATACAATTTAGTATGAATTAGTTTCAACGTTGTTATTGAATATGGGATCTGCTGCAATAATGGGAAATATTTCTGCATATACGCACAAATCGGTCGACAATATCAAAATCCGATTGAATCCGCCCAGGTGGACTTACTAATAGGATATCCATTGATGAGACTCGCGGTGTATGCTAAAACAGTTGCTGTTTGCTTCTCCTTCTATGGATGGTGAGGGGGGAGATTTTGTCTAACACACTACTCTTTGAGACTCTTTATATTATCTGGATTTCTGATTCCTGTAAATCATTGTTAATTCATTTCTGCCCATTGCAATATTTGTCTCTTTCTAGACTATTTTTTCAGTGATGTTGTCCTTGATCCTTTTCACTTGTATTATTTCAAGACCTCTCTATGCATCCCTGTCATTCCAAGATGTTAATAAGATTTGGTTTGGGTTTATCTCATAGTCATTTACACACCTAATACTTAGGTTGACTCTGATCAAATAAAAAATAAGAATTAGTAGCCTTGGAATAAGGTCTGTGTTTCTTTATTTACATCTATTCCTTTTTGTATCAGTCCAAAAATATATATATGTATCTATTCCTTTTTGGTTTGGGTGTTATTGTGGTTATTAACAACCGATTCAAAATTTTCTGCAAATTATGAACACAAAGAAAGCCAATTTGGTAACCTAGTGTTAAGCTAATGTTCATGGGTGCTTGATGTTATGTAGCCTCCAAAAATTCACGTTGTCCAACCAACAAGTGAAGTTCTTGTCTAGTGTTATGTAGTTCTTATTGTACGATATAATCGTGTCATGCAGGATTCATAGCAATGTATGCTACTCTTGCCAGCCGAGATGTGGATTGTTGCCTGATTCCGGAATCACCTTTTTATCTGGAAGGACCTGGTGGACTTTATGAATACATTGAAAAAAGACTCAAAGAGGATGGCCACATCGTTATAGTAGTAGCTGAAGGTGCAGGAGAAGTTCTTCTTTCTGAAAGCCTGCTTAAAGATGAGCAGGATGCTTCGGGAAATAAGCTTCTCCAAGATGTTGGCCTGTGGTTATCGCAGAATATTAAGGTATAGATGCCAATGTAATTTCTATGACTGATGTTAGATAAGTTGTTCCCCATGCCTTGTTTGTGTAATTCTCTAGTTTTGTTACTCTTTATATGTTGTAAGCATGTCGATTCTGAAACATAGTATCTACAATAACCCTATCACCCGTAAGAAAACACGGGGACTGGAGAAGATTGTGTCTAGCAGCCACACTCTTTTAAGCTTAAGCTATTGGTCATAAATATCTTTTCTCAAATCCTTAAATAATATTGTAGAGAGACAAATAAAGTCAGTTCCCTACAAGTCCTTTTTCTTAGTAAGCAATAGAGTAGTCCTAGTATAACCAGAAGATATTGCCTAGAGGATTTGCTGGCATCCTTGGTGACATTCCAAAATTTCAAGGTTTTACAGAACAGGCAAAAAGAAATGCGGTCTGTTTTTTTAATTAAATTGGACATCATATGTGGTATTTTATTGTTTTATTTTGTCCAGAGCATTTTTGAGTGACTTGATAAGAGGCATGCCACTTCTTACTATATGTATTGATTATGTTCTTGTAGGACTACTTCTCAAAACAGAGAAAGATGAATATAACTCTCAAATACATAGGTTCGTTCTTCTGGAACAGTGCCTTTTTTTGGGGACTGAAATATTGTCTTTTTATTGTTTGATTCTGTGCATGTGTAGCCTTGTGGAACAAATTATATAACCCAACAATTGTTGTGCATGCCTGCAGATCCCACTTACATGATCCGTGCTATTCCAGGCAATGCATCTGATAACGTATATTGCACCCTTCTTGCTCACAGTGCCATTCATGGTGCGATGGCAGGATACACAGGCTTCACTGTTGGGCCTGTTAATGGAAGGCATGCTTATATTCCATTCTGTGTAAGTTATATGTTATTCTTGGTTTAATTAGCTATCTCAATAAAAGAAAGGAGCATACGATTCAGAAGTGGGGATCTCTTTGCATGTATATAATCATGGTAAATTTTTTGCGTGGCATTCTAGATTGGTGCTTCTTGTCTACATGATACATAAGTTCCGACCATCTCAGGCAACAATGTGACTTATAGGGATAGATCTTGAGCATCTACCTTTCCCCTGAACAAACTAATGGACCATTAGGACAGGAAATATGATGCAAGTAGTACAAGAATATCTGCAGAAAATAGAATTCACATCATTTGGGGTATCCGGCTACTGCTGTATATTGTAATTCTTGTGTTTGAGTTGTTTGTATAAGTTGCTTATTTCTTGAATTTGTAGCGTGTGACCGAGAGGCAGAACAAGGTTGTGATTACTGACAGAATGTGGGCACGGTTATTATCATCAACCAATCAGCCAAGCTTCTTGGATCCCAAAATGGTCGCCAAAAAGGTCGCTGAAACGAAGAAAGAGGATACAGAAGCTGAAGCCCAACTGATAGAGGGGGAAAACCATATTGAAGCAACTGCAGCGTCTGACCCAAAGGAGTAGGAAAAAAGACCAACAAGCAGCTTATTTGGCAAAATCAAAGATCGTTGTGTTTGCTGTTCCCTTTTCAATTTCGCTCCATCTCTGCTTCCCAGTTTGATGTAGTTTATTTTCTTACTAAGAGCACCCAAACCCGGTGGTGTTTCAGGTTTCAGTGTTTATATGTTGATGTATGAAGTTGTGTGTGTTCATTGGTGAAAAGAATTAAATTTGAGTTTTCCCCGGCAATTATGAGTCGACGTTTTGCCCCAACCAAGGATTTTTTTAGAGTTCAATTTAGACCTCATACTTCTCTTTGTTCAACCTATATTCTAAGTTCTCAACTTCTAATTCAAATTTTCACAATTTCTAAGGAGACACTACTATTTTTCCGAACTACTCTTAAATACACACCCGTCGTTAAAAAATAAAAATAAAAAAACTCATAAATTTCACTCTACACTCGATGCCTTGTTATTTTGCCCATTGTCACTCTAAGTTCACATAAGCCACACATTACTAAAAGAGATAAATAAATAAAAAACACAGTTGTCAAATGTGTTTGTGAAGAGAAGATGGGAGTGTAGGGTTTGTGAAGAGAAGATGAGAGTAGTAAGTTTCTTGGATTGAAAGATGAGTAATTTAGCAATAAGGTGCAGAGGAGTTTATGTTTTTCTTAAACTTAATATGAAAAGTGGTGGGGTGTATGTGTATAGATGTACTAGGGTTAAGTATTAAGTTGGATGATCTTTTTTGTTTTTTTACACAATAATAAATTTAAGATCTTAATAATTTAAGTACTGAGGTGAACAAAGAAAAGTGTGAAGTTTAAATAAAAAAAACTCTTTTTTTATTATTATTTCATAATAAATTATTAAATCCAAACCCTTTGGAGTCGAAACGAGTAAATATCAGTAAAACCGAAAAACTACACAAATTTGGTATTAGCTGCTTTTGCCTTCCAGGGAAAAAACAAAAATATTTCCTGGCAATTCTTCTATTTCATGTTAAGCGTACAACTACATTATAGAGCTCGTAAAAGAAAACAGCCTAAAATGGGATTTGATGCAATATAAGCAAGAGACAAGCAGAAAACAAGCACTCAACAAAATACTAGCAATAGAGTTGCCATAACAATTTTGCCTCACAATATGCAATGTTGGTTTTCTCACAGCAACTGGAGTTTAAGACCATAATAACTACATTCTCTTCCAGGCATCCAAAATGAGAAAGAAGATGCATCCGTCATGCCCTAAAAGACCGGGCGCACCGATTGCTATGACAAGCAACTCTAAGCACATCAACCTACAGCTTTTACATATTTCCGGATACAATAATATGTACAAAATCAAAATGATTTGATCTGCATCAGCATCATTTGAACACATTGCTGATGACCTCTTTCAGATCCTTGCAGCCTATTATTTTGATATCCTCAAAGCCTGGAGTTCCTTGAGATGTCTTGGCTGATTTTGGTACAATACACTTTTTGTAACCCAGTTTTGCCAGTGTGTGTATCCTTTTATCCATTTGAGGAACCTAACATAATAAAATTAATTGCCATCAAATAAAATTGCCTGAAAGAAAATAAAGGAGAAAGGGGGTGGGGGTCAAATCTAGCAAATTATCTCCATATCTTATGTATTTGTGACTGTAGAAGAAACACTGCACTAAGTTGTCAGCTTGTAACTTCCTGGAAGACGAATTTAAAAGCAACATTGTGAAATTCAATGTTGTTTGTTCAGAGGTGTAATATTTGATAGGTTGCTTGGGCCTGCTCCATTTCATGAAACATAATTACTTTAAGATCCGAGTGAACAAGTTAAAAGGGTACATTCACAGTGAACAAGTTAAAACATCCGAGTTCGGATGGCAAGTAAGAAGACTAGGTCTTATTATCTCACATGCAACTCAAGGCTATAACAATAATAATCATACAAGATCTGAACCCCAACATATCCAAAATAGGAAGCTGATCTTCTCATAATTCAACCTAAAAACCAATATTACTATTCAGAACCCTGTGGTAAAATCTGTTGTATCTGAAATGCTGTTATATACTTCAATTTTAAGGAAATCTAAGAGCAACGGTGAAATAACATTGAAATGATGCGCTTACCTGGCGAAGTTCACCACCAAGTCCAATTTCACCAATGAATGCAATACTATTGGGAATAGGGAACTCCAAGAAACTGAAGAGTACGGACAAGAAACACATGTGGTAAATAAAATATTTAACTGAAGGGACATTGTAAAAAAGGTAGTAGGTGGTAAATGCAATACAAAGACTAAAGTTCTAAAGTTCTTTTCTGTTACTGATATAGCCACACATTATGCGTAATACAACACCAAAGCTGGAAAAGATATAACCATACTAATGTCTAAAATAAAAAATGCATAGGGGCGGAAAACAAAAAGGTAAATGCCATCTAGTTATAAAAACATGTTTGATTAGTAGAAAGGGTAATAGTATGCATGCCTGCTGCAAATTGCTGCTGCTATTGCAAGATCCCCAGCAGTGTCTTTCAGGAATACCCCACTAACAACATTTAAGAAGATGGCCTAACATGATAAAGCAACTTTCTTATTAAGAAGAAAAAGATAATGGAACAGAAAACTGGCCAACAATAAATAAGACAGTCGTATAAGTGATAATAAAAATAAATAACTTATTTAATCGGTAAATTCAAAATTCAATGAATTCATAGATAGAAAGGAGTCTGGCATGTAGGCTTTTTTCCCTATGACTCAACTTAACAATCAAAAGATTTCTGTTTGCACAGTATAAGAAAACTTCATTTACCATATTTAACACTATTCCTATCAGTGTAAGTGTTTAGTATCACTTTCTTTACTAATTACCGACATGGACATGGCTACAAGTGTCCACATGTTTCACTGTACTTTACACAAGCAAGGTGGCAATAATGATGTAAACTGGCCTCGTCTGTGACTAATAAATTTTAGCCATAATATCTCTAAATGATTTTTCAAATTCTCATGCCTTTCACAATGTTCCGAATCATTTCTTATTGTATAAATATTTCAAACCTGGAGAAAAACTTTAGATATTCTTAAACTCAATGATAGAAAATCAACTTTATAAACCAAGAATTATCATAAGATTTTACTTACATTCTCCTGGAGCTTTAGACCAGCTTGCTTTGCAAGTACCTAAAACATATAAGAGATTAAATGACAACTCGCTTTTCATCAAATTTAGACTTAGTGCAAATGAAGTAGGAATTTTTTTTTGAGAAGAAATGAAATTTATAAAGCAAAAGAACACGGAGGTGGATAAGACAACCACAACCGGAGAACAACACCAACACACAAAGAAACAAACAACACCAACCACTCCCAAACTAACAGGGAGGAACAAAGCCAAAAACCCACTGAAACAACACACCCCCCAACCCTCACATAACCACTGCTGCCATATCCCTCAAAATAGTAGAAACAGAATAATCTTTAAAATCTTCAGTAACAGAAGCCCACAAAGCTGCCCAGTACTTAACTCTATCCCACAAATCACTCACTCCCACTCCCTTGTAGTCTTCAAAAATTCTCCTATTACGCTCCATCCAAATGTTCCAGAAAACAGAGTGAACCAGACAGCCCCACAAGGTTGAGGCGCGCTCCCCCGAACCCCACACCTCAAAATCAGAACAAAGGAAATCAGCGCACCCTTTCGGAATCACCCAAATGGTCCCAACCTCCCTCCACAAAAGCCCCCAAAGACTTAAGGAAAAGGGGCAATGTAAGAAAAGGTGGTCCACACTCTCCTCACCAAGCTTACATAACACACACCACTGAGGAGACAAATACATGAAAGGTCTTTTCCTTTGGACAAGATCCGAAGTGTTAACTTTCCCAAGCGCCACCAACCAAACAAAAACTTTGACCTTAGGGGGGGACTTGGCCTTCCACACACTAGAGAAAGGAAGAAAGGTCACAACACTCCCCTTGTTGCGTAAAAAGGATTGAAAGGACTTGCAGGTGAAAAAACCCGACACCTCAAGATCCCACCTTCTCCTATCCCTTTTAGAAGCACACAATCTGAAACCTTCCAGAACTTCCAGCAATTTAATCACCTCGGCAGTCTCCCTATCATTCAGATTTCTCCTAAACCCAAAGTCCCAATTATGAGGAAAAACATGAGAATCAACAAAACGGTCAATGCTTAAGGACTGCTTTGAAGACAACGCAAACAAGCACAGAAAAGAGTCCTTCAACAACCCCTCCTTCACCCAACTATCCTCCCAAAACCTTACCCTATTCCCATTTCCCACCTCAAATCTGCAGCACTGTAAAAAGGATTGATAACCTGCCGAAATATCCTTCCAAGGGTTGAGAGAAGTAACCGAAGTGCAAATGAAGTAGGATGACAATGACATTATAGTTTTTCTTTGTTCTTTTTTATTTTAAGAGGAGACATTATGCTCTTTCGTAAACTCTAAATATAAGGAATCTGCAATGAGATCAGGATAAACCGTTCACCTTAAGCTCAAATTCAATCATAATACTGCCTTGACTAACATGAGCCATAGCACAGCAGTATCTTCATCTAAGGAATGTCATATAATCAATCGGGTGATGTAAATTGTTAATTTCTATTGCACCGTTGAAGTTTCTTGTGTATTGCTGTCTATGGCACAAATAATATAAATCGAAAATATACACAAAAACTTTAAAATTACTCACAGAAATAATCATGGAAGCTCTACTTGGTGGAACCCCATTAACTTGCCGGGCGCTTGGTGATTCAGATACACATAATGCCTACATAAAATTTATGAAGGTTGGTCAAATGTCAAATGATTTGTTTGAGAACGCAATTACAAGCAAGACAAAATGCAGAGGACATACAATACTAATATTCATTTAGTTGCTTAGTGCAATTCCAGGAAAAGCCGAGATATGGGTCCAACCCAAAAATTATTTTAGAACATATTATATATCTAACCTATCTCACTGCCTCTAAGATATACTGAGGAACCCTCCTGATTGAGCAGAGTAGTTGACTAAATTGGATATAATGATGGCAGTAGAAGAACGTCGAGAAGTTGACATCTGACATCCGGCATTCTAAACCTTGCATCTTAATATAAGGATAGTAAGGCTTTCCACACAGTGCCAACTGATTTTAAATTGGATGGTCCAACTTTAACACAGAGCAGGCAATAAGTTCACGTGTTAGGCATCATCGGCTACACATGCTCCAAATGTGAGGCTCTCCATGTGTTTGCTCAATCCGGCCACACATGAGGAGCATGTTGAGAATATAAAATCCCAAACCATACGTCTTCTACCCCTTGAATCTCAGTTTAAGAACCATAGAGCATCTGTAACCATTTCCAATTGGTTAGGTTAGATGATCTAACTTCAACAAAGAACAAGACATCTACTACTGTCCTCGGCCCCAAGGAATAAAAAAGAAATAGAAGTATTCTATCATAATTATCTTCAAGTTCATGCTAAATAATTTAATGACAGACAATAAATTTCACTGATTTAATCTGATCCATAAAGGACAAACAATTGCTTAATTAAAATGTTAAAAAATGACTCAAAAGGAAATAACAAGTATGAAAGCAGTGAATAAGTAACCTGAATCTCAATGAGAAAAGTACGAGATCCATCCATTATTACAGCAACGGCTAAACCAGCTAAATACTCTGAATCTGAGTATTGCTCAGACAGAAACATCTCACTGGGGTTTGAAACAGCTTGCAGTCCTGATTGTGACATTTCAAATACACCAAGCTGAGAGCAAAGGAAAAAGAATCCTATCAGTAAGACGGATTAAGAGGCGATTACTATAAACATTTATATATGTAGAAGCCAAAAATTTATAATTACATAAGCTTGTCCAGTTGAAAATTAGTTTCATCCAAGTCACAAAGAAGATACAATAATATGCATCTTATCTAACCCTGGTTAAGCTCTTCGGCATTTATAGCCAATACGAAAAACTGCATGGATCGAGGTACAATGACTTGAACGGTAAAGGTATAGTTCCTTCTCTCAAAAGTCAAGAACTGAGTCCAAGAATGCCACACCTCATCCAGCTATAGATTGGATGGTTAAATAAAAGGAAAACAGAAGTCACCTCAAAGGAAGAGTTTTTACAAAAATAGAACAGCGCACAATTCTAAAACCCAACATGTTTGACCATTCTCCCCAGATCTCCTAGTCTTTTTTCTTTCTTTCTAACTTTAACCAAATAGTTCAGATCAGCTTTGTTGAGCTGATCATAATAAGGAAAGTCAATATAAAAACTTTCAGCAGGTGATCACTATAAGGAAAATAAATATAAAAAGTTTCAGGTTTTAAAAAGAAAAAGAAAATCACACAAGCTTTAGCTCAGAAAATTCGAAAAACGGAGAAAAACAAAAAACAAAAAACATTACTAGGACAATAGATTAGATAAGTTGACAAAGATAAACAAATTTAAGGAACCAAAAAATGTTAAAAATGCAAAGATGAATAGAAATTAAATTAATAAAATAAATAAACATTACAAAGAGCTAGATCAATGATCCATGTGGCTAATTAGTTGACAAGATAAACATACCCAAAATTAAATTAATAACACAAATAATTATTACAAATAGATCAATGATCCATGTGGCTAATAAGGGAAAAATAAATGTATGGATAAAGAAAGATGCAGCCTGAGTACCATTGTGTACCTCATCAGTTGATCCAAAACGATTCTTCACAGATCGAAGTAAACGATGGGCTGAACTCTTTTCCCCCTGAGAAGAGATACATTGGGATTTAATGGATAAGTTACTACCACATGAGAAAAAAAAAATTCAACAATCCAGTAAAAACAATCTAACAAGGTACCAACTTCCATATATAGCACGACATCAACAATATGCTCCAAGACACGAGGTCCAGCAATATCTCCAGATTTTGTTACGTGCCCAATCTGGATATGCAAAAAATAAATAAATAAAAGGAGCAAGAACAGAAGACTGCTAAATTCCATAACCTTCAATAAAAATGAAAATAAAAAGAATTCTATTATCTTTTACAGACCATCATGGAATTTAGAAAATGGAAGTCCTGATTTTGACAGTCCATCCCTTTTTAAGAACAGATAAATAAATGCAGAATCAAACTTCTGTTGAAGCTTCTAATCTCTAGGATAAATCCTAGTCTTCACTGACCTAATCCAATTTACGAATTCTGAACTAATAAAATGCAAGTAAATTCGTGAACAATCAGAGTTTGGACAGTGTATCCTCACCAAAAGAACAGGGACGTTAGTCTTCTTTGCAAAACGTAGCAAGGCTTGTGTGCATTCTTTCACCTGACACAGAATAATGCAAATATTCACAAAGGTTACTAAGAAACAAGTTATCTAATAAAGAATTTGCTTCACACTATGTCGTCCCTTCCATCTTCCCCAAAGGTGTTGAAGCAGCCTATGAAGATCAGATGTGTAGAAGCTTCATATTATGCTGGGTGGTATGTTATGGTAAAAGTTCTAACCTGCATGATCCCTCCAGCACTTCCAGCAACTCCTTGTAAATAAACTGTTTGAATTGAATCGATGATTAACGCCTGAGGGTTGAGAGACTGAATTTTCTCTAATATATCCTGAAAAAGGTACGTGCATCAATCCTTCAGTTTTATCCGCAATGTTCCAGATTAGGACAATAAAGCAACACATTCCAGTACGCAAAGTCATGATAAGGTCAGTATGGAGTGTGGATGTGCACATATGTTTGCAATACATTTAATAGAATTATTTCGATTAAAGTATCAAAAAGGACATGTTTATCAGCCATTAGATCATTTATGGACGAGCGACTGAAATTTACTAAGATGCATCTCATCCTCTCCAAATGTCAACAGTCCAAATCTGATGTAATGCATCTGATATAATGGTTCATAAATAGACCCTTGTCTAAGGATCATACTAGAGAGTTACGCAAATTTAATATACATGAGAGACAGACAGACAGACAGACAGACAGAGACAGAGAGAGTTGCATGAAAAACATTACAAATAGGCTATTTAAGCACATGATTATATCTAGTCAATGCATCTAAGTAGTTACAGGGGAATGGCATTCTATAGTTTCCAATGACACTAAGATTGTACTTTATATAAACCTTTTAGGGTTATGATTAATGCATCTTATTTTCCCCCTATTTCCTAAACATGATATCAGTGGAATCCTAATAAGTCCTTACAATTGCAACCTCCCAGTTTATGTTGAATTCCACGAGTTGGGCTCTCAAGTGATGGAGTCCTGATGGCCTAACCATTCGGAAATAGTGATACACCAAATAAACTGTATCAATTTTATTTTACCACATGCTTAACTTAAAAAATAAATTGGTAGCTGCAGTCCTACTTCTTGATGTATATTTATTTAAATTGGTAGGTGAACCAGCCTTTGACCATTGGGTATAATCGCGAAACTTGCATTAAGTTCACATGAGACTGATTAAAATCTAGTGATAAAGTAAACAAACAAAAAGGAATTCTGGACAGCACATCAGATATCACAATAACACGGTCTTACTTATCTCAAGTTTAATAAGGGTAATGTAAAAGGCAAAGACAAGATTCAGTCAGCACAAGCCTAGAACTAAGCACCTCAATATCAGTGCTTGAGTACAAGAAAAGATCCTCTGTTTCAATCTTCATACGGTCAGCTCTGCTTCCAATTTGCTGAACACTCTGCCACCAGACATCAATGTGAATTAACCTACATGTCATAGCCTAAAGTTATAAGCAAAATGACACATCATGGTGAAACCAAAATTTTGCAGCACTGTAATTTGGAGATTAATATCTGCCCAGAAACCCAAGACATTTTAGGCTTCTCAACCACCAAAATTAAATAATTCAAGCTCTACTATGAAAGCCTTTTAGCCATATTTTCCTAAAATGGGTCAACAACAGACTTTTTTCTAATTGAAAAAGAACTATTCAACACTTAAATGCATTTACCTTTCAGATAAGAATTCAACAAAACTTTACAAGTTTCCTATATTCATAGAAATCAACGGGAGAAAGTTAAATTAATCAAGTTAAAGAAAGTACCTAAAAACTAGAATACAAAAAAAGTTTCATTTTTATGCACCATTTATGGGCCTGCTAACGAACAAATAAAATGATATGCTTGACAAGAATTAGATAGTAGGAAAGTCAAGCATCAATGACGCTTTAAAGCAGGCATGCTGATTTGCCAATACCAGGCTTAAGAAAATGCTAACCTCTTCACCGGAGACATACACAACAGGGGCTGCTTTACCAAGCTCATGCCCTTCAGCTATTAGTGAAGCCGTCTTCCAGTTTAAAAGTATGGGTTGACATGAAAACAGAACCACAAATAGAGAAGAAGATAATGATAGTCAACACGATGAACAAACATTGAGAACATGAAAAATATCCTCAGCAACACCAATAAATAAATTTATAAATACAATGCAAACGTAAATCTCAATCTTCACAACTTACTACCTGCAACACGAGTGTACTCTTGCCAACACCAGGATCACCACCGACCAAAACCAATGAACCTTTAAAAACAGAAAGAAGCACTGTTAAAATGTTGAATTTTCCTCTTCAACTACCAGGAACAGCAACTTTAAATTAAATACTAAAAGCTTCTGGAAGGAGCAACTGAAAACATAGGTCTTAACAAGCCAAAATACTGGACAGGAGAATTCATATTTCATCTAAACAGCTGGGGCAGAGGAATGGTGAGTAATATATCTCTTATTCATAACACAGACTCCACCACCCACCAGCTGAAAAAAAAAATGTATCAGTTCAAATTTTAAAGATGGTTTCTTAAGCCACTGTGAACGCAACATACCACAAAGTAGAGTTTAAACTAACTCAATGGTCGGTAAAGCAATCTAACAGGTCTAAGCTAATAAATGTTCAGCATAGTTAAGAAGAGTAGGAGGACAAACAATTAGCTTTCATAGTTAATACTTTTTTAATAGGAGCTTTCGGAGTAAAGAATGAAAAAAAACACACACACACACACACACAATATGACCAAACCTCGTACAAGACCACCACCAAGCACTCTTTCAACTTCACTTCCAAAGATTCCAGGCCTAAATATCAACCAGACAAACATACACAATTATGAAAACGTTTTTCCAACTTATTTAGGATCCAAACATTGTTTTAAATAGCAAAAACGAAAAAACAGATAGGAACTTACAGAGGAATGCGCCTGTCTATCACAGTCATTCCCTGGTTCACATCAGCCAACCGCATTGGCCCACCCTCCCCGGCCTCCTTCCCCATCCATGACCGCACCGCCTTCTCCGAAACCTGAAACCCACTCACCTTACCCCCATCAGCATCTTCAACACTCTCCGAAAACCTCTTCACCGTGCCCATTGCATGACAAGACCGGCAAGCACCCCACCACTGCCCATATGTCTCCCCACAACTCGAGCAAACCCAGCTAGTTTTGACCTTCCCCCCCTTCTTATTACTCCTCGCCATTTCCCTATAATTCCCAGTTCCTGAATTGGCCTTCTTCACATTCCTATGAGTCTTATCCCTCTCAGACTCCTGGACCCCATTTCTCAAACTCGATAAGCCCTTTTGGGTTTCACTCTCGCTTTCACTTTCACTTTCACGTCTTGGTTCTTGTACATCACTACTTTTGTTTGCGACTCTTGGGGTCACCAATGTGTGCGAGGCAGGGCCAAAAACAGACCAAACGCGACGAATTTCTCCACTGGAGCTTGAATTTGTCTCGGTTTTCAGAGAATCGGTGACAGTGCTCGGTTCTTCGGGGCGTTGGAGACGGCATGTGGAGTGAAAATGGCGGGAGAAGTTAGGGTTTTGGAGGGACTGTAAGTGGGTGAGAGATGGCTTGGAGAGGGATTTGTGAGTGGTGGGATTGAGGAGTTTGTGGGTGTATATGGCTCTGAGAGCTCTCATGTCTAGAGTCGAAGAGAGTGGAGCAGAACTCTGTGGTCGAATTTTCAGGGTTTTAGTTGAAATGTAAGAACCCGCGAAGTGTAAACGACAGGGTTTTAGGCCCAGATCTGTGTTGGTCTACTTTCGTTTGGGCTTTTGCCTCCACCTCACCCAACAAATAAATAGTCGGAAATTTTTAAAAATACATAGCTTCATTTGAGAGATCTCTCAAATAAGCTTATTTGATAGACACTTTTGTAGTTGTAGGGCCCACTTCGCATTATATTTTAATAATCCAAACCATCTATTTTGTATATATTCATTCAAAAATCTCTATAAAATATCATTTGAATTCAATATCATTTGAGCACTCAATTAAATTATTGAAATTTAAGTATTTTGTTGAAGAACCGTGTTCATTGATTTTGTTGGTCTCAATTAGATGCCTTAATGATTTTCAATTTTCATAATTTTTTGCAAGAATGATTTCTAAATGAATATATGAAAATAGATGGTTTGGATCATTGAATTTGTTTTTGTAGAGGAACCTAAAGGGTGTCTCTCAAATAAAATTATTTGAAGAATCCCTCAAATAAAATTATTTGAAAGATCCCTCAATAGAATGGTACTATATATATATGAGTAATGCTACACTTACCACATTTTTATCCCACATGTCTATACCACATGATGTGACATGTCCATATCATATGTCACAGCAATTAAATGAATGAAGTGTATTTTAATAAACAAAATTAGAAAAACATAAACTATTATTTTACATGATGTGGTGTGTACACATCAGCTGTCATATCATGTGGTATAAAATTGTGATATATATAATAGAATAATGCTACTTTTATCACATTTGTATACCATATTCTTATACCACCTTATGTGGCAAATGAGGTGGACATCCACTTCAATTAAAATTAATTTAATATTTTCTTTTTTTGTATGATTTATTGACACTTTTTAATTGATGTGATTATCCACTTCATGTGCCACATAAAATGGTATGAGAATGTGGTATACAAATGTGGTAAGAGTAGCAATACCCTATATATATGGCGTAAAAAGGCAACCTTGTGAGAGACTCAACAATTTATTTTTTTGAGACCTTCCTCTCCTTGTAGTTTAGACTATCATTTGTATTAATTTTTTTTTATAGACTAAATCCTTAGTTTAAGTACCTGTTTGGCATTGCTTATTTTGGGTGATAAGTGATTTTAAAAAAAATTGGGAAGCCCAACCCGTTTGATAAACTATGATAAAATCACTTATTATTGAAAATTGTTGTGCGAGAAAGCAGTTAATGAGGTGCTTTCATTTTATGTTTATGTGGGAATCAGTTTCCAAGATGCGCTAGGTTTAGTGATTATGTGGGAATTAGTACCAACAACACTTTTAACAAAAAGTTTACCAAACGCCAAACTGCTTTATCTCACACCTGATTTCTCTCACAACAAATTTGATAGCCATTATTTTTACAGCACAACAATGTCAAATTGGCCCTAAATGTGAATTGTTCATTTTATCCAATATGGAATTACCATCAAGGCCAAAGCTTTAAAAGGAAAAAGAAAAGTTCTCACTAGACTCTCAATAACTACAACACATGTGACTACAACCCTCATCACCTTATTCATCAAGCCCTCGTTCAACTCTCACTAGCTATTACTCACACGATGTTGAACATGCATGCAAGTAAAGCATAACAAGGTTTGAATGCTAACATTGATGGAAAAAGACACTATTCTTGATGGATAGAGAATTAAGTTGTCAATTGAAAGCCTTCAAATGAGGTATCGGTCGACATTCTTTGAGGGTTTTTTTTCTTCAAATTATTACGAATTCTTGAACTGATATGAATAAATCTTTTGATGGTTGGTCATCTCAATCACAATAGAGGGTTTAGTGGATGACACCGAAACCATGATGAAAAGTTCAACGGCTTCCCACCAAAGTTGTCTTGATCTCAAAGCGAAATCAAGTCGTTTGGTGAGTAGTCTGTGAACATCTTGATTTAGCACTAAATTGAATAGTGTAAAATTAGCTTATGCAAGAAAGAATTACTTACCATTTGCTTTGGTCTGTTTCTGTTTCTAAGAACTCTTTCAACGTAAAAATCTCGATATGGCATTGAGGACTTGGAGGAAGGTAGAGTCCTTAGCCTAAGGACTGAAAGTCTTTAATATTGCACAAAAACTCGTGATGTAGTAAAGACTAACCAGGAGCAAATTTCTCGTAAAGTCGTCTTCCAATTCCTAGTAATTGCATGTACTAGACTGGTTAGGTTGGAGCTTTTAAACTTCTGCCAGATAAAATTGAAATGTGTGTTTTTTTTTTTTTTTTTTTTTTTGGAAAGTACTTCACTCTTTTCCCTATAAACTGTAAGTAGGAACTCCTACATTCATGCCAATGCAATATGACATGTGTGTAAACAAATTTCTTTTTGTGTTTTATATGAATTATGTTTACACACGTTTTAAAGTTCAAAACGTAATAATTTACAGGAAGGAGACAAGCATTATTTTAAAAAAAATATTATTTTCCAAATAAATTTGTTTATTGCTATATGCTATCTCATTCAACAAGTGGAGCAAAAAAAGAAAAAAATAATTCAATTGTTAAAATAAGGCAAGTGATAGTCAGAGGGGAAGTTTTGGGGAAAAAAATAATCAAACATACATAGTTTTATATTTTAAACTAAAAATAAATAAATAATATATAATTGCATATCCTACCATACTAATAGGGATAGTCAAAGGTCTTCCACTTCAACATTTGTATTTGGTGTCAAAGTTTGTCCCAAACATCAATTTTAATCATTTCTCATTAATGTATCTCCAAAAGAAAAGCATTTTTTGTAAATAAAATTCACCCGTTCGTGAATAATATGGTTCTAATTCCCTTTTTTTTTCTTGTGTTTATAACCAGTACGATTTATATGATTTAATGTATACTTTTATTTCTAAAAAAAACTATAAAAACTGTTTGTAAAAAAAAATATATATATCATTATATTTTAAGCTAATAACTTTAGCTAGTCCGCTTATTGAAAAATTTCTGATTCCACCCTTTCTGATAGTAACTTGTGGATCTACCAAAGGCAAGTGAAAAAAAAAATTTACCCCAACTTTCTCTTGCAAATGTGAAGAGCATATGACTTCATTAATTTTGTAATGTTGACGCCTAGCGATGATCCGTGCGTAATTCAAAGGCAGAGTCAAGGCTACTCAACGTGTTCAAACTTAAACCACAAATTGATGTTATGTCATGTGTTAAAGAAATGTCGCTGAAGATGTTATAGCCATGTATATATATGTACTTAAGGCTGTCCCCAGAGTTAGAATATTCTTGATGATCTGTTCAAACTCCACAACAGTTGCCTGTTTAAATTGATATTCTAAGTTGTAGAGAGCAAACGTATAATACTTTCCGCAGGCACAATATTTACTAGACAATTAGACGAAGTCGCGTTTGACGGATGACCGGATAATAAAAGATGAGCATAAGACTTGCCGTAAATTTAGATATTCGACGTGTTGGAATTTTATGAGCTTCATTGAAAAAAGGACTACTCACATACTAATTCCCAACTTTTCTCTGGAATTTCCCATCTCCTTTAACTTTATACCAAGTATCAAATTCTTTGTAGCTAGAATAAACACAAGAACAACTACCACTATTATTATAATTTTTTTATGCATAACAATATTGGGGGAGGGGATGAATCACAATTTGATATATATATAATTAAAAGTACATAAAAAGTAAAATTTATACACACATACACATGTCACATTGTAATTACCAAGCAAGTAAGATTGATCGCTTCCAACGTATAGGAGCCAGTTATTATTCATAATTAATATTTGATGCAATGTATTAAAAACTAAGAGCTTTGGTAACCACTGGTCCAGCCATTTAGCCACATATCTTAATCAGATCTTCCATTTGAAAGGTAGATATATATACAGTCTCATTCTATTGAGGGATCCCTCAAATAATTTTATTTGAGGGACGTCCTTTAGAGTATCATACAATTTTTTTTTCAATGATTCAAATTATCTATTTTTTAGGTCTTCATTCATAGATCATCCTTATAAAAAATTAGACAAATCGGAAACCGTTTTGACATCCAATTATGTCCTACAAAATCAATGAACACGGTGCTTCAAGAAAGTACTAAAATTTCAATAACTCAATTGAATGGTCAAATGATATCGGATTCAAGTGTAGAGATGATCTTTGAATGTGTATCTACAAAATAAACGGTTTGGATTAGTGAAATACAATCCGGAGTGGGCTCTACAAGGGGTGTCCCTCAAATAAGCTTATTTGAGGGATATATATACTTTAAAAAGTCTTTATATAGTTAGTTAATTAGGTGGCATGCATGCGTTTCAGGCTTCCAACATAAACTTTTGTTTAATGAAGCAGAAATCGCTGGATGTTTCTTGGTTCAAGATTATATTATTTCTTTTCATTTCCCAACCACACGGCTGAAATCTACACTTGGGAAGGTTCAACTTCAATGCAAATTAAGCATACAATTGAGAGTTAGAGGCGGTTGCCAGTCAGGCTCTCTCTCCATCAGCATCCAAAAGTTATTAATTGGGGGGTCCCTTTACTCTTTTTTTCTTCACGAGTTTCACATCTAGTTTAACAGTACGATTAAAGATATTTAAAATACCAATTACAGGAGAGCAATAAACGAACATATTAAAAGTAAAAGTAATGTAAACAAAAACCGCACTAAAATTATTAGTCAACGTCACTATAATTAACTATAAATTCAAACAAAGTCCACAATTAACCGTAGCCGACATCACGAGTTTCATTTCTACTTTAACTAAGCGTGTTCAAGTTGAACACTTTGATTGTCCACTCAGAAGGGAAAACTCTAAGAATTTTGAACCAAAAAGAAATAATTATTAAAAGAATAATGTTACGGTTAGTCGCCACCACCAACGCGGTCGTAATAACTACGTGCATGAAGAAAGACCCAATATTTTATTGAAATAATTGAACAATAATGATTTGGATTTCAAAGAACAAGAATGAAAATGGAAAAACAACATCTAACCCCAAAAAAAAAACTAAATATAAGGAAACTAAATATAATTTTTAAATTCTTGGTCAAAGTACATATCTTAAGCATTAAAGCTGTGTAATTTCCATACTTGTTGACCTAAGTCCACACCTCTTTTATTTTTTTCTCTCTTTTCCATTTTTTTAAAATGAAACCTAATAATAGTAGACGTAGATTTAGTCAAATTGCCTAGAACGAACGTGCTTCTGCACCTGAGTTTGAATCTCTCTCTCAATAGATTAGATTGAAGTAGAATATATCTTATATATATAAAAAAGAAACCCAATAATAAATTCCAGGTTCCCACCTTCTCACCCACTCAATATATAGTTTGTAAATGGAGGGAAAAGAAAACTGTAAACAACAAGAGAACAGAGGGCGCTCTTAATTATAGGCTATCCAGTATTTTCATCAAAGTCCAAAACCAAACCTTTTTTTTTTTTCTTTACCATAACAAAAAAAAAAAAAAAAAAAAAAAAAAAAAAAAAAAAAAAAACCTACCTTCAAAAACCTCTTCCTTCAAAAAAAATCCCTCCCTCCCTTCTTTTTTTTTTCTCTCCCTCCTTCCAGAGATTCCAACAAAACCAACCCTGTTTTCTTTCTTTTTCTTATGGTTTGTCCACCTGGAAGTAGAATCTCTTTCCTCCCTCTCTCTCTGAGCTGCTTTTTTGTACATCACATCCAACATGACATAAGACAACAATTAGTGGCAGATGTTTCTGAACATTGTATTTAAAAAAGATTTTCATGTAAGATTTTGTTTTATACTTTACCAACTGTTTCATCAGCCCACGAGAGAGACAAACAAATCCTCAACTGAAATTTAAATCACAGACCAAATCAAAACGTTTACTGTGTTTTTGATCCTTACTGATTCAGTGCCTTCGAGAAACGCTCCCTTAAATAATTGTAAGTTCTCGTTTTATTTTGAATCACCATAAATTCAAAAGGGTCTTGCTTATTTTTGCTATTTTATGTTTTTTTTTTCTTTGTCAATCTGACATGATAAGCTATATGAAATTTTCTCTTTTCTGGGTATGTAGAGACGCTTTTGAATTGAGATGGGTTTGGCTTAGTTTTTAATTCCTGTGATTTTTTTTTTTTGGCTTAATCTGTAATGGGTTATGTGATTCTTTTCTGTTTCTGGTATGAACTTTGATCAAAATCAGGCTTTTAATTTTATTTGAATATTTTGTTGTTGTCATTTTTGGTTTAATTCATATGATATGGTTCATGTTTATTCTTTTGGGTTAAGGTTTAGTAAGGGTTTAGTTCTTTGATAATTTCTCTCGTGTGGTTTAATCTGACATGAGTTCATGGGTCATGTTCATGTAGCTGGAGGATGATGAAGAAGAGGAACCATAATCATTCTCTAAACTATGTGGCTAATGCTTTTCAATTAGGGGTTTTTTAATATGGTGCTGGGAAAGAACAGGGACATAAAGCCTCTTTTGTTGAAATTTGGGGTGGCTTTTGCTCTCTCTTTTGCTGGATTTCTCTTTTCTCGTCTCAAAATCAAAAGGACCAAGCCCTCCCTGCCTCCTCCACGCTCGCCGCGCTCTTCGGGTTTGCCTTCTCACCTTAGATTGATCTCCTTCGGTTGAGTTTTTCTTTGTTTGCTTGGTTTTCAATTTACTCATCATCTTGATCATATACGTATGTAGATAAAGAAAGTGAAGTTGATCCAGGAGTAAGACATCGGGGAAAGGATGACCTTAATGTGACAAGGAAATCACACAGTTCATGCAATGCTTCAATTGCGTCAGAAAAATATGTATGTTTAGATTGATCATAAAGTCTTAGTTATATTCACTATGAAATCTCTGTTTTTGTTTTCGATTGATTTCAAAATTTTACAGTAATAATGATTTTGTTGCTTGATCAGAAAGTCTTATATGAGCAGATTATTTCTACATGCTGATGTAGCTTTACCATAAAAAACGAAAATCAGTTCTGAAGGATTTTATTGGTGTGATAGCATTCCTTCTGATTTATATAAAAGAAGAGATGATTTATATAAGGGAAGAGATGATTTATATAAAGGAAGAGATGATTTATATTGGTGTGATAGCTTCATGATTATCCAACTAATTGTCTCACTTGAATGATGAAGGATTACTTTTCCAATTATAGAAACGAAAGATATGATTATGGAATTTCTCATTCGTTCTTTGCCCCTATTTTCCCTTGATATTTGTGGTGGAAACCAAACATAGAAGGTTGATTGCAAGTACATAACTTGATCATGCATTAATTTTTCAACTGTTCGTTTGTCTAGCGATTGCTTCCTGAATATTGTAATGCGTTTTTGCCATGACTAATGAAATCCATTCTATTGCAAATCTTTGTTCCTTCATTTTTTTGAGCATGAGAGGGAATATATCTGTATTTCATCTTGATCACAGTTATGAAGAACCAAATGAGTGGCTTTGTTCCTGTTAAATTTAATATCAGTGAACTAAGCATTTCTTTGTTTTTTTACCAGGAAGAGGCATACATCCCAAATGTCTGTGCTGGTAATTGCACAGCCAGCGTTTTTCCATGCAGTAAACATGGTGGAGGTAAAGATGGATTACTCTTGCCAGTGTTCAATGATCTTGTGAAGGAATTTGACTTTGCTGCTGCAAATTCTGGGTTTTCTCCAAGGATGAATGTTGAAACGCCTAGGTCAGATGTAGACACTCCGAAAACGTTTAGAACTTCAGAAATGGAAGAACATGAACAAGAAATCAGACACCTCAGAAGCACAGTCAGAATGCTTCGAGAGACAGAGCGGAATCTTGAGGTCCAGTTGCTCGAGTATTATGGCCTGAAAGAGCAGGAGACTGCCGTTATGGAGCTCCAAAATCAGTTAAAGATAAACACCATGGAGGCTAAGCTTTTCACTCTCAAGATTGAGTCTTTAGAGGCAGAGAACCGAAGACTGAAGGCACAAGTGGCTGATCATGCAAAAGTGGTGGGTGAGCTTGAGGCTACTAGGGCCAAAATCAAGATTCTAAAAAAGAAACTCAGATTCGAAGCTGAACAGAACAAAGAACAGATCTTAACTCTTAAGAAAAGAGTTGAGAAGTTTCACGATAGTGAAGCTGCTGATAATTCCGAGATTCAATTGAAGCTGAGAAGGCTAAAAGATTTGGAGGGTGCAGCTGAAGAATTGAGAAAGTCTAATTTTCAATTGCAAATAGAAAATTCTGAATTGGCTCGGAGTTTGGAGTCCACACAAATCCTTGCAAATTCTATCTTGGAAGATCCAGAGGTAATTAGCCGATCATATTCTTTAATTGTTTTCCCGGCTTCCTTTGATCATTACTTTCAAAATTTACGTTGTACAATTTGTTACAGGCAGAAGCATTGAAGGAAGTGAGCGTGCGTTTAAGACAAGAAAATGAAGATTTGACTAAGGAAATTCAGCAACTCCAAGTTGATCGATGTTCTGATGTTGAAGAATTAGTTTACCTCCGGTGGATAAATGCTTGCTTACGGTATGAGCTGCGGAATTTTCAGCCCCCAACTGGTAAAACAGCGGCGAGGGACTTAAGTAAATCACTAAGCCCGAGATCGGAGGAGAAAGCCAAACAGCTAATAGTTGAATATGCAAACACTGAAGGGATGGGGGAGAAGGGGATGATGGTCGACTTTGATTCTGATCAATGGTCATCCTCCCATGCTTCCTTTTCTACAGACTCTCCGGAGTTTGATGATTTTTCTGTTGATAATTCATCAGCAACAAAAACCAACACCACCAGTAAGAGCAAATTGTTCAACAAGCTAAGGAGACTCATACTTGGTAAAGACGTTCATTACGAAAACCGGGTTTTGTCAACAGATAGAACTGGATATGCGGAAGATAACGAGTCTCCATATTGCAGCTCAAGTAAATCAACAGCAGCTTATACTGGGCCTGAGGGTCAGAGTAACGTATTTGCTACTTCATCGCGTAGTTCATCTAGAGCTTCTTTAGATCTTCCCAGATGGAGGAGTCCAAAGCAGCAGGATACCAAGGATGTACAAAGTGTACAAAGTGTTCAAAGACATAGCGATGTGGGATCCTCCCCGGGGTATAAGACCTTCAGCAGGGAAGGTTCTGCAGATTTGCCCCTCAAATCTGATCAAGACTCAGATTCTACCGAGAAAGCTGAGTTGGTGAAATATGCCGAAGCTTTGATGAGCTCTCGTGGTGCAACGCCCAAGGTACACAGAAAATCAGCATCAGCATCTTAGTTCATCATCATCTGGTTTATATATACACAAGTGAATGTTATAGTTAAGAAGTTAGCAAATCAATACCAGTTTACCATATTTTGTCATTTGAAGCTAGTTAGGAACTAATTGAGCAAAATACAAAAGCATTTCAATTAATGAGGAGTGCTTTGAGTTCTCTTTTGAATGAACATTCCATTATATACATTGGAGTTTCCTTTACTACCATGGATTTGTATACGACAAACTTACATGATTTGTATAAATCTTTCCAATTACAATTGTTCACTTTTGACAATAACGTCCGGTTAATCGACGACGATGCATTAGGGTATTAGGGTGTGTGAGTTATAAGCTGTTACATTTTGAATATAAATCTTTAATCCGTTGATAGTATTGGTCGATTTGTAGATTTTACAATCCAACCTACAATTTAACCATGAATTAAAACAAAATCCCATGTCAATTAAATTAAAATTGAATTATCGTCCTTTTAATGAATGAACAAATTTTTTTTCTTCCACCAAATGCTTCATCAATAGATACTCACTAATGTAATGCCCCAGTAGTTCTCAACATTACATTACCATCGATTGACTTGCGGTTTGAAGCCTTCCTAATATTTTTGGCAATTCAAATTGACGCCTTTTTCTAAAAAAATTGTGTGGGGTTGTCACTAGCCTGCCTTCCTCTTTTTCTTACATGGTTTAATCCTAACCGATTCAGTTAGACTGATCTTCTTCCCAAACAATCTATTACAATCCCAGCCGTCCAAGTTATGAGTTGACAAATTTATCCTTGGAACCTCTTGAATGGGATGACAGCTGTATCGCACATGCACGTGAACGAAGAAACGCCTCCACTTAAACGGCGTCGTTCAGCCATTTCCCGCCCTTCGCGACGCTCAGCATTCCCAGAATCCAAAGCGAGTGGACTCTGTAAATCCTACTCGAAGCGAGTGGGTTCCGTCCGTACAAATTCCTCCCTCGCATTCGCTTTTATATATAGTACAGTACACACACGCCATCCTCACCGTTATAACAAACAAACAAAACTCTCTCTCTCTCTCTCTCTCTCAGCTCTGTACTCTCTGATTCTTGAGCAGCAAGGAAATGGCGTCAGAGGCGTCAGACGCAAGAACCCAAATGCCGCCGCCACCACCACCACCAAAACCACCGCTACTGCGGCTACCGCCACCGCCGGTTGATCCTCTGCAGAAGGTCTCGCTGTATGTGGGTGACCTGGACCCACAGGTCACGGAAGATGACCTCCTCGGAACGTTTCGTTTCATCGGCCCCATTGCTTCCGTTCGCCTCTGCCGTAACGCTCACTCCGGCGAGTCCCTTCGCTACGCCTACGTCAACTTCTACTCTCACTCCCATGGTAACGGAAACGACACTCAAAACCCCACTCTTTCGTCTTCGTTTTCTGTTTGACAATGTATAGTAGCTCTGCTTCTTCTGTAGATTTCTCTTGTTATGTGACTGTATCTTCGTTATATTGGCTGTTTTTTGCTTATGGTTCCTTGTGATTTTCGATTCTGTGAAATGGGTTTTCTATTGGGATCTTTTGTCTAGCTCTTAGTTGCTCTTTTTTCTCTTTTTTTGGGGATTTTCTTGCTTAATGGTGAACCAACTTTCATTTTCCTGAAATGGGTTTTGGGTGGTTTCGTTTCTTGGGCTTTATGTCTTTTTGTAATAGCATTCTTGGTTACTCAAGTGTCTGAAATGGGTATTTGGTGGTTTTGTTTCTTTTTGCAATGGCAACCTTGGTTACCCAATTTATCTGTTTCGGGTTTATTTTGGTTCTGGTGGCTTTGTTTCATGTTATTTTGGTTGCATTTTCTTGCTTAATGGCGAACCAACTTTCATTTTTCTGAAATGGGTTCTTGGTGGTTTTGTTTCTTGTGCTCAACTTCTCTGTTTGGATTCTCTAGTTAGATCTCCTCCTCTGTTTGCATATTTGCATGTATGCTTTTTTGTTTCTTGGCCAGATTTCTTACTCTGTGAGTTTCTTATGTCTGCTTTCATGTTTGATTTCTGCACCACCTTTTTGATACGTTATATTTGATCTTTGATGCGTCTGTTTACTGTGAGTTATCTGTTTTGATCAGCATCCAAGGCTATGGCTTGTCTGAATCACACTGAATTGAAGGGGAAAACCATGAGAATAATGTGGTCTCAAAGGGATGCTCTTCCAAGAAAAACAAGTATTGCCAATATCTTTGTGAAGAACCTTGACACTTCAGTCACCAGCACTGAGTTGCAGGACATGTTTGGCGATTTTGGGACTATACTCTCTTGCAAGGTAGCCGAAGAAAATGGGAAGAGTAAGGGTTTTGGGTTCGTCCAGTTTGACACAGAGGATTCAGCTATGGCTGCTGTCAGTGCTCTGAATGGTACTGTTATTATGGGGAAGAATTTGTAAGCCCTCTGTTTCCTTTGTTCTGTGTTTCTTACTTACTCCTGTTTTCTCTTCTCGAATGTTCTTGACTGAATAAACTTCAATGGATGGCCCTCAATGGATCATTGTTTTAATGACAAGTAATGATCTACAAGGTCATGGTTATTCCTTGGATATGCTTGTCTTCCTGGTGTTGATTGTTTATGATTTTCTTGGGCAATGTGTGTTATCCAAAAATTCTTCTGTTCTGTACAACCTGGATGGTTACATGTGTTTCTTATAGGTTCTGAGTTTATATATTGATATAAAGGACTCTCCTATAGTTTCCGCTTTTGTTAAAATGATTTATTTGTCAATAAATTTATGCTGTTGTAATTGTTTTCTGTCCTGTCATTTCTCTTTAGATATGTGTCAAAATTTGTTAAGAAAAGTGAGAGGCTATCAGAATTTACAAATCTGTATGTGAAAAATCTGGACGAAGATGTGACTGAGGATCTGCTTGAAGAGAAGTTCTCTCTGTATGGAAAGGTTGATAGTCTTGCCATCATGAAGGATGCCAACGGGAAGTCAAGAGGTTTTGGGTTTGTTAATTTTGAGTCACAAGAAGAGGCTAAGAAGGCGATTGAGGCCATGAATGGTGCACTGCTGGGTAAACCTCCAACTTTCTTCATCTCATTTTAGTTTGTTTTGTTTGTAACATTATTATGCCTGAAACTTTCTCTAATAAGCAAAATCAAAATGTGGATCAGGAACAAAACATTTGTTTGTTGGAAGGGCTCAAAAGAAAGCTGAGAGGGAAAAGCTTCTAAATTGTAAAAATGAGATGCTCAACAGTCCGATTGAGAAACTTAGGTCTTCGAATCTCTACATTAAGAATTTAGCTGAATATGTTGACGATAAAAAATTAGAAAAGCACTTTAGTGCCTTTGGGAAGATAGAATCGGTTAAAGTGATGTGCTATGATAACGGGAGGAGCAAAGGATTTGGCTTTGTTTGTTTCTCAACTCCTGAAGAAGCTGTAAAGGCTCTCAATGCTCTTAATGGTAAACTCATTGTCTCTTTTCCTGCTTTTTGTCCTCTTAAGGCTGTATTTGGTTTACACCTCTGTGATTTGAGTTTGTTTTTGTCAGGAATCATTTTTGAAGGCAGAAAACTGTATGTGGCTGTAGCTCAACGCAAAGAAGATCGCTGCAGACATCTGCAAAATTACTTTTGTCATCAATTGCCACAAAGATCTTTCCAACCTCCAAACTGGACTATCCTCCCCCCACTCCAGTACAGCGTTTCCCCTAGCCCTCCTATGTCTCCTCCGCCACACCAACCAGTCATGTATCAAACTTTTGGTACAAACGTTGATTCACAGTATCCTTTGGTGTCACAAAACTTCTCATGGGTAAGTAATCCACCTTATTTGCTAATATATATTATATATATTTGTGTGTGTGTGTGTGTGTGAGTTTCTGCATGTGTATTTAGTCTCAGCAAGTTTTTCTTACTTGATTTATGATGCCACAGATTCCATCCAGACAAGCACAGTGGGGTAGCACCAGGAATGAGAATTTCCAAAAGAATGTAGGTTAAGTTTTTCATTTTTTTTCAGTTACAGTCACATAATTTTGTTTTAACCACTCACAAAGTGCCATCTTAGAACTCATAAGACACTCTGTTGATATGTAATGGCTTTCACAATGTTCTTGTCCTATGCTGGCTTTGTTATATATTGAACTGATATAAATTTCTTTTCACCTGTTTTACAGTCGAGGACATATGCTAAGTGTAATGTTCATGCCCAAGATATGAACTCTGTGAATCACGGAGGTCATGAAGCTGGCAACAGGAAGAAGGGTTACAAACAGAGTGGACCCACAGGAAGTTCAAGATCAGCAGCTACAGGAGGCAGAGCAGAGAACTCCAAAACAACTTCAAGGGCTCGTCACCACCCTCTTTCTGAGAATCTTGAGGTCTTTGATTACTTCATTCAGAGGATTTTTATTTATTCATTCATGTGACTGTCAATAATTTTTGTGTTATGTGCTCTCTCTCTCTCTCTCTCTCTCTCTCTCTCTCTTGTAGCGTGGGCATGCAGCACAGATAACAAGAACGTCAGAAATGCTGTTGGAGATGAACAACTCTGTCAAAGAAGCTCAAGTTTTGAAGGTGGCAAATGGTAGTAGGACCAGTGCAGATCATCGCCCTGTTTTTGCAAAGTGCCGCTCTTACTTGACTTGAAACTGGTGGCATTTTACCTTTGCTATATGTCTTGTTACTTACTAGTTCAGTTTCTATCAAAGCATTTTGTTCTCTCTGCGTGTAATTTGCAAAAGATGCTGTACAATTGATTGCTTCTGTAAATCTCTTCAGTAAGGCGAGACCAGCACTTAGACTCTTCAGTACTAATCAATTAGAAATTTAGAATATAACGTTTAGCTTTTTCTGGTCTGTGCTTCTGTTTTGTTTGCTATAGGTCTCTCTCTCTCTCTCTCTCCCCCTGAGATCTCTTGTTTGGTTTAGCTTTCCCTCAATTAACGAAGCAAAACATTTATGTAAATCACGTCTTAGTAATTAATTAATAAATTGCATGCAACTTATTAAGCTTTTGCATCACTATCTTTGTAAACACAGTAACCTAAAAAGCAAGTAGTAGCAGTCTTCAACATTTTAAAGAGACAGAAAGATCCATATATATCTTCATCCAATGAGGGAGATGCCCTGGATAATCAATGCATCAGCAAGAACTTGATTAGCAGCTTGAGATGGATGGACGCTATCCCAGAACACATATTGAGACGAATTCGAACAAGTTCCGATCGAGTGTGGATTGCACAGCAGTGATGTTGTCTCTACAAACCCAGTTCCACAGCAACCTCTCCTTGCTTCCGCAAACCCTACAAAAAATAACCATAGAAAAAACAATTATATATTATTTCTCAAGCATCTATTTTGTTAGGCTACTTGGGTTAAAATTTTAGTTTAGTTTAGTTTAGTACCGTAATTCGATGGGGCTTTAATCACATCATAGAGAGGCTTGAAAATGTCGAAGATGACGATCTTAAGGCCAGGAAGTTGCTTTTGGAGATTTGCTGCGGCGGAGCTTATCTTCTTATTGAACCCTTGGGCATCAGAGTTGATTCTAGCCACGCACCCTTGCTCATGGTATCCAAATAAGGTGATTGCAGCTGGAAGGCAACCCAATGGAGGGAGTGAAGTCACACCAATTTTCCTGGCTCCCGAGCCATACAAATCCTAGTTTTTCAAGGAAGCATCAAAATCTTAGTTAAGATCCATTTGAATGAAATGATTTCAAAGAAAAGATTGGGAAATGCTAATGAGGCAAATTAGTTAAAAATAAACTACAAAACACTAGATAGACATTAACTGAATTCCTTGCTTTGAAATAATCCCTCTCAAACGAGCCCTTAGTTTCGCAATCAGAAATCAGCAACATACAATTTTAACCACATTTTATTTTTTTAATTTTAAAATAAATTTTTTTTTAATTTTTAAAGAGGAGATTGATAAAGAGAAGCACCAATGACAAGATACCTTAACAAAGCTTGAGAAGAGGCCAACAAGGATAGAGGAATATTGCTCAGGAGTGTAGACTCTGTTAAGATAAGGGTTGACATAATAGTTCTGAAGAAAGTCACTGTTGCCAGCACTCAATAAATAGAGTGCATCTTTGATGATGGATGCTGCTTTCTTACTGCCTGCTACCTTGGCCAGCTTACCCTGATATTCCCTGAAATATTGTAGCTGCTGGGACAATGGGATTGCATGCTGCCACAACAAGTTCAATTGTTTTGTGTGAAACATGTAAAATTAACATATACATAGGTGCAAAATTAACTGTCATAACTCAGATTGGAATTTTACATTTAGAGTTGCTGCTTTTTCGTCGTAACCGGATGCAGCTGAAGCGAAGTTGGCTCCAATCAGAAGGTTCTTCCCTGATGCCTGTGGGCTAAGGTATGCCGGTGGGTAAGTCGTGAACCCCAGAGTGTCAGCTGCATAAAGAAAATCAGATTATCATGTTTTTACCAGTTAACTAAGACGCTTGGATAGTATAATTAACTGCTAATCCAATCCCAGATTAATGCTGGAGGAGTCATATTATAATTTCTAACTACAATAGCTTAAGAAATTAATGATCATTATCAACAATTAATCTGGTTACAGAAAGATATATACTTTTAAAATTCTGTTCCTGTAAGACAGGTTAAGCTACATAAAGAAACTAATTATGTTATGTAGTTGAAACTAACTCAACTAGACAACTTAAACAATCAGGTTGGTGTTTCTAACAAGATCACTTTTCTTGCTCTAGGAAGCAATTACTGTCAGGCTTTTGAGCATTAAACCAAAAGAGAGAAAGACTCCAATGCATTGTGCCCGCCTCGTTGCACCCGGGTTCGATCTCCCTCCCCCTCCCCGTACATTAGAGTAGCCTACACTATCATATTGTAAAAGAAAAAAAAAGGGGAAAGAGAAAGGCTTCAATTTGAAGCTAATTTTCCACTTACCAGTGATGTCAGTGGCTAGCTTCCCATTGCAAAACCTGCCAGTAGGCTGATGGTTGACAAAGTCCCTTCCATATGGAGGGTAATTAGCCTTGAAGATAGTTGGGAGATAGTCATTGTTGCCCACATCAACTGCAGAGTCACCAAAGGTCATGATGGCTGGAACAAGAGTGGTTGCTTCTTGTGCATTTCCACCACTTACAAACAAAGCACATACAAAAACCAAACCCAAGGCTGCAGCTGTCAAGTATTGGCTATGCCTGCCCATTTCTTTGAAGCAGCTTTCTTTTGTTTGAAGCTCAATGCTATGAAAAACTGGACTTTATAAGGGCATTGAAAATGACCCTTTTGAAGTTTCCTCTTGAAGAGGGAAGGTAGGGTTTGTGTTTAGGCATTAAATGAGAGTTCAATTGGTTTTACCAGCACTAAAAATTATACAAACACCATAACTCATTGAGCCCTTTTGTCTTGCTAGCTTAACACTCTTATTTTTCTTATTATAAATCCAAAATAATTGCCAACATCCAACCGAATGGAAAAAACACTTTGATTTGTAAGTCTCAGAGTAGTGTCTTGTAATTTAAATTATCGCTTACATTAAAAAAAATATATCCATAATAATTTGCAGACAAAACATTTCTCTGGTTATATCAAATATGGGGCAGTTGAGAAGATAGTAGGTGGAGGCATTATGAGCTAAAGCTATGTCAAAGCTGCATGTGATGGAGTTATTTTGGTGGTTCTGAAACTCTTCTGACTTATAGCGAACTGGTTGGACAAATAAGGCAATGGAAATCGGTGGCTTAATTAGCAAAACCAAAACCCAATGAGGATCAAGCAAGGGACACCAAAATATGCATCAAATCTAGAGGCATTGTGAGTCACAATTTGATGAGGCTCTCTTTATTTATGTTTAGAGAGAGAGTTAGTTGGAACAGTTCTCTCTCATGATAATGGTATTGATGATCATCGACCTGCATTGGGACTCGGGTGGGGTCCATATGTGCTATGATTTATGGACGGTCAGGATCAGTAAATAGAAATGGATACTTGTTGCCATCAAACCCTGCCAGCTTTCTTCCATTCTGTAGATAGTACACCACGTCCTTGAAGCACTCGTTTCTGTGTATGTTTGATGTTTTTGAAAATTAATTGAACAGTCCGGACCAAACCTTTTGAAGAACAAATGTAGTAAGAACCCGACAAGAAAATATCGCATTAAAAGAAGAAAAGATAAGAGAGAAACAATTTTAGATGTTTAAAATGTTTCTTTTTTATCTGCAGATATTTAAATGTAACATGCTTTCGTTAAGATTTTAATTTTTACAAATAAAATCTAGTCGAGTGAAAAAGAGTACTGATTTACACAAGTACAGGGAGATAACAATTACAAGTATCTACACATGCTATGCATAGTCACTGCAAAGTTAGGGGAAAAAGAAGCATGATGGTTGTGGGAGAGACACAGTGTGTGATAAATGATTTTTTTAATTTCCATTTTACTCTCAAATTTTATATTTATTATTCAATTTATTAAATGTTTTAAGAATAATTGAAATTTCATTCGCTCTCCAACAAAAAAGGATTCTCTTAATATATAAAGTGTAAAACAAGATAAGCTGATAAAATATTTTATGTCCATGCTTATAATAATCCCTGAAATCAAGTGGTCTGTATCTTACATTTTTTTCTTTGGGTCTGAAAACTGAGATTCATTCAGGAAAAAAAGCCAGAGAGGCCCAAGGGCACAAAGTACCCAAGACTAGGTCATGCATTGAGGCCCAGACAAAGAGCCCACAGTACAATGAGATTGATCAAACTTGCATAAAACAACATTGATTTAAAAAATAAAAGGGAGGAAAACAATACACCCCAATTTCCATTATTTTATCAAGATAGCTACCTAACTGTGGGGCTTTCCATAGGTACTAAATTTGTTTCAATGCCAGTCTGATTTGTTTGAGCTAGTACTGTTGCCAAACATTCCCTTATTCCCATCACTACCTCACTCATGGTAGGCCTTTTGATGGCATCTGCTGATGTACATGATGTTGCTATTTCCACAGCTTTCCAAACAGAGTTTACATTGAAACTTCCCTCCAACCTCCGATCAACAATACCGGAAATGTCCCCGTTCGAAAGCATGAAAGCAACCCAGTTACTTATGTGAATTCTCTCATCATGTGTGTTTGAATAAACAGGTCGACCTGTGATGATCTCCAACAGTACAACCCCAAAGCTATAAACATCACTTTTCTCATTTAGCCTGTTTGAGTCGTGGTACCTTCAAGCCAACCGTGCGTCACAAGTCATTTCAAAACAACAATACTAAAAGATCGACTTGTTTCCCGAATTTTAGTTGATCAACATTAAGATGATATGGCATGTGACATGATAGTATCTTACTTGTGAAAATAGATAAAGTCGAGAATAGGCTCAGATATGAACAAATGAAAAGGCACGTAGTAACAAAAACTTACTCGGGGGCAAGGTACCCAGGAGTGCCAGCAACACCTGTGAATATATGAGTACCATCCTCCTCAGTGAAATTTCTAGATAGGCCAAAATCAGATATCTTGGCTTGGAAATTTTCATTCAGCAAGATGTTGGATGATTTGACATCCCTGTGGATCATAGGTGGTGTACAACCATGGTGCATATATTCCAATCCTGTATTGCAAAATTCAGACTGATTTAATCACAAAAAAATTTAATAAATGATGAAGATAAATTGCTAGTAAAAAGGGATTATGAAAATGATTTTGTTGCAGACCTTGGGCAGCCTCTATTGCTATTTGAAGTCTACCTTCCCAAGTCAAGACATTTGAACTGCTACCTGCATATATAAAATAACCAAATAAAGGAAACCTCACCTAAAGAAATGGTGAATTTGGCCAACGAAGAATTTCAATTGAAAACAAACCTGAAAGATGTTTTTGTAAGTTTCCATTGGCCATGTACTCGTAAACGAGCCCTTTGTTGGTCTTATCATTGCAATATCCTACAAGGCTAATCAAGTTTATATGGTGAACTCTCAGAAGAAGATCAACCTGCAAATGAAGAGGCCATAAATGCAACATCTTAGTATATTACATGTGATTGAGGATTAGAAAGTCTGCAGTAGTTTATTTTGACAAACATGCCTCTGCATGAAATTGTTGAGGCCCTTGAACTGATGATGGAGAAAGCATCTTGACAGCTACTTCAGTTTTGTCTATGCACCCATAATAAACTGTTCCAAACCCCCCTTTGCCAAGAATCTTCTCTAAGTTGTTGGTAATCGTTAGTATGTCCGAGTATGCAAACTGTCGCTTTCTTGACTCCAAGAACCCAATGGTGGCTTTAATTTGCATCATCACAAGTTAATAAGAGGATGTTTGGTTTTATGATGTTGTATTTACAAAAAAATTTGAACAATATTTATAGGTCTTACCATTTTGTCTTCTCCTTTTAATCCCCCACCAGATAGCTGCCACAGATAATAAGAGGATTGATATTCCAACGATTGGCACAACTATGGGAACAATATTGGAATTCTGTTTCTTCTTTTTCATCTCCTTCTTTTCGCAAGAAACTTGTTCGGACGTGTTTAGATTTTCGCACAAACTGATGTCAAGATGGTTGATAGCAACAATAGTTAAATTTGGATTAATAATAGGTACCAATAATATAATATCCTCTGTAACATTAGCAGCAGGGCAGCTGTTATAATTCTCAACCATCTTCCAATTTGTATGGAAATACCTGATCATTTTATATTTTCATGAAGAAATAAATTTGAAAGTAGAAATAGAAAAGTGGTGGCATATCCATGTTGATCAATATAAGCAGACCTTAATGATAGCAAGCCATTGTTTCTTCTTTCAATGAGTCCTACAGGAACTGGGCCTGTGAGTTTGTTTTTCTCCAAGTTCCTGCACATGTAAAGGACGCTATCACCCATGTTTTGCAATTAATTAAGAATTTGAAGTCTATCGACCGCCGAATATATAAAAATAACTTACAAGACATTCAAATTTGGCAATTGAGACAAAAATTCAGGAATTTGTCCTGTTAAGCTGTTGTTTGATAAATCCCTGAAATCATGAGCAGCTCAACTCATTTAAAACTGAGAAATCATTACAAAATGAAAATTTAAAACTGAGTTATCTTGTAACTGACATGTAAAAAGTCATATATACTTACAGTGTCTGTATCATTCTTAGGTTGGCTATGGAAAGAGCTATCCCTCCTGTTAAACCGTTGGAGGATAAGTTCCTGTTTGCATGTTCCATAACTTCATTAAGACATAAGTTCTGGAATTAAAATGGAATGTCATGAGTAAGTTTGTATGAAGAGATACTTACAAGGATGTGATTCTTGGGGTCTCATTTTCACGATAGCTACAGTTTAGACCATTCCACAAGAAAACTTCAGGGGCACATGGATCTCCTTGCCAGTTCTTCGTAATTTTATAAGTTGACTTGATGTTTGTGATTGCGTCAACTAATATTTTCAGAAGGTCAGCAGAAAATGTCATTAAAATCAATCATCAAGGGGTGAAGCTTAAGGAAGAATTACTTACAATCTTCTTCATTTGTCTCTGATTCTAAGAATTCTTTTACCATGTAAAGCTCAATGGCATTGACGATGGGTTTAAGGGTAGAGTTCTCAGCCGCAAAGATTGAAAAATTATATTGTACTTCTCCACCAACAGCCAAACGGGTGAAAAGAGTTCTTGTGTACAAGTATTCAGGAGAAAAAAGCTCTTGAAAGAGCACTCCGTTCTTAGTCACATATTGCTGTCTAGAATGGTTAGTTTTGAGCTTTTCAACTTCTGCAAAGTGCATGTAAACATAATATTCTGAATTTTTATCCACTGGCTTCCAGGAGAAATCCAAGGAGCCACTTGCACTTTTCGGCGTGGCAGCAGTACGCATGACATCAGATGGTGGCTTGTAAAACAATCCAGGGTTAACGGTGAGTGAGGTATTTATCTGTGTCCAATCATCGCGGGCATAGATATACCAGAAGCGATCATGAATATCTTTTGGATACCTAAACAGAAACAATTAAACAAGAGAGATTGATTTAATCAGTGTTTAGCTATTAATTGACATATGTGTATTGATCATGTCCGAGGACATAAATTACTTAATGTCTCACCTATATCCTTCAAAAGTGGCTGCTAAAGCACCAGTGTCATACCGCGAGACAAGTGCTAAAGACCCCACTTGTGTCTGATAAGTTTCATTAAGTAAAGGCCTTATCTCTATTGTTGATATAAATGGAACCCCGGATCCTGTGTTTACAAGACATATATGCATGTAATTTCGCGAGGGAATATGTATGAGCTCAAAATCTACGCCATACTCCCCGAATTTCACATAATCCCACAAATTCGGTCCAAGATGTAGTTCGAATTCTGCGAATTTATTTTGGCCATCATAGTTTCCATACAGGAAACTTGCTCGGATCAAATACTTGCTGCCACTCGTAACATTTATTTTGTAGCAGTTTCTTATTCCTTCAGGGAAGCTCCTAACAGACCAATATTGTTGTTGATATTCGTTCTTGTAATCATGTGATACAAATTTAACTTCACCAGTGTCTATGAAGTTTGTGTCTGAAGTGTAGTTAATGCCTGTTGTCTTTTCAGTATAGCTAGAATCTCCGGCAAGGCCGCAGTCTATGCTAATGAAGCCTGAGACAGATCACAGACAGACACATACTATAAGAGAGAGGCCTTAGAATTTTCAAAAAATTAAACTGTAGTTGCAGAAATATTCATACCTGATTCATCCTGGGCATGAACTAGGAGCATAAGAGCAAAACCACCAAGCAGTGGAAAGAGGAGTGACTTGAATGTTCGCGACATCATTAAACTTTCAGAAACAAGTTTGTATTCAATTTAAAGACTCTGATCATTTTATATAAGTTGGATGCTATAATGCAGATCAGAATTCTTGACCCAGTAATACTTTAAAAGAGCCTTATATGTCAGTTAAGAAGCTGACCATAATAATTAATCTAACAAGTAGACATTAGTTGTGGTATCATGTCAGTTGAGGCAGGCAACTGGGTTTGTATTATATTATCTTTAAATTAAGCTCTCTTTGATTACTACGCTTTTTTCAACTAGTCACCTGCTTTTATTCTTGTCTCCTGTTGTTCTCCTCATTTCTGTCTCAGTAGCAATTTTTACCTCCTAACAGGGCCTTTGTCCATTACAAACCGAATTGAGGCAGAAGATTCCTATAAATCTGGTTTGAAGTGTTAGAGGTTCTATGAAGCATGATATTTCCAATTTTTCTATCATGGCAACATGCACAAAACAAAATGAAAGACAATGATCAACCAAGTTTTGCAAGCTAAGCATGAGGGTTAAAATGAGCAGAAGTTCTAGATCCAGAATAGGGATAAGATTTTAGAGAGGCGCGGACAATCAGCCCACTACTAGTTGGTCTAACACTGAGACTGTTCCAAACTTAACCACGTGTTATAGCATAACAAGTATGTGGTTTTATCACAAAATGTCTCGGTGTTATTAGTCGTGGAACCACTCATTATATATTGTATTTTGTCTTTGACTAATTACGTTAAGAGCCATTAAATATGCAACCAAAATGTTATGTGTTTGAACCTTTCAACCTCATCCCCATTATCACTATGTTAACATGGAGGGTGGGGCTGCGCCAATCACATTTTTGTTTGTCTCACTTCTGTTTCCGGGATTCAATTAATGGTTGTAATAATCTAAGAACTTAAGAATTTAACTATTTGAAAATACCAATATTATTATAGAACTCTTCCATCTCTAAAGAATATTACAACTGTTTTTGGTTTGTTTTTTCTTTTTCTATAATGTATCTTTGTATTGGTCTACCATTTGGGGAAACTCATTGGCGAAGTGGCAAAAGGATGAGACGAGAAGAAGCTGGTGAGAGAGGCGAGGAGAAGAATGGCAGCACGAGGGAAGAAGCCAAGAAATGTGTTTGTGATAAAGAAGATGCTTTTGGTACCTATTAGGTACTAAATTTGACGATGAAATGTCTGTTAGGTGCAAATTGACATAATACATTTTTAAAAAATATATAAAAAAAATTGAACGCATTAATCAATTGCTCAACTTGTTAACTCTAGAGCCGAAGTCTACGACACAGCTGGTTCGACTCAAATGTCCAAAGTCTACAACACAGCTGGTTTAACTCAAATTTAAGTATATTAGTGGGTCAATGGCTTGAAAGATCCATTACCAGTAGATTATCCATGAAATGATTAGGAATAGGCATAAGATTATTCTTGATGATGTACCCACTATTCTTAACTATAACTCCTGCCCATGTGCCTATGTATTATAACTAAGAATTTTAGGGAGCTTTATTTGTGATCTTGCGAACCTTAATTACGAGTGAGTGTGAGGAAAACACTTGCGCTTGGAGTTGTTTCTCCTTCTTCTTCTTTTGTAGTGAGAATTTCATAGAAATCCGGGGATGTAGCTTATTTATGAACCTTATAAATTCTTGTGTCGTTTGTGTGATTGGTTTACTTTTTTGTTTCCTAATCGCATTTGTTGTTTCGCGTTCTAGGAGATCAAGAACCCGATTTCCTAACAACTAGTATCAGAGCTTCATGTTCAAGTGGGAACGATGAACGTACAATGTTGAGAAGAGAGTGGACAAGTTCAACGGCAGAGACTTTGTGATATGGAGGTCGCAGATTAATGATTACCTAAAGCTCAATATTAATATTGCACAAGCAGTCAGTTTTCTTTTCTAAAGAAGCTGCATAATTGATTATGAAATATTTGCAACTCATACATATTACATAATTTGGCATCTGTTACAAAAAAGATTGAATGACTTCCAAAAAAATATTGTCAAAAAGAAAAGTAACTACTAGCATCTCAATTCCCATTATTCTGCCCAACAGAGTGATGATTTTGCACAGCAATCAAGGCGGAGCTAGTGCATGCCCAGGGTGGGCATTGGCCCCCTTTTAAATATTGTTGTATATACAATTTTATGTTAGTATATTGTACAAAATATTATAAAATTCCTCACAAATTCTTAAATGGCCACTATTTTCTTTGTTTCTCTTTCATTCATGTCTAAATTTCTTTTGAATTGCATGTATTTTGTTATCATAAAAGGGTGATAGGTTATTCATACAAAAAATAAAGGAAAAAAAAGATAGAGAAAAGTGATAAAATTAGGGATTTCTTAAAAACTAGGTTGATTTGTCATAAAAAAAAGTGTTTGAATTTTTAAAGGTGCCCCCTCTTACTTAAATTCCTGACTCCGCCACTCAAACTCTTAGACACTGTCTCAATGGAGTTTCCCGACTCAATGTCGCTGCTCTGCTTTGTTCAACCCAGTTGTGTTGCCAAACACTCCTTTAGTCCCACCACTACCTTACTCATGGTTGGCCTTTTGCTGGGATCTGTAGATACACATTCAATTGCTATTTTCACAGCTTTCCGGACAGAGTTAATGTTGAAAGTTTCATCTAACCGGGGATCAACGACTTTTGAAAGCATGGGATAAACAATACTGTCGATGTGTTCTTTTAGAAGCATAGAATCAACCCATTTCTTAATGTGAATTGCTTCTGTTGTCTTTGAGAAAACACGTCGACCTGTGATAACCTCCAGCAGTACAATATGTTAGCCTTTTTTAACTACTTTAATTAGTAGTTATATTTTAAACAACAAATAGAATAATGAAATTAAATATGACGTTTGCTCCACTATGATACAACTTTCTAAATCAAAGTCCTAGCACTAGAGCTTTCATTTCTAGCGAAATTTTTGGGTTTATTGATGCGGCTATACAAGAATGACGATATGAATGTTCTCTACAAATTTATAGGACAAACTCAAAACATTATTTAAAAATAATTAATTAACTAATTGGGTTTAATTTAAATCACTGAGCCCAAGAGCCCTAAGGCCCAATGCTAACCTTTTGATTAATTAAATATATATTAATTAACCATTGAACACATAATTCTCACATATTATTGAAGAAAAATGATATATACTAAAATAAAATAGTATAGCCGCCCGGCTATACTCAGGTTTCCCCTTAATTGCTTTTAAAAATCGTACAGCCAAGCGGCTATACCTTAAAAAAAAATAAAGAAACCGGTGCTGCTCGTTTGACGCGTGGCGCATAAGCGCTGGGCGGGTCCGTATACATACATATAGCTATACTAGATTCTTTTTGAAATTTTTTTAAAGATAGTATAGCCGTGCGGCTATACCTTTTAAGACAAAAAAATATAATTAAAAAAAAATTAGTTTCTTAACTTTTGTTTTTTTGACCTACTTCTTTAATTTAATATAGGCTTAATTATGTACATGCCCCCTGTGCTTTCCAACTTATCTCAGATTACCACATGTGGTGGAAAACGTCTCAAAGTACCCCCCAACGTGCAAAAAACTGTCTCACGTTACCCTTTCCGTCAGTTTTTTTGAAGTTCCGTTACGAATGTTACTGTTCATCTCCCCCAAAATTCCAGAACAGTAGCCCCTCCCCTTTGTTACTGTTCATCGCTTATTTACCCTCCAAAACTCAGAAATTTCTCCTAACCAACACAACTAGCAGCAAGAACAACTCGAGAGGTTGAAAAATCATACTTGGATCGAAGAAAATGGTGCTCGGAATCGCCCGAACGAGCAATGGAGATTTTGGGTAAAAACCGGCCAATTTCTTGCTTTTTTCGGTGATCCAGACGACGGTTGGCAGCGGCTGAGATGTGAGGGTGGTAGAGGACAACGTGCTGGTTCTTTTGATATCCATGTCGTCGCTTGGGGTGGCCGGAGGAGGCGATGGCAGCCCAAAAACTGGTGCGATGAACAGTAACAAATGGGAGGAGCTGCTGTTCTGGAATTTTGGGGGAGATGAACAGTAACGTTCGTAACGGAACTTCAAAAAAACTGACGGAAAGGGTAACGTGAGACAGTTTTTTGCACGTTGGGGGGTACTTTGAGACGTTTTCCACCACAGGTGGTAATTTGAGATAAGTTGGAAAGCACAGGGGGCATGTACATAATTAAGCCTTTAATATATGTAATTAACTAATATGTTAGCCTTTTTTAATTACTTTAATTAGTAATTATATCTTAAACAACAAATAGAATAATGAAATTAAATTTGGCGTTTGCTCCACTAGGATACAACTTTCTAAATCAAAGTCCTAGCACTAGAGCTTTCATTTCTAGTGAAATTTTTGGGTTTATCGATGCGGCTATACAAGAATGACGATATGAATGTTATCTGCGAATTTATAGGACAAACTCAAAACATTATTTAAAAATGATTAATTAACTAATCGGGTTTTGTTTCTGGGAGCTCACGAGCAACTTCCCTATGGGTTACTCATCCTGGGATTGCTCTAGCCCCAACTCGCTTAAATTCGGAATTCCTTTGACTCCGAAGCTAGTAAGCTCCCAAAAGGCCTCGTGCTAGATGGAGGCAGGCATGTGCATATAAGGCACATCACCTCCTCCCCGTTGGTCGATGTGAGATGTTACATGCTAAGCTAAAGTAGCATGGATGACGTGAGTAACAAATCCTAATTTTCAAACTGTGATAATTGTGGTATGTATTATTCCGGTTAGACTTTTATTACTCTCCCTCTCATCTCAAGTCTTTTTGCACAGCTCGTACACTTTTTCTTTATACACATCAAACCTTTTCATATTAGTAGACGCCTCTCTCACCAACTTTAATTTAATAGAGCATATAGATGTTTTCTATCACATTAAGTTTAATACAGTTGGTTATTACATGTTAATATTAATACAACAAATAGCACATTAAGTTTAACAAAAGGATCATTAACTTTAATGCCAATGGCATATGCATCACATGAAGAAGAGCTACATGATTTGAAGCACATGTGCTAGGTCTTATTGATTTTACGCATAAAAAATAATTGATCTAAAAAGAAAATGGAGGAAACTAATACATCCCAACTCCCATTATTTGATCTAGCCAAGGAATAGTTCAACTACCTAACCGAGGGATTTAGCATAGAGATCGAACTATCAGACCTTATCTCAATGGAATTTGTTAACTTAGTTTCATGGCTCTGCCTTGTTCCAGCAATCTCTGTTGCCAAACTCTCCTTTAGTTCCACCACCACCTGACTCATGGTTGGCCTTTTTATAGCATTTGGAGATACACATGCCATTGCTATCTCCACAACCTTCCATACAGCGTTCGTGTTGAAGTGTCTCTCCAACCTCGGATCAACAATGCCGTAAATGTCTCCTTCTGCAAGCATGGACCTCACCCACCGACTGATGTGAATTCTTTCATGTTCCCTTGATGAGTAAACAGGTCGACAGGAGATAATCTCCAGCAGCACAACCCCGAAGCTATAAACATCACTTTTCTCGTTCAACCTGTTTGATAGGTTGTACCTTCAAGTACAAGTTACAACCATTTGCAAATAAAACATCACATTTTTTAGTTTCTAATATTTGATTTGAATGCTCCAATTAAGGGACGGATAAACTAAAAGCAAAAACAAAAAAATTACTTACTCTGGGTCAAGGTAGCCGGGAGTGCCAGCAACGACGGTCGATACATGAGTGTCATCATTGGAGGGGAAAGTTCTGGATAGTCCAAAATCAGATAGCTTGGCTTGGAAATTTTCATTCAGCAAAATATTTGTTAATTTTACATCCCTGTGGATTATTGGTGGCTTACAGCCATAGTGCAGATACTCCAATCCTGCATTTCAAGTTGAGATACCACATCCCAAATATTGAATTAAAAGAAAAGAAAAGAAAAGAAAAGAAATTAATAGGAGATGCTAGCTAACAAAAATATTGTTACAAATATTTTAGTTTCAGACCTTGTGCAGCGTCTATTGCTATTTGAAGTCTGTCTTTCCAAGTCAAGATATTTGAGCTGCTACCTGCATCCATAACAAATAAAGAGCCTAAAGTTTAGAAGTAGTACGAGAAATAGTGAAATTTTGCTACTGAACATGTAATTCAAGTGCAGGCAAACCTGAAAAAAGATGTTCACGCAAATTTCCACTGGACATGTACTCGTAGACAAGCCCTACCCCAGTCTTATCATTGCAATATCCAACCAGGCTTGTCAAATTTTTGTGATGAACTCTCAGAAGAAGATCAACCTGTAATCGAACAGACAAGAACATCTTAGTTTCTAACAAATGATTTGAGCTCAAACCCAATAATATTGTATTAGTTTATTTAGACAAACATGCCTCCGCAAGAAATTGTTGAAATCCTTGAACCGAGGATGGCGAAAGCATCTTGATAGCTAGTTGAGTATCGTCGATGTAGCCATGATAAACATTTCCAAATCCACCTTTTCCAAGAATCCGCTTGAAGTTGTTCGTGATCTTAATGATCTCAGAGTATGTAAACTGCCGTTTTGTTGACTCCACTGATGTCCCAATGGTGTCTTTTGCTTCTGCAACAACTCCTAATACCATATAGAGCCATAATGAAGAAGGTTATACATTAGCATTTTAGGATGTAAACTTTCATCCTATGTATAAAACTATATAGCCATAAATTTATGGAAGTCTACCATGTCTTTTCCTTTTGAAACCCCACCAAGCAGCTGCTACACATAATAAGAAGACTGAAATTCCAACGATTGACCCTACTAATGGAATAACAAAATTGTTCTTCTTCCTTTTGCAAGAAACAGCTCCAGATAGATTTGGATTTTCGCATAAACTGAAATAAAGATGGTTGATAGCAAGAGTAGTTAAATTTTGATCAATATAATAGGTACCAATAATATAAGCTCCTCTGTAATATTAGAAGCTAATGTTATAATTCTCATGAAAACAGAATTTGGTTACAAAACTGGTGGAAATTTGAAGTAGGCCAAACAAACAAAAACAAAACACACAGACAGACACATATTACAGCCATGGTTTTCTACAACACAAACCTTAAAGATAGCAAACCACTCTTGTTTCTGTCAATTAGTCTAATTGGAACTGAGCCTGTGAGCTTGTTTTTCTCCAGGTTTCTGCAAATGTGAATTGAACACTATATCCATCACCCTGCTTTAGTTTGTAACCAAGGATTTGCAGTTTTGCCCCCTAAAAGTAACAAAAAACTTACAGCACATTTAAGTTTGGCAATTGAGACACGAAGTCCGGAATTGGTCCTATCAAGTTGTTGTTTGATAAATCCCTGAAATCAGCTCAACTCAGTTAAAATAAACTGATTGTGCCACATAAAATTCTGATCATATTCTGTGTACCTTCCCATTAATTTGTAAACTTATGTAACAAGTACAGAGGAAGACATATATTTGCACTTACAATGTATGTATCATTTCGAGATTGGATATAGAAGTAGCTATCTCCCCTGTCAGTCCGCTTGAGGACAAGTCCCTGCAGATTGCACATCCTGTAACTTAATTCATCGAAACATGAAATTTAAATGAAAAATATAAACTGAAGATATACATACAAGGATATGATTCTTGGGGACTCATTTTCACGATAGCTACAGTTTAGACCTTCCCACAAGTAAGCATGCGGGACACATGGATCTCCTTGCCAGTTCTTTTTAATCTTGTAAGTTGACTTGATTTCTTTGATTGCGTCAACTAATTTAAATATTTTCGGAATCAAACAGAAAATCCTCATCAAAATCAATCATACATATGTGCAATAAATTGATAGCAAAAAAATTCGCTTGTGTAGGGAAGAATTACTTACCATCTGCTTGGTTTGTTTCTGATTCTAAGAATTCTTTTACCATGTAAAACTCGATAGCATTGAGGATTGGTGGAAGGGTAGAGTTCTCAAACTTAAAGATTGAGAAATTATATTGTCCTCCACTACTTTGAGCTTTAGTGCTGTAAATAGTCCAGGTGGACAAGTACTCAAGAACAAGACTTTTGCGAAAGAGTTCTCCATCCCTATTGATGTACATCTGTCTAGACTGGTTGCCTGGGAGTTTCTCAACTTCTGAAAAGTGCATGTAAACATAATATTCCGTAACATTATCAGAAGGCAGCCACAGTATTTCCAAGGAACCGTTTTTATTTTTCGGTGTAGCAGCTGTGCTCAGGACAATTTCTGGTGGTCGGAAATTATTGCTATTGTCTATGGTGGATGTGGTAATTAATTGTGTCCAATCATTGTCGTAGTAGCCATTCCAGATGCGATCAAAAGCATCATATGGAAACCTGCATAGAGAATAAGATACATTGAGTTCATTAGTATTGTTGGCAGGGGATTTGAAATTAGGACGTCTTCCGACATTGGGAAGAGAAATAATCTCGAGCCCCTGTACTATGTACTCACCGATATGAAGTTAAATTAGCGTTTTGACCCGTGTCAAATCGCATGTCAAGTGCCAAGGACTCCCCTTCAGTTACATAAGATCCATTCAATAAAGGCCTTATTTCTAGAGCTGATATAAATGGGACCCCGGAGCCTGTGTTTACCAGACAAACATGTATGTAGTTTCGGCCAGGGACATGTATGAGCTCCTTGTGTGTGATAGTAGATGCACTCTCCAACTTCACCGAGCTCCATAAGTTAGCTCCAAGGTGCAGATCGAATTCAGGAACTTTATTTTGGCCATCATAATTCCCATATACGAAACTTGATCTGATTAAATACTTGTAGCCATCAGTAACATTGATCTCGTAGCAGTTTCTGTTTCCTTCAGGGAAGCTCCTAAGAGACGTGTAGGGCTCTTGATACCTATAGCCATATTCCTGTAACACGGATTTTCTTTCACCCGTGTCTATGAAGGTTTCGTCTGAAATGTAGTTAATGCCGGTTGTGTTTTCAGTATAGCTGGAATTTCCGGCAAGGCCGCAGTCTATGCTAATGAATCCTGAGACACATGGAAGGCATGGATTGTATATAAGATGTGTTAGTTTATGGATGAAGAGGTTTAGAGTGAACCAACGCCCAAGGTTAATCGGAACAAGCTCTGATACCACTGTTAATTTATGGGAGAAGAGGTTTCAGAAATGGTTGGTTTAGTGGTTAAGACAACAGCTTAACTTGGAATAGAAAACTTTTGAAACATTAACAAAGTAGTTTTACTTGAATGGAGGAGGAAAGGTACAAAGCTTTAGATATAGGACTTAGTGGGATATAGGACAACAGGTAGTTTTCAGCTTACATATTTATCAAGGCAACAAGCCGATATATAGCTTAGTCCGTTAGTTGATTATATTACAGCACTTGTACTAAAGCATACTTTGATATTTTGGATTCACCGACTTTGCTAGGTCGGTTTGCTCATTCTCCATTATTCTATATTTTTCTATATTATTCAAGACACAAGTGCATTAATTTTAACAAGATGATACTCTCTATATATATATGTTACCAAAAATGTGTTATGAACATACATACCTGGTTGATCATCCCGGGCATGAACTAGGAGGAGCATAAGAGCAAAGCCACCAAGCAATGGAAGGAGGAATGGCTTGAATGTTTGCGACATCCTTCCACTTTGGGAAACTAGATTAATGTCTGTTGCCATTTTATACAATCAGAAATGCTATTCAGATACATTAATTTTCTTGACCGAGCAATACGCTAGAAAGTGAAGTATCACATATTTTAAAAAGATATTTAGTTATATACCCATTCTTAGCATTAATAATATAGATAAACCCTACACCATTTAATTTCTATAAACAAACCCAAAAAGATCCAAAAAATGATAGCTGGCCCTATTGAATTTAATCTTAATTATTAAATTACTTTGATACCCTATTGAGTACTTTAGGTTTTTTTTATGAGGTTTTGGGGTTGGGCTTGTTTTAAGAAATTGATGCCAGTTTTGTAATTTATAAAACGTTAATGTAAATGAGCTTTGGGTGTGTTTCTAAAGTCCATTTTATGTAGGGTATTTTTATAATTTGGGCCCCTCTATTGAGTATAATAGTGAATCCCCCTATTTAAAAACCATTGGCTAATTAAACATATTGTGGCACGGGCAGGAAGAGTCAATTAACAAATATTTTCCACAACATGCAAGTCTACCATGCAAGTCTACAATTCATACCTATCTTTGGATGGAGTTATTGTAGGTGCGTCTTTGAAGGAATGTTGACACGTTCTGTAGTTGACTTATGACCAATTCTCTTTGACTTTTGTGGAATATTTGTCCTGCATTTGAAAGACAGTGGGTCTACGGAAGGCTTGTAAATACGGAGGAAGACTTAGACATGAATATGACTGAGTTGTTGTGGAAGCAAGATACCTATGGGTACTAGGTCAAATAATTAAGTCAATTAATTTGAGAATTATTTGATTTTTACCTTAATTAGAGATTTGATTTGAATCAAATTCCTAATTAAATCAATCTCTCTAAATCGGGGAAGAATAATTCCTTTCCATCTGTGGAATTATTTTTCCGAAACCCTAGCCTCCGAGGCTTTTATAAATACATGGCTACACCAATAATTGAGGTAATTCTAAACTTAATTCTAAACTTTTGTCTAAAACTCTGCAGAAATCCTCTCTCATAAACTCTAGCCGCCATACTCTTTCTCTCTCTCACACAAGGCTCCGGCCACCACACATAGCTCCAGTCACCTTGTTCTCACACTAGATAAATCTCCATACCTTTGTTAGCTATTGTTTTCCTACAAACACTTGACCTAACTTAGGAATTAGGGACGGACCCAGGATTTCAAAATGGGGTGGGCTAAATTTACATTGCGTATAAACCTATTATGTCCATCTCTAATGCTAGATAATTCAAACCCAAAATTTCGCGATCTAAAATAGAACTATTCATGTATATCTCATACTCAACTTTATTAATTGTTTAAAAATGATTTAACTCTAAAATAATTTTATGTTTAATTATTTCTTAATTTAATTTTAGTTTATGTCATCATAATTTATTTTCTTGAACATTTAACTTTAAAAAAATTCAAATTTGGGAAACAAAATTTTGATTCACAAATGGTATAAAAGGAGATAAAAGATAACATTTATTACCTCTAAACAAATATAACATTTATTACTTTTTGTTGTTGTTAGAGCTGATGTATTACTTGTTTCTTTGTCTCAAAATTCTTTTTGATGTTATTGTTACAATATTAAAGCTGCGCAATGGGGTGTGGTTTTAATTTAAACAAAAATTTGATGGGTAAATGTGGTTTTTAATTAAAGTTTTTTAAGGTTAATTGTTTCTCTGTTCTCAAAACAAAAAAGTTCATTGTTTCATCAAGTCAACGCACAGCTAGGGTCCATTTATGTTGATTGGAAGTTGGGGTAGGTGTGTTGGGTTTGTTATTTTATATTATAAAAAGAGAACCGTCTGGTCTGTAGGCCATGTTAACCAAAGGGACGGTCCATTCCTGTTAGGCATCCTCCTGAGTATGGTTTTTCACTCCGTATTGTTTTGCAAGGGGAAAGATAAGCGAAGATGAAGACGGAATTTTTGGACGAATATTCTTTGGGGACAAAAATCGTGGTCAAGCTTACGTTTTTGTCTCATGTTCATCATCCAATTATCAATCGGCAACTCAGAAAGTCATTATACACTTCTCAAAGTCCAATTTTTAAGTTCTAGTTTAGTTTTTTTTTTTTTTTTTTTTTTTTGGTTGTTTTGTCGGAAGTTGTCAGTTTAAATTGAACACTTGATTGTAATTTCCTTGGGTTATTATAGTAGAATTAATTTTCTCCCACCAGCGTGGAAGCTACTTCCAAGTCAGGGTTCACTAATATACAAAGTTACATCGCATGCATGACTTGGTCGTCTTGTAGGCATCTTGCGCGTAACTGTCCATGTCAGAAACATCATCTTATCGTATTATATGGTGATGATTGATGACCAATTTACGTAGACAATTGTGTGGAAATTTGGGTTTGATTAGAGAAGACTCGTAAAAGGGACGGTCTGAAATTAGACTTTTCTATATAATTTAAGGCTATACTTGTTTTAAGTCACGCTTGCATCGTCAAAGAACTTGACATGAAATTTGGATTGATGAAATTGCCCATTGCATCGTCAAAGAACTTGACAGGAATACTAATTTGTCATTGAATTGCTACAAATACGAAACTACATGGTTAAAATTGACGGAATTAAAACTACATGGTCAAAAGTGGTTGAAGTGTCAAACTATAGAGACCAAAAGTGACTTTTAACCTTATTCTTTTTCTTTTTACCAAAAGAAAATGTGTTATTTACAAGTCTTATTTTACATTTTGTTTTTCGCTAGGGGAGAGGGAGAGTCATTAGAGTCACCGCACTGGTCAATAATAATAATTTACTCCACAGTGAACCAAAAAACGCTGTGACAGGGGATAACTAGGGGTGTTTTGTTGCCGGGTTGCCCAAACTGGTGACCAGGGTCTCATCAGCAGAGCATGAGGAGGCTGTAGCTGCAACGGAGGCTGCTGTGATGTTTGCTGAAATGTTAGCCTTGGAATGGATGATTTTTGAAGGAGACTCTATTGAGGTAGTGGTGAATTTTACGCAATACTTTCAGCCGGGTTAAATTTTTACGCACTCATTGTGAGGCAAATAGTGTAGCACATAGGACTGTCAGATGTGCTCTATTATGTACTCATGTTAATGAGTGGTTTGAAATGCCTCTAGACATTATTCATAAAGTCTTGATTGAGGATAGTTGCAATTGGAATCACATATTAAGTTTCCTACTTCTTTCTAGTTTTTGATAAAGTTTTCCTCCTACCATCGAGCTTTACAAAAAAATTAAAATTAAAATTAAAACAAGAGAATGTAAACATAACAATGCGCAAGAAAATTGAAAACTTTGGAGACGGGGCCTAATATGTATGATAATGCGACCTTAAGTTAATACAAGAACAGAGCTCAAACAAGAGTCCTAATTCATGGACTTGAACAACATCCAAGAAATATGGAAGATTACAAACTTGGGAGATGAAGCCTAACTTCTGTGATGTGAAGAACTTATATCTATACTAGAAGTCTAGAACAGAGCCAAAACAAGAGCCCAAATTCATGCTTCTTTTCATGATTAGCTACAGAGGCACAATGGAACTCAAGCAGAAGCATTATGTACTGGTATCAGTACTACCTCACGGAGGGAGTTAGCCTAACGATCGAATTGTCAGCCATTAATGCATTGGAATTATCTAATTCAGCTACATGGCTATGATTTGTTCGAGCACGTTCTGTTGCCAAACACTCCTTCAAATCCACCACTAAGTGCTCATTTGGCTTTGCTTATTTGGGGTGACAAGTGATTTCTAAAAAATTTTGGGAAGTGTTTAACAAGACGATCATTAACTTTAATGCCAGTGGCATATACATTAATATTTGAAGAAGAGCTACATGAGATTTGAAGTACATGTGCTAGTCTTATTGATTACCCATACAAAAAGAATTGATCTGATGGGGGAGAAGCATTTGGTAGAGTTCTGTCTTGATCCACCCCTATGCTCCTGCATCACGATCTAAAAAGAAAAAGGAGGAAACTAACACATCCCAGCTCCCATATTATTTGATCTACCCAAGTAATATATAGTTTTACTACAACTACCTAACCGAGGGATTTAGTATAGTGATCGAACTATCAGACCTTATCTCAATGGAATTTGTTAACTCAGTTTCTTGGCTCCGCCTTGTTCCAGCAATCTCTGTTGCCAAACTCTCCTTTAGTTCCACCACCACCAGACTCATGGTTGGCCTTTTTATAGCATTTGGAGATACACATGCCATTGCTATCTCCACGGCCTTCCATACAGTGTTCGTGTTGAAGTGTCTCTCCAACCTCGGATCAACGATGCCGTAAATGTCTCCTTCTGCAAGCATGGACCTCACCCACCGACTGATGTGAATTCTCTCATGTTCCCTTGATGAGTAAACAGGTCGACAGGAGATAATCTCCAACAGCACAACCCCGAAGCTATAAACATCACTTTTCTCGTTCAACCTGTTTGATAGGTTGTACCTTCCAGTACAAGTTACAACCATTTGCAAATCAAACATCACATTTTTTAGTTTCTAATATTTGATTTGAATGCTCCAATTAAGGGGATGAAAACTTTAAAAAAAAAAAAAAAAAAAAAAAAAAAAAAAAATTACTACAGGGTCGAGGTAGCCGGGAGTGCCAGCAAGTGTCATCATTAGAGGGGAAAGTTCTGGATAGTCCAAAATCAGATAGCTTGGCTTGGAAATTTTCATTCAGCAAAATGTTTGTTAATTTTACATCCCTATGGATTATTGGTGGCTTACAGCCATAGTGCAGATACATCAATCCTGCATTTCAAGTTGAGACAACACATCCCAAAAATTGAATTAAAAGAAAACGAAAGAAAAGAAATTAAGGAGATTGTAGCTAACAAAAATATTGTTACAAATCTTTTAGTGACCTTGTGCAGCGTCTATTGCTATCTGAAGTCTGTCTTTCCAAGTCAAGATATTTGAGCTGCTACCTGCATCCATAACAAATAAAGAACCTAAAGTTTAGAAGTACTATGAGAAATAGTGAAATTTGGCTACCGAACATGTAATTCAAGTGCAGGCAAACCTGAAAAAAGATGTGCATGCAAGTTTCCACTAGACATGTACTCGTAGACAAGCCCGACCCCAGTCTTATCATTGCAATATCCAACCAGGCTTGTCAAATTTTTGTGATGAACTCTCACAAGAAGATCAACCTGTAATCGAACAGACAAGAACATCTTAGTTTCTGAGCTCAAACCCAATAATATTGTATTAGTTTATTTAGACAAACATGCCTCCACAAGAAATTGTTGAAATCCTTGAACTGAGGATGGCGAAAGCATCTTGATAGCTAGTTGAGTATCGTCGATGTAGCCATGATAAACATTTCCAAATCCACCTTTTCCAAGAATCCGCTTGAAGTTGTTGGTGATCTTAATGATCTCAGAGTATGTAAACTGTCGTTTTGTTGACTCCACTGATGTCCCAATGGTGTCTTTTGCTTCTGCAACAACTCCTAATACCATATATAGCCATAATGAAGAAGGTTATACATTAGCATTTTAGGATATACACTTTCATCCTATGTATAAAACTATATAGCCATAAATTTTTGGTAGTCTTACCATGTCTTTTCCTTTTGAAACCCCACCAAGCAGCTGCTACACATAATAAGAGGACTGAAATTCCAACGATTGACCCTACTAATGGAATAACAAAACTGTTCTTCTTCCTTTTGCAAGAAACAGCTCCAGATAGATTTGGATTTTCGCATAAACTGACATAAAGATGGTTGATAACAACAGTAGTTAAAGTTTGATCAATATAATAGGTACCAATAATATATGCTCCTCTGTAATATTAGAAACTGATGTAATAATTCTCATGAAAACAGAAATTGGTTACAAAACTGGCGGAAATTTGAAGCAGGCCAAACAAACAAAAACAAATTGATTGTGCCACATAAAATTCTGATCATATTCTGTGTACCTTCGCATTAATTTGTAAACTCATTTCACAAGTACAGAGGAAGGCACATATATGTACTTACAATGTATCTATCATTTCGAGATTGGATATAGAAGGAGCTATCTTCCCTGTCAGTCCGCTCGAGGATAAGTCCCTGCAGATTGCACATAACCGTAACTTAATTCCTCAAAACATGGAATTTAAATGAAAAATATAAACTGAAGACATACATACAAGGATATGATTCTTGGGGACTCATTTTCATGATAGCTACAGTTTAGACCTTCCCACAAGTAAGCATGCGGGACACATGGATCTCCTTGCCAGTTCTTTTTAATCTTGTAAGTTGACTTGATGTCTTTGATTGCGTCAACTAATTTAAATATTTTCGGAATCAAACAGAAAATCCTCATCAAAATCAATCATACACATGTGCACTAAATTGATAGCAAAAAAATTACCTCATGTAGGGAAGAATTACTTACCATCTGCTCGGTTTGTTTTGATTCTAAGAATTCTTTTACCATGTAAAACTCGATAGCATTGAGGATTGGTGGAAGGGTAGAGTTCTCAAACTTAAAGATTGAGAAATTATATTGTCCTCTATTTCTGAGAGCTTTACTGTTGTAACTAGTTACAACGCCCAAGTAATTACGAAGAACAAGACTTTTTTCAAGGAGTTTTCCATCCCTATTGATGTACATCTGTCTAGACTGGTTGCCTTGGAGTTTCTCAACTTCCGAAAAGTGCATGTAAACATAATATTCCGTAACATTATCAGAATGCAGCCACCGAATTTCCAAGGAACCGTTTTTATTTTTCGGTGTAGCTGTGGGAACCAATTAAATTAAAACCCTAGGTCAAATAATTCCTTCCATTTGGGGATTATTTGACCTAATTGGGAATTACTCAACCTAATTGGGAGTTACTCAATTTAATTGGGGGTTACCAAATTAAATTGATAATAACCTAATTAAATTGAGATTTCATTTGATACCTACCACAATTAGGGATTTGATTTACTCTAATAAATCAAATCCCTAATTAATCAAATCAATGCCAAATCGGGGAGGAATAATTCCTTACCAACTACGGAATTATTCCTTTGAAACCCTAGCCTCCGAGACTACTATAAAAAGATGGCCACACACAAGGGTGGAGGTACGTCTAAATTCCTACTGAAACGCTGTAGAAATTATTTCTCACAAACCCTAGCCACCACTTTCTTTCTCTCTCTTACACAAAGCTCCGGCCACCACACACGACTCCGGCCACCACACATGGCTCCGGTCACCCGGTTTTCCTTGAAATACCCTACCTAACTTAGGCATTGGAGGGCCTTTGGCCAACACCCCCCGGGTGTGGTCCTTTTACCCCGATCTGTTTTGCAGGGAGAAAGAGAAGTGGAGAAGACGAAGGAATCTTAGGCGAATATTCTAGGGGACGAAATTTGCTCCCACAAATTGGTGCTTTCATTGAGAGCACGAGATATATTCAAAGCGTGCTCCAAATCCATCTTTCACACATTTTTTCAAACAACCATGGTTGATACAAGATGTACGAAGAGTAACGCCACCACGACGGGCCCATCTCATGGTTTCGTGGTGGAAACCTCAATGCAACTGCACAGAATCATGGCTGCCAACGCCTTGCAGCCGTCTTCTGGTGCTTTGCAGCCGCCTTCAGCTGCTGGAATTGCAGAACAGCCGCCACATGACCCCGGGACCTCCATAGCCTTGCAGTCGCCAGCGCCGATTACCGGAGTTGCTCTGCCTCGCTGTCCTGCCGTCGAAGCATAGTAGCAGCCACGCCACTTAACTACCGGACTAGCTGCACAGCCCCACGGCTACTCTGACGTCGTCCCAGTCTTGGAGCAGATCCATTCTCTCCCTCCTCTGCGATCACACTTGACATATGCACCTGTGTACGCGTCTAATAGAGCCCTAGCCTACATGCCGTTGGGCCTGATGCACACCACTATACTTGACCCGCGTAGTCAGGTGGACCTTAACTCACAAGTTGATCAACTCACACAGAAGGTCGATGATCAAAACAACCTGATTGGCTAGCTACTCAGGCAGATCAACTTGATTGCTTTTAAAAATAGTATACCCATGCGGCTATACTGTTTAAAAAAAACCGGTGCTACTCGTTCGACGCGTGGCGCATAAGAGTTAGGTGGGTATATATAGTATAGCCGGCCGGCTATACTAGATTCTAGTTGAATTTTTTTTAAATAGTATAGCCGTCCGGCTATACTCTTCGAAATGAAAAAAACTAATAAAAAATATAAATTAGTTTCTTAACTTTTGTTTTTTGGCCTACTTCTTTAATTTAATATATGTAATTAAGTAATATGTTAGCCTTTTTTTAATTACTTTAATTAGTAATTATATTTTCAACAAAAAATAGAATAATGAAATTAAATATGGCGTTTGATCCACTATGATACAACTTTCTTAATCAAAGTCCTAGCACTAGAGCTTTCATTTATATCGAAATTTTTGGGTTTATCAATGCGGCTATACAAGAATGATGATATATGAATGTTCTTTGCGAATTTATAGGAAAAACTCAAAACATTATTTAAAAATAATTAATTAACTAATTCCGTTTAATTTAAATCACAGAGCCCAAGAGCCCTAAGGCCCAATCCTAACCTTTTGATTAATTAAATATGTATTAATTAACCACTGAACACATAATTCTCACATATTATTGAAGAAAAATGATATATACTAAAATAAAATAGTATGGCCGCCCGGCTATACTCAGTTCTCCACTTAAGTGCTGTCAAAAATAGTATCGCCGTGCGGCTATACGGTAAAAAAAAATCCCGGTGCTACTTGTTTGACGTGTGGCACATAAGTGCTTGGCGGGATTGTATATAGTATAGCCGACCGGCTATACTAGATTCTATTTGAAATTTTTATCAAAATAGTATAGCTATACTCTTTGTATTGAAAAAAAAATAAAACTATGATACAACTTTCTAAATCAAAGTCCTAGCACTAGAACTTTCATTTATATCGAAATTTTTGGGTTTATCGATGTGGCTATACAAGAATGGTGATATATGAATGTTCTTTGCGAATTTCCCTACCAAAATTTGCAACTTGAAGCAGTCCCTGATCAATAGTCTCAATTATTAAGTTTACTCACTTCACTTTTTTTTTTAAAATCTCTAGGAGGGGAATCAAAGACCATAACATTTTCATGATTTTGTTCGTGTTTATGAATGGGCTCAATAGGTAGCTCCTATACATTGATTTTGTTCTTCACACCTTTTGGGGATTCAGGGCCATTTCTTGTCCCTATCGCTACCGAATATTGTGAAAGAGAAGTAGCACTACACCAATAGCTAATGGCTTACCCACTACACATTTTGAGTTGAACCAATATTGACATTGTATTGTGCAATTGTCTTTTCTGTTACACGAATTTTCATATTTCTCATAAAACTAATGCTCTTCAATTTTTCTTTTTAAATAATTGAATAAGTGATAACCATGAAGGGAACTTTCAGATTTGCGTGAAATGAGGTTAGGGTCGATGTCTTTGAATAATTGTGAAATGGGAAATTCGTACGAAAATTCATTAATAATATTTTATTGGGGAACATAAATCTGCGGAGTCTTTAGCCCAGAGCAGGAAAATCATTGAAATTGACAAAAGGGAAATTGCATGGGTTCAATTGACTTGGGTAGTCTCGTATGTGCATCTCTTGTGCGTCTGTCATGTTGACATGTTCTGTAGTTAATTTATGACCAATTCGCTTTGAGTTTTGTGGAAAATTTGGCCTGCATGTGATGGACAGTGGGTCTACGGAAGGCTTGTAAAATACGGAGGAAGACTTAACACATGAATATGACCGACTGGTAAATATATTTTATTTTATTTTTGTACGCAAGAAAGTTGAAATTACAAACTTGGGGTGACCTTACACCAATAATAGAACAGAGCTAAAACAAGAGGCCAAATTCATGTGAAAATAACAATGTGCAAGTGTGAGGCGAAGACCTTAAACCAATACTTAGCAGTCTAGAACAGCTTTGCTGGCTGATGATCTCGCTGTCATTGGTGATGATAAACGTAATACTCATATATATATTTCGCTAAAGTTAGGAAGAGGTGGGTGTTTTTTTGACACACTGCTAAGATGCTGTAGGGGTTCAAACTTGAGACTACTGGTCTGCAAGACCCTTTCCACTGAGATAGACCTCGTTGGCGAACATCATACTTATATTTAGTTTGGTAATTTTCCTTACATGATAGCAGTCTATATAGAGATAATAACTGGGCTGCTTGAACTTGTTTCTAACTCAATTTGGGAGGCCATTCTAATTGAGCTGCTTGAACTTGTATCATCGTTCCCTACAATTTGTGTTCTTCCAGAGGACATCTCAATTTCCAAACATTCCTTCAAGTCCTTATAGATAAAAGTTATATCAGGCCTTCGGATTGCTTTTAAAGACACACATGCCATGGCAAGTTGTAGAGCTTTCCAAGCAGAAGAGGTGTTGTAGGTCCCTTGTATTCTTGAATCCACGATACTTTCAATTTCCATAGTCTCAAAATTTGGACTCACCCATCGACATATGTGAATAGGTTCAGTTTCTACATCTCTTATTATTGCTGCTCTACCAGTTATTAGCTCTAGCAACACAATCCCAAAGCTGTATATATCACTCTTTTTGTTCAGCTTTCCTGTGTTGTAATATCTGGCAGAATAGGGAAAACAATTAATTAGATATTACTTGTTTTAGGGATAATTTGATCTAATAAAGCACTATACATACCTAATAGGATTTAGGGTTTAGGGCTTATAGAAAATGACTACCTAACATATAACTCAATTCAACAGATCATATATATGAAAGGTTACAATTTGGATCTGATCGTAAAACAATATTCCCTAAAAATTTGGAAAATTTAGTGAGCATAATTAACACTTACTGAGGATCAAGGTACCCAAATGTTCCTTTAGGGTCAGTTGATACATGAGTGGCACTTTCAGTTGCAAGAACTTTAGAAAGACCGAAATCGGCTATCATGGCGTGAAGATTTTCATTTAGCAAGATATTTGAAGTCTTTAGATCTCTATGTACTATTGATGGCTTGCAGCCATTGTGTAGATAATCCAGTCCTGCAAAAATTACTTAAGCCATGTTAACTAAATGAAGATCTTAACTCTACGATTTTCTTGCAACATACTATGTTTTTGTGTTTCAACACAAAAACACACGTACATTAGTCATAACTATTTCATTAATGTTTCCAAGATGAACACAAGAGAAGAATTAAATTTTGAAAACTGGAAGAGAAGAAACTAGATTATATATATAATTTTTAATTTCATTTTTATTTTTGTTTTAGTGCTTACCTCGTGCTGCATCAACTGCAATTTGAAGTCTCTCCTTCCAGGTCAAAACGTGTAAAGTTACATCTGCACCCAAAAAATTTCAGTGACCATAGAATTCTTTAAATTTTGTTGAAAATGAGCAATAAAGGAGAATTAGGCTTATAGATGGTCAATCCCCATAACGCGAGTTCATATGAATACGTATCGATTTACCAGCTGATAAACGCTGTTGCAAATTTCCATTAGCAACGAAATTATAAACAAGTGCCATAGTCTCCCCTTCATCACAGTACCCAACCAGAGAAACCAAGTTTCTATGATGAACTCTCACCAACAGTTTAACCTGCATTTGTTATGGCTATCAATCATTTTTAGCAACGACTAATGTTGATCTTGTTGAGCTCTCTTTGTAATCAATACAAAACAAACATGTAAGTACATATATCCTTCTTCATATAGCTACCTCATTTTCAAATTCTTTTGAGCCCTGTGTTGACGATGAAATCAGTAACTTGACAGCAACTTGAGTCTGATTTTGCAGAGTGCCAAAGTAGACTTCTCCGAATCCGCCTCTTCCAATTATTGATGCAAAATTTCTGGTAATCTCCACAATCTCTGGGTATGTAAAGCGTTGGCCCTCTGCCTCCAATAAACTGCTTTGGTTGGAATTCTGCATCACCTCTACATCAAAAGGATCATCACAATGGGCATGTTGTTTTTTCCTTTTAAAGCCCGCCCATAAAACAGCTGATACAGTTGATAAGAGGATGAAAATTCCAGGGATTGACACTGCCAAGACAATACTGATACTCTGCTTCTTCTTTTTGCACGAAACTTGTCCGGATAGATTTGGATTTTCACACAAACTGAAAAGAAAATTGTTGATGACAATCATAGTAAGATATGATTTTGATGGACTTCAAAATAGCACTTCTGCTCTTTATTTTTTATGTTAATTTTCTTTCTCCTTTCTTTTAAAAATAAAAATCGTACCGTAGGGATAGCAAACCATCCTTCCTCTTCTGAATGAGTCCTACGGGAACTAAACCTGTGAGTTCGTTTTTCTCCAAGTTGCTGCAAAGCATGCAATAGATCTATTACCATAATTTCTAAGGAGTTGCCGGTTTAGACCCATAAGCAAGTCAATAACTTACAGGTCCATTAATTTTCGCAGTCGAGACAAAAAGTCTGGGATTGATCCAGTTAAGTTGTTGTTTGATAAATCTCTGAAATGATAAGCAGCTTTACTCATTTAACTACTGATTGTGACCAATTATTTGGTGCCATTTTAAGGCATACTTACAAAATGTGTATCATGGTGAGATTGGATATATAAGGAGCTATCTCCCCTGTTAATCCGCTGAAGGACAAGTTCCTGCATGATTACATATATGTTCCGTAATTGAATAATTAAGACATAATTGGGATTAATTAAAAATATTTCGAGTAAGACAGTCAGAGTACTTACAAGGATACTATTCTACTGTGCTCATTGCTACAGTCTATACCTTCCCATGAGTTAACCAGAGGGGAGCATGGATCTCCTTGCCAGTTCTTCTTAATTTTGTAAGTTGACTTGATGCTAGTGATTGCATCAACTAATATTTTCAAAAGCAAACAGAATATATCACTAAATTAACAGTGACAAAATTAGCTTGTGTTACAAGTATAAGGAAAAAGTACTCACCATCTGCTTGGTTTGTTCTTGATTCTAAGAATTCTTTTACGGTGTACACCTCGATGGCATTAAGGATTGGTGGAAGGGTAGAGTTCTTAGCCTTAAAGATTGAAAGATTATTTTGTCCTCCAGTACTCAAAGCTCTAGTGCTGTAAATAGTGGAGGAGGACAAGTAATAAGGAACAACTTTCTCATGAAGGGACTCTCCATTCATAGTAATGTTGAACTGCCTAGACTGGTTGGGTTGGAGCTTTTCAAATTCTGCAAAGTGCATGTAAACAAAATATTCTGCACTGTTATCAAAATCCATCCAGGAAATGTACAAGGCATCAGTTCCATTCTTTGGTGTGGCAGCTGTGCTCATGACAACAGATGGGGGCTGGAAACTATTGTGAACATCAGAGTCGATCGTGGACGAGGTAATTACTTGTTTCCAATTGTCGTCATAGTAGCCATACCAGAAGCGATCATGAACATCATCTGGATACCTAAATAGATATTCAAGGGACCATCAGTATTGATTCTAGCTATTCAACCATGTAAACATCTCCTTGGACATTATGTACTCACCTGTATTCTGTCAAATTAGCTGCTATTTGACCGGTGTCAAGCCGCCATTGAAGTGCCAACGACCCGGTTTGTGTTTGATAAGATGTATTAGGTAAAGGCCTCAGTTCTAGTGCTGATATAAATGGAATCCCCAAGCCGGTGTTCACTAGACAAACATGTATATAGTCTCTTAGAGGGACATGTATGAGCTCCTTGTTTGTAATGGTTGATGCATCCTCCAACTTGACCGAATCCCAAACATTAGTTCCAAGTTGCAACTCGAATTCTGGCAATATATTCTGCCTATCATAGTTCCCATATTTGAAACTTGATCTGATCAAATATTTGGTGCCATTTGTGACATTGATTTTGTAGCAGTTCCTGATCCCTGCAGGGAAACTCCTAAGAGACATGTAGGGCTCTTGATACTTATTTCTGTACTCTTGCAATACGACGTTATTTTCACCGGTGCTTATGAAGGTTTCGTCTGAAATGTAGTTAATTCCTGTCATCTTTTCTGTATAGCTGGTATTTTCTGCAAGGCCACAGTCTATGCTAATAAAGCCTAAAAGAGAGACACATATTAGATGTCTTGTGCTTACTAAAATGTATGGCTTACACTATACACTGTTACCAAAGCAACCTCTTTTTTCTTTTTTTTTTTTGGGCAATTGGAGATAGACATACCTGTTTGATCATCTTGGGCATGAACTAGGAGGAGCATAAAAGCAAAGCCACCAAGCAGTGGAAAGAGGAATGGCTTCATTCTCTCTGCGATAATATTATTCTACTTTGAGAAACCGGATGCAGAGTTATCATTTTATGTACAATATTAGCAAATCTATAGAGTACAATATTTTGACCGAGTAATTCTAGAAAGTGAACTGAAGTATCACATTATTTAATTCCATTAGCTAATCAAACATATTGAGGCAGATGATGTGAGATCTAAATGAAAAAAATTTAATAGTAGACAGCAACATATTTGGCCATGAGTTAATGTCATGAAGTGTTTTTGGTACTTTCTTTGCAGGCTAGCTAGTCACTGGTGAAACTTCTAAAAAGTCGTATGAGCAATATATTCCACCGCTGACGAACTGTTCAGAACATGAGATGATATTGTGAGGTGGACTCAAATGAATGGTTATCGCTGTATGTAGTTTATTACTATTATTTGTTATATAACTAAGGGAAAATTGTATAGAGAATTCGAAAATAGAGAAAGACAATAGAATTTGTGTCAATCAACTTGTACGTCACTTACTTTCATCTATGGTAGAATCATCTATTTATAGGCTTACGATATAGGAGATTAAGTACTACATTTACAACATATGAATAAGTTACAAGCACTAACTACAAATATTTAGGGCATAGGTTACATAGAATTAGAAAGGGTGGAATGCTAAAAGGTATGGTGGTCATCCACCAATTATGCATTTACAACATTATTATTATTATTTGCATATGCTTGTTTAAGCATAACAAAATTGAAGGTGATTCCAAGCTTGTTATTGACTGTTTGAATGCTAAAGATGAAATTCCATGGAATATGAACTTTGTAGCTTAAACTAGCAGCCAAGTTAAAGGTCATGGTCAAAGAAAGGAAGTTGCATTTCATTGCATCGCATGGGCTTTGTTGACTTGGGTAGTCAACGCATAAATGCCAAGCATTTTATGTTTCGTGATGAGAAGTGAGATGAATGGATTGAGTTTTTCTTTTCATGTTGAATAAGTATTTTATGGTTTGGGATTGATTATTATGCGTGAATGACTATTAGTACTTATATTTGATTATATTTGATAGAATATTCTGACTTAAAAAGAATTAGTAGTACAATTCATATGTATTGTATTATTTATATTTTTTTATTAAAATAAATTAATGTTCGAATGACTTACGCCTGGCATAGTGGATTAAAACGCCTCGCCTTTTAAAACATTGTTTGCAAGCATGAAACCAACCCATTGACTTAATTATGTGGGTTCTCTCATGCGTCCTTGTTAAAACGGGTCTACATATGATAATCTCCAACAGCACAACCCCAAAGCTATAAGCATCACTTTTCTCATTTAACCTGTTTGATAGTTATAACCTGCAAGCCAAGACATATATGAGCTCAGTTCATATCTTCTGATGCAAAATACTTTGCTAAAATGTCCATTAATTTATTTGTTATTTCCTAATTCTTGTTCCTGTTTTATTTCATTTGTGTTTGCTTCACTGTCACTGACATGTTGTGAATTTAAGTACTAGTAAAGATGATAATGGGAAAATTAAAAGTGTGAAATACTTACTCAGGATCAAGGTAGCCAGAGTGCCAGCAAGAAGGCTGGATGCACGAGTTCCATCATGAGTAGGGAAATTTCTGGATAGGCCAAAATCAGATATTTTGGCTTCGAAACTTTCATTCAGCAAGATGTTTGTTGATTTCACATCCCTGTGCATTATCGGTGGCTTACAACCACAATGCAGATACTCCAACCCTGCATTTTAAAATTCTTACATCGCTAACACAAAAGTTCGAACAAATAAAAGAGATTCTTGCTATAAAAAAGAAGGATCATGAAAATCATTTTAGTTGCAGACCTTGTGCAGCATTTGTTGCTATTCGAAGTCTATCTTCCCAAGTCAAGATACTTGACATGCTATCTGCATCCATATACCCGATAAATATATTTGAAAGGTATAGCCGCGCGGCTATTTAGAAGGTATAGCCGAGCGGCTATACTTCACAAAATGGTTTTCTTTTTGTAATTAAGTACTACCTTAGTCCTTTTTAATTACTTTAATTATTATTTATTTAGTGTATAATTAGTATTTAAATATTTTACTAATTTCATAAATCAAATAATAAATAGTAATTAATTATTTTAAATTATTTTGTGGATTTTGTTTTTTATTTTATACAAAATTAGTTTTTTTATTTTAATATTTTCAATTAAGTAATATCTTAGCCTTATTTAATTATATTAATTATTAATTATATTTGAATGAATAATTAGTATTTAAGTATTTAAGTATTTTAATTAATTTAATAAATTACTTAATAAATACTAATTAAGTATCTAGACTCCACCTGCTGAAATTCCTTGGCTTGTCCCCATGAAAACAAGGCAACTTCATATTGTTTAAATATATAATATGAGAATCCATATAATTGCACAAGTGCCAACATGCAAGCACATATTAATATACTATAATATATTGAAAATGTAAATTGACCAAGGGTAGTTAGAAGATTTGTCTACCGAGCCAAAAAAAAATGCAAATTGACCAGGTATTACTTTCATCATTCTGCATTATTGATAAAGGTCATGCTATGATTTTGTAATATCTTATCTAAGGGTATTAATTTCGTCATTCTGCATTATTTCATCAATCTGGCAGTTTATTGATGGGTAAAATTTCATATGTTCTATTCAATTTTCCTCTTGTTTTTGTTTTTGTTTTTACTGATGTGGAGTGGAGAAATTTTTAATTTACCACATATACCAGAAGTAAAATGTTTGATTTACCCCTAACATTGACGAAAGTAAACAGAATCGGCGGTAAAACGAAATTGCCATACAAATGGAAGTATAAGGATTACATAAAAACCACAAAAATAAAATAGAGCATCAAAATGAAATTCGGGTATAAAACAAGGACCATTACGATTAAAACCCCATAAAAAATATGTACGCAATCAAAGTTCAATCTAACATCCAACTTAAATGAAAAAACAAAATAATCTAGGTTCTTTAATTATAAAATTTTAACATTATTTTCTTACCAAAGATTGGAGATGTTCATACCTTTTTGAGTCTGAGCATGAACTGGGAGCTTCAAGCAGTGCTATGAGGAATTATCAGCCCCATCTTTAATACTTGTGAAACATGACACAATTGTTTTCAAAGAATACCATTACATATATAAGCATCTATGTCGCACCCAGAGATGACTGCCGTTCCTAAGAGTTGTTTGATTTCGTAAGTTTAGCAGACGTGGGAACACCTTCTGTAGCCTCTAATTCTAAAATTTAAGGCTTAATTTGGACGAGAGACGCCGTATAAATTTTTAAAGAACTTGTTTATGCAATATATTCCGAAAAATGCGAGGCAATAAATACTCACATTCATACATTCTTTTTGGTTATCAACTAGTTCTTAGTCCAGCAGTGTCCTTTATTTTCTTCATTGAAAAATGTTTTAAATTCAAAGATTGATAGAAAAAGAATAACACATTATTCTTTGTTTTATTTAAATAAAGACAGTCGATTATTTGACAAAACCCAATATAGTTTATTTTTAATATTCAACTGATGTATAATAAATTAATAATATAAAAAACATAACACAACACAAACTCATTGGCAAACTAATCAGTCACAACTCATAATCGTTACTCAGTTTGGAGGTTGGATCTTGTGTTTCTTCATGGTTCACCTGATACGTTGCGTTCGGTGCTCTGCCAGGGCCAACATCACGGCCAGTCTCATTTCTCTATTTCTCTTAAAGTTTTGGCTTCCTTTTGCCTATTGTCCTTTCACTTGTTTCGTTTTAACTACTTGTTTCATTTATTTATTTATATACTTGATTGAACATCTTGAGAACGAACTAGCAGCATCAGATTAAGAGCGAAACCAAGTAGAAAGAGGAGTTGCTTGAATGTCCACGACATGATCACTAAAAGGGAAACAAACACACAAATTTAAGTAACATTGGCCTAGTGGATCATGTTGTTATGTCGGATGTGGCTTAACTCAAGTCTATAAGTCAAGTCTACGCTTTTGTCTCATGTTCATCATCCAATTATCCATTGGCAGCTCAGAAAGTCATCATACACTTCTTAAAGTCCATTTTTTAAGTTCTATTAGTTTAGTCAATTTGAACACTTGATTGTAATTTCCTTTGGTTATTATCGTAGAATTAATTTTCTCCCACCAGCGTGGAAGCTACTGCCAAGTCAGGGTTCACTAATATACAAAGTTACATCGCTTGCATGACTTGGTCGTCTTGTAGGCCTCTTGCGCGTAACCGTCCGTGTCAGAAACATCATCGTATCATATTATATGGTGATGATTGATGACTAATTTACGTACACAATTGTGTGGAAATTCGCGTTTGATTAGAGAAGACTTGTTAAACGGAAAGAATTAGATGTTAATAACGGATATGGTGCAGGCCTCTAATCAACAGTAACCTGCCCAGTAACCCATGTGTATGGTGTCCAAGCTTTATACTGCTTAAATATTGAGCATTGACTTTGACTCGGTCGTAGTGGGACGTACCTGTCCATGTCAATCTGGCTTGCCTTGTGGAAAATTTGGGCTTGATGTGGAAGGCTTGTAAAAAAATTGATAGTTAGACATTAATAATTCATTATTGACTAGTAAATAAAAGTATTATTCTTTTTACCAAAAGAAAATGTGTTATTATAAATATTATTTTTCATTTTGTCTTTCGCTAGGGAGGGAGAGTCATAAGAGGTACTGCACTGGTCAATAATAACCATTTACTCCACAGTGAACCAAAAAACGCTGTGACAGGGGATAACTAGGGGTGTTTTGTTTCCGGGTTGCCCAAACAGGTGACCGGGGTTTCATCAGCAGAGCATGAGGAGGCTGTAGCTGCAACGGAGGCTGCTGTGATGTTTGCTGAAATGTTAGCCTTGGAATGGGTGATTTTTGAAGGAGACTCTATTAATATATAGTGCTGAATTTTACGCGATACTTTCAGCCGGATTAAATTTTTATGCACTCGTTGTGAGGCAATTAGTGTTGCACATAGGACTGTCAGATGTGCTCTATTATGTACTCATGTTAATGAGTGGTTTGAAATGCCTCTAGACATTATTCATGAAGTCTTGATTGAGGATAGTTGCAATTGGAATCACATATTAAGTGTTTCCTACTTCTTTCTAGTTTTATTAATAAAGTTTCCCTCTTACCATCGAGCTTTACAAATAAATAAAAGAAGAGAATATAAACATAACAATACGCAAGAAAATTGAAAACTTTGGAGACGAGGCCTAATATTCATGGTAATATGACTATTTGGGCCTAATTTCTGCACACCAGCCCATCTGGCTAATACGCTGTTTTTAGCAAAACAAACTTGGGCACTATTGCCAAAAGTGGATAACAGCCCAAGTCGTTCCAAAGAAGGAGGGTTAAAATAAACCAATTACCTAGAGTAATTTTCACAGGATATATTTTAATTACCACCAATGGTGATTTAATCTAAATACCTAGATTTAATTGGGTTTTTTTTATATTTTTTTTACCTAGTTTCTAGATTACATATTTTAAGCTTGAGGTTTGATCATCACCGTTGGTTACCAACTCAAAACCAAATCAGCAGCTCTAGAGCTAGAAAGGTAAAAGCAAGACTCATCACTTTTCTCAACCACAGCCAATGGCTTCCCAGGAAAAGAGGCAACTACAAGCCAAAAATAATATGTCGACAGTAGGCTTTTGCAGAAATGGGTTGAGAAAAGCAAAGCTAGAAAGCTAATTGATTCTCTTAGGGCTGCCAAGGGTTAGTGGGTTAAACACTTTCCAGCAATTGTGCTATAGTTCTCATCATGAATTTCTCTATGAATACAAGAGTGCGTGAATTGGAGCAAAGACAGCAAAATCAATCCAACAACAAAATCAAATAAAACAACAAAAAATTCTTAGTCAAACTGATGAAAATCAAGCAAGATCATACAATCTCAAAAGCCTTCAAACTCAGAAGCAATCAAGCTATCTAGCTTACAGAAGCCATCCAGCTCTTAACAAACCAGGCAGAACTCAGATTTTTGACTTCAATCCAGCTTAGAGAAGCAGCTCACAAGGAAAATGAGATTTCTCTCATTGCAAATGCGATTCAGCTCAGAAGAATAAAATAGAACTCGGCTTTCCGTCGTTACAAATTTGGTTTAGAATAGGTGAACCAGGCAAAAGTTAGGTTGTTCATCATATGAAAACCTCAACAAATGCTCAGAGACACCTTGATGTCCTAAGCTCACTAGAATAGCTTACAGGTGATCCCCAGTCAAGCAAAGCAGGTACTGAAGTGCATTTATAGGCCAACAGCTGCCAATCCAGCCACTACCAATCAAGTCCAAGTTGAAGAAACCCTAGTTGAACTACAGAAGAGACACCAAGATGTCTTAATCTCATACAGTTAGTCTCAAGAACAGGTAGAACAGACTCAAACTCCTAGTTCTACCCACTCATCAAGCCTCTCCGTGGCTCAAACTGATTATAGTTTTGCCAATTTCAACATTGGTATCGATTTCCAACTAATCTCCATTAGTTGAAGGTGCTGATGTGCAATTCTAGTACAGATACATCCAGTCCAGCCTGAGTCACAAACGGCAATCCAGGCAGAAATCGAAGTCCACTGTTATGATGTCTTCCTAGACTTTGCAATTCCTTTTATTTAATGTATAATAAGCAATTCTCCTTGAACCACTTATTTTACGGCTAAACTTACTAGTTTTTACTGTGGGAAATTATAAAGTCCTCACTTGTCTAAGGCAAGAAAAGAACTTTCTTGGGAGATATTCGTCACCCAAATTCATAATCACTTGACCAAAGTCAATAGCTTAGGGCTCAAGTTATTACATTCTACAGTCCGTTAGGGTTTTTAACAGCTAACAATGGCACACTTGCACATAAAAGAAAGTTGATTTGTTGATCACCAATGGTTTTCAGGTCAATGGGGAACTTTTCCCTACCACCACAGAAATGATGTCAAAACAGGTAATTAATGACCTTAACTTAATACAAGAACAGAGCTCAAACGAGAGGCCTAATTCATGGACATGAACAACATCCAAGAAATATGGAAAATTACAAACTTGGGAGATGAAGCCTAACTTCTGTGATGAGAAAAACTTAAACCAATACTAGAAGTCTAGAACAAAGCCAAAACAAGAGCCCAAATTCATGCTTCCTTTCATGATTAGCTACAAAGGCACAATGGAACTCAAGTAAAAGCATTATGTACTAGTACAAGTACTACCTCACGGAGGGAGTTAGCCTAATGATCGAATTGTCAGCCATTAACTCATTGGAATTATCGAATTCAGCTACATGGCTATGATTTGTTCGAGCACATTCTGTTGCCAAACACTCTTTCAAATCCACCGCTACTTGGCTCATGCTTGGCCTCTTGATGGCATTTATGGATACACATGCCATTGCTATTTCCACAGCTTTCCAGACGGAGTTGGTATTGAAATTTCCCTCTAACCTCGGATCGACGATGTTGTTAATGTCTCCATTTGCAAGCATGAAACCAACCCATTGACTTATGTGAATTCTTTCATGCGTCCTTGTTAAAACTGGCCTGCTTGTGATAATCTCCAACAGCACAACCCCAAAGCTATAAACGTCACTTTTCTCATTTAACCTGTTTGATAGGTAGAACCTGCAAGCCAAACCATACATGGAACTCATCAGATCACATTTTCTGATGCAAAGGACTTTGCAAAAATGTCCACTTATTTTTCCTTTCCTAATTCTTCTTGCTGTTTTAGTTAATTTGTGTTTGCTTCCCAGGCTTGTTGTGAATTTAAGTACTAGTAAAGATGATAATGGGAAAATTAAAAGTGTGAAATACTTACTCAGGATCAAGGTAGCCAGGAGTGCCAGCAAGAAGGCTGGATGCACGAGTTCCATCATTTGTAGGGAAATTTCTAGATAGTCCAAAATCAGATATTTTGGCTTGGAAATTTTCATTCAGCAAGATGTTTGTTGATTTCACATCTCTGTGCATTATAGGCGGCTTACAACCACAATGCAGATACTCCAATCCTGCATTTTAAAATTCTTACATCGCTCACACAAAAGTTCGAACAAATAAAAGAGATTCTTGCTAAAAAAAGGATCATGAAAATCATTTTATTAGTTGCAGACCTTGTGCAGCATCTGTTGCTATTCGAAGTCTATCTTCCCAAGTCAAGATCCTTGATCTCCTATCTGCATCCATAAGAAGAACAGTAGTGTAAGCCTTGTTTATTTCTGTCTTAACTTACAAAGGAGCCCCAATCATATGGTGGTGCAAGAATTAAGTTACAGAGTTCCCAAAAATTTGGAAGTACTACTTGCAGCCAAACCTGAAAGATGGTTCAATAAGTTTCCATTGGCCATATACTCATAGACAAGCCCTACGTTGGTTTCGTCGTTGCAATATCCAACAAGTCCTGTCAAGTTTTTATGATGAACTCTCATAAGAAGATTAACCTGCAATATAAGAGGCCACAAATAAACACATGTCAATTCATCACATAAGATTGAGCTCAAGACATTGTGTTAGTTTATTTAATTTGACAAACATGCCTCTGCATGAAATTGTTGGAACCCTTGAACAGACGATGCTGAAAGCATCTTTATAGCTACTTGAGTATGGTCCATGTAGCCATGAAAAACGGTTCCAAATCCACCTTTGCCAAGAACCCTCTCAAAGTTGTTGGTCATCTTTAGTATCTCAGAATATGTAAACTGTCGCTTTGTTGATTCTAATGACCCGTATTGAGGGCTAGGTTTTGCATCTATGACATCTCCTAAGAACATGACAAGTTTAATGAGCATGTATCTTATACAACCAAAACCTTCAGTCTTCATCATTTATCACCAAAAGAAATTACTTTAATATCTATATTGGAAGTCTTACCCTCTTGCCTATTCCTTTTGAGGCTCCACCACCTGATAGCTACTGCAACTAACAAGAGGATGGAAATTCCAGCGGTTGGCACTACTATGGGAATAATGAAATTGTGCTTCTTCTTTAATTTGCAAGAACCATGCCGAGATAGATGTGGATTATCGCACAAACTGAGATCAAATGGTTGGAAACTGCAGTTAGATTTTGATATATAAATTCTAATCACTTAGATTTTGATATATAAATTCTAATCACTGTATAGATGTTATATAACTCTCAATAATCAGATTATAAGGAAATACCTGATAATTATATAACTTTGGATTCTAAGGATATTTGAAAATTAAAATAGAAAACACTTATGGTGTGTTAATAGAAAATTAAAAGGACAAACTACAAAGGTCATTTTCAAGTTCATACCCACCTTTGGGGACATTTACAAGTACATACTCAAAGTCATGGAAAACCTACAAATTTCCCACTGAGTTACACAAACCGTTAATAAGTCTGTTAAATACTAATGTGTCAAACATAGTCCCCATTTTTAATGACATGGAACTTCAGATGGACAAACAAATAATAAAAAAATTCTTTATTTTTTAAAAATTAAAAAGAAAAAAGACACAAAAAATATCTCTCCTTTCCTCCTACCCAGCGCCGCCATCAGCAACCCACCTTTCCAACCACCATTGAAGCCACCCCGATCCAAACCCCAACCCACTCAAACATATACTACAGCAACCAAACAGCTTTGGGGGTCTTTTCCGTGACTTTTACTATGTACTTGTAAAGTCTCCAAAGGTGGGTATTTGAAATGACTGTATAATTTGGGGGGATCTTTTGTAGTTTGTCCAAATTAAAATAGAAAAGGCTCAATTTTAGGGTGAGCCAAACACTGAAATTACTAACAAAGGCATACCTTAATAATAGAAAACCATTATTCTTTCTTTCAATCAGTCCTACCGGAACCAAGCCTGTGAACTTGTTCTTCTCCAAGTTCCTGCAAAGATAAAATCTATCATGGTGCTTTATAACAAATTAAGCATTTACAGTACTTTAGACATATAACCAAATAACTTACAGGACAGTCAAATTCTGGAATTTAGACAAAAATTCTGGAATTCGTCCTGTTAAGTTGTTGTTTGATAGATCCCTGAAATCATGAGCAGCTCAACTCATTTACATTAAACGGAATTGTCTACCTTCTCATTACATTAGCAAATGCAGTACGACCACTTACAAAGACTGTATCATTGTGAGATTGGATATAGAAGCAGCTATCTCCCCTGTTAAGCCACTCGATGACAAGTTCCTGATTGTATGTTTTGTAACTTCACTAGTGAACACATGAGGTAGAATTAACTCAAATATCAGAAGAAGTTTGTTTGAAGTCACATATACTTACAAGGATATGATTCTTGGTGACTCAAATTCTTCATAGTTACACTTTACTCCTTGCCAAACGTAATCTTGAGGGGCACATGGATCTCCTTGCCAATTTCTTTTAATATTATAAGTTGACTTGATCGATGCGATTGTGTCAACTAATATTTTCACACGCAAACAGAAGATTTAATCAGAAGAATTAATATGTATACTTCCATACTGGTAAGGTACTAAACGAGAGGAAGCCACTTGTGTAAGAAAGAACTAATTAGTTAGTGGTTACCATCTTCTTGGTTTGTTTCTGCTTCTACGAAATGTTTGACCATATAAATCTCGAAAGCATTGAGGATAGGTGGAAGGGTAGAGTTCTCAGCACCGACGATTGAAATGTTAGCAGATTGTGCATTAGTACTCCAAGCCCCCTTGCTTTCAATGACATATGAGGTCAAGTAAGGAGGAGCGAATGGCTCTAAAGTGCGGTCTCCATTCCTGATAATATATTGCAGTCTAGATTGGTTGAGTTGGAGCCTCTCAACTTCAGCAAAATGCAGGTAACTGTAATATTCTGCATTTGTGTCAGGCAACGAGAAAACAATACTCAAGGAATCACTTGGATTTTTGGGCGTTGAAGCAGTACTCATAACAACTGATGGTAGTCGGAACTGTACGTCAGATTCAGAGTTGATGGTGGATGAGGTGTTTAATTGTGTCCAATCATCGAGGTCATTATAGGCATACCAGAATCGGTCAAGAATATCGAATGGATACCTAATTAAAGCCAACGTTCTATCAGAATATAATCAAAATTTATAGTTTCAAGGATTGCAAACACACACACACGCACATATATATAATTTATTGTTAGCTAGGAGACGACTCACCTGTATCCTCTCCTTTTAGGTCTTTGGCCCGTGTCATACCGGGAGACAAGTGCCAATGACCCCGTTTTCGTTTGATAAGATGCATTAGGTAAAGGCCTGAGTTCTAGAGCAGATATAAATGGAACCCCAGAGCCTGTGTTCACCAAACAAACATGTATATAGTTTCGGAGTGGGACATATATGAGCTCTTTGTCCGTGGATACGGAGGTTTCAAGGCTAACAGTATCCCACAAATTAGGTCCAAGGTGCAGTTCAAATTCTGGGATCTTATCTTGGCCATCATAATTCCCATATAAAAAGCTTGCTCGGATCAAATATTTGTTGCCGCTTGTAACATTTATCTCGTAGCAATTCCTGGTTCCTTCGGGGAAGCTCCTAACAGACCCGTATGGCTGTTGATAGTTACCTGTGTAAGTAGGTAACAGTGATTTACTTGCACCGGTGTCTATGAAGGTTGCGTCAGAAATGTAGTTAATGCCAGTTATCTTCTCAGAATAACCTGAATCAGTCTGGAGGCCGCAATCAATGCTAATGAATCCTGAGATATATAAACACACGTGTAAAAAAGAGAGGTATATATCTTAGCTATATACTATGCTACCAAAATTAAAGATTTATTTTTTCTTGCTGCTGATATTTATACCTGATTGATCATCTTGGGAATGAACAAGTAGTGTCAGATTAAGAGCGAAACCTGCAAGCAGAAAGAGGAGTTGCTTGGATGTCCACGACATGACTACAAGGGAAGCAAAGACACAAATTTAAGTAAGTATTTTTTGTTGAATTAATGGATATCATTTTATATATACAAGTAATTAACATTGCTCGCAGAAGTAGCGAGTCAAAACGCGGTTTTCTAAAACAGAGAGGATGATTTTGATTTTTCCCCATTTTCAGACTTTGACCCATTGACCACTGGTACAGCGAGAAGAAAGTGAAGTCAATGTTGTTGCATGTGCGTGATTTAATTGGGTTGAAAACATATGGGGAGACTTGAAAGACCATATATACGATGGTTTAGGGGAGAGCAGGTATGGCGGACTTGCAAAACAAGGCATACAAGAAGACATTATTGAAGAGTTCGGTATTAATATTGATTCGGTAGTAAATCCGTTCATTTATTTTCCTTGTTCTATTTTTTGGGTTTGGTAAGTAGTCTCTCTACGAGAAATTATAAAGTAGTACGCATGTACCACGTCAACGCAAGAGGATACAAAGGTAATAATCCCATTTTTGGCAATACGCAAAGCGGCCCAGCTTTGCCTCCATTAGTCTCATACCCTATTTTGTGTTTTAAAAGTATTGGTACTTATAAACAATGAAAGAAAACCACTCCCTTTCAATGTGGGATTAAAATGAAAATGTATTTTCCTATACAAACTCTAACAATTAGTAGAATTTCTTGTTCTGTGCATAAGTTACCAACTAGCGTGGAAGCTACTGCCAAGTCAAGCTTCATGAATAGAAAGTTACATGGGGAATGCTAGCAACTTTCTCTCTATTTAATCTTCTTTTTTGGACATTTTCCTTTCTTTTCATGACAAGTGTCATTTTCCTTACAGTTAAAACAATGTTATTAATGCATCACACAAACTAATTTTTGTTTTCCAAGTTTACCCTTATTAAATGTTTTTTTTTATAATAACAAGCTAGTTTTTTTTACAACTTTCTTATTAAAAAAATATTAAAAAAAAAAAAAATATTTATTTTAATTAAAAAAAAAAAAAAAAAAAAAAAAAAAAAAAAAAAAAAAAAAAAAAACAAAAAAGAAAAAGAAAAATATATATTAAACACAAAAGAAAGATTATATCACAATGAAACAAAATTTAAAAAAAAAAGAAGACGGTTTTTCTTATTTAATTTTTAACAATGTGTTAAGGATTTTATAACAAAATTTAGATAAATTGAAGGAAATATAAAAGTCAATACATTTAATAAGGGTAAACTTGAAAAATAAAAACTAACTTGTCTGATGCATTAATGACATTATTTTAAGTGCAAAGACTGTGGCACTTGTCATGAGGTGAAGGAAGAAAAAAAAAAAAAAAAAAAAAAAAAAAAAAAAAAAATTATAAAAAATTATTTTTCAAGTTGCAATTACACGTTGTACCGGGTTGTAAACGGGCAACAATTAGATATCAATAATTGATATGGTACCGACAATTTTTTAATAAACAATTAGATATCCCATCAATAATTCACCACTTTTACGAAAAGCTACTGCCTAATCAAGTCGTGGTTGGTCCACAATTATTAGATACAAAAAGATGCATGATGAGAAAGGATTCAATTGGGTTGTGATCAGAAAGATATATATACCAGTACTGTCCCTCGAAAAAGCAATCTTTTACTGGGGATTTAGGGCTCCCTCATACCGGGTCCCCATGATTATGGTGGTCAATTTGAAACGTTTCACTTTTGCATTATGTAAACACTATCTGATTCTGATTTTTAAGAGATGGCAGTCATGGCAACGTAGGAGTCTGGGAAGAGGGTTTGTGATAGTAGAGATGCGGAAGGGTGGAAGGGGTGATACGGTACATCATCTGATTTTTTAAGATACTATAACTATGCTAATGTGGATTAATTAATATCATTAAATTAATCCAATGGTCAAAATTTGAGTAAATACACACAAATGCACCGATGCTAATTACAGAGGCTTGGAATCCAAAAAAAGAGTACTCCAAGTCCAAGTCCAACAATACTGTTATTTTTGTTAATCATGATTTTATTATCTTTTTAAACTGAAAATATATAACAATTTCACTTTAGTTTCAATTCAAGTGGGCTTGAAAGGTTATAAGATAGTAGAGAGCCACTTTCACTTTGTAAAACAGAGATGATGATTTTGATTTTTCCCCATTTACAGACTTTGACCCATTGATCACGGGTATGGCGCAGCGAGAAGCAAGTCAAGGTCAATGTTGGCCTAGAATCATAGAAATGTTGCATTGCATGTGCATGATTTAATTGTGTAGAAAACGTAAACGTTGGTTTAGGGGAGTACAGGTAAGGTGGACTTGTAAAACAAGGCATACAAGAAGACATTGAAGAGTTAGGTATGAATATTGATTCATTAGGAAATGCATTTCTCTTATTTTCCTTGTTTTGTTTTCTTTCTATTTCTTTGGGTTTTGTGCATAGTCTGTCTACAAATCTAGGTTGACCAAGCAAAGGTAGAAAATCTAAACTCAAATTGAAATTGCGCAGCAATGTCGAACAATTGATAAAGAGTGAAGAGTTGATTGGAACATTTTAAGTCAAACAATATAGGGTAAAATATTTTCATATTGTATTTCTTTCTTCAAAAGGAGGTATTTATGATACAAGATTGTAAACTTTTGTAGGGTTATACAAGGAAACAAGATAAAATCTTAATTACACAATATCTATATATAGGATAAGAAATAAAATCCTAATAGACTAGGAAATAAGTCTTCTAATTAAACTAGGATCTCCCTAACACTTCTCCTTAAGTTGGAGCAAAGATGTCACGTATGCCCTACTTGTCAAGCGAGTTGAGAAAGATACGGTAAAAACAGCTTTTGTAAAAACATCTACTAACTGATACTCATAACTTATGAATAGAAAAGAAATAATCTATGCATCCAACTTCACTTTAATAAAATGTCGATCAACCTTCACATGCTTTGTACGATTATGTTGCACAAGGTTATGAGCAATTGCAATTGCGACTTTATTATCACAATATAAATCCATGGGTTTCTGTGGCTCAAACCCAAGATAACTTGCACACACCTTGAGCCATCCCATGATCCTCGGCCTCTACTCTAGACCGAGACACTATATTTTGCTCTTTACTTCTCAAAGTAACAAGATTACCAGTAACAAGATTACCACAAACAAACATGAAATACTCAGACGTAGAACGCCTATCAGTGACTGAACTAGCCCAATTAGCATTAGTATACCATTTCACATCCCTATGACCATACTTGGAAAACATTAACCCCTTGCCATGAGTTACTTTCAGATATCTTAAGATAAGCATAACAACGCCCATATGATCCTCACTCGGCGAATGCATAAACTGACTTACTACAGTAACTACATATGCAATTTCACGACGTGTATGAGCCAAATAAATCAATTTTCCCACGAGCCTCTGATATCTCTCCTTATCAGTAGGTATTTGGTCAGGATATAACCCAAACTTGTGATTTTAGTTTACAAACCAACATACCAGTTTCAGCAAGCAAATCCAAGATATACTTTCTTTGGGAAATAAAGATACCATGTTTAGATCTCGCAACTTCTATCCTTAGAAAATACTTCAATTCTCCTAATGATTTCATCTCAAATTCAGAAGCAAGATAATTATGAAGATTTTGCATTTCTGATTGATCATCTCCAGTCATAATCATATCATCAACATAAATAATTAAAGTTGTTAATTTACCCCCATTACGCTTTAGAAACAAGGTGTGGTATGAGTTACTATGTACATAGCCAAATTTCTTCATAGATGCAATAAACCTCCCAAACTAGGCTCTTGGAGGCTGCTTTAACCCATATAAGGATTTTCGCAGTTCACACACAACACTCTCCTTGGAGTTCACATTAATACCAGAACAAAGATCCATGTAGATTTCTTCCTTGAGGTCAACATACAGAAACACATTCTTCACATCAAACTATAACAAGAGCCAATCTAGATTAGTAGCAAAATACAAAAGTACACACACAGTATTGAGCTTTGCTACCAGGGCAAAGATCTCTAAATAATCCACTTCATAGGTTTAGTTATAACCTTTTGCTACTAATTTAGCTTGGTAACGGTCAATGGAACTGTCAGCCTTATGCTTCAAAGTAAACACCAATCTGCACCCAACAACTTTCTTTCCTTTCGCAAAGGAACTATATCCCAAGTGGCATTTTTGTTCAAGGCTTCCATCTCAACATTCATTGCATCCACCTATTTGGAATCAGATAAAGCATCCTGCAACTTAGTTGACACACATATACTAGATAATTGACACAAATATGATGCATATGACTTAGATAAATGATGAGTTGACACATAATGGCTAATGAGATATTTGGACTTGGCATGTATATGAGGGGAATATTGTGTTTTAGGTTTCACATGAGTGGTAGGTGGGGGTAATTGATAAGTAGATAGATCATCAGAAATTACCTCACTATTATCACGAATTGATTGGGACAAATGGAAGAGTAGAGGGGGGGAGGGGGGAGTATCGCATCAAACTCATCCGTAGAAGAATCACTGTCACCATTTTTGAAAACCAGGCGACTAGTGGGTTTATGAAAAATGACAGGTCGTTTCTGGGGAGGAGACTGGTCGTTTCCTACCTAAGGAAAAAAAAATCTTCACTTTGAGTTCCTCCACCAGAACTTTCCATTTCACTTCCCCTCTCCCCCTAAATTGGAGAGGCAGATGAGTGAGACACATGATATCATATGTCTTTATGGAACGTCATATCCAAAGTAACATACACTTTCTAGGTAAGAGGATGGTAGCATTTATAACATTTCTAAGTAGTAGAATAGCCAATAAAGACACATCATAGAGCACATAGATCAAGTTTACTCCGTTGATGAGAGTAGACATGAACATAGGCAACACACCCAAACACCTTCGGGGGCAACTTAAAGACAGAAACAAGAGAAGCATGTTCACCCAACACATCAAGCTGAGTCTTGAAATTAAGAACCTTGCTAGGAGTACAGACTGGTTAATAAAATAGGTCATGACCAAAACATCATGGCCCTAAAAGTGATAAGGAACAAACATATCCAACATAAGGGAGCGGGAAAATTCAAGTAACTGACGATTCTTGCGTCTAGACACTCCATTTTGCTGGGGTGTAAATGGAGTGGGTAGTTCGGTGAATAATACCTTGATCATGGAGGAAACATGCCAAGTTTTTATTCACATATTCTCACCCGTTATCAGTCCAAATACTTTGACTCAAACAAGAAACTAAGTAGACACCATGACACAAAATGTAGGAAGAATGAAAGCAACTTCATGTTTATTCTTCATGTCTTTGACACTACCCTTTTGAACTTTATTAGCGACACGATCATGAACTGTTGCATCCGATAATGTCAAGTAATACAACCCCCGTATCTGTTCACCATGCCTAATTATCTCATGAGTCCTGAGATCCTAAAAAGAATTATGGGTAGAATAGAATGTAGCAAATGCGTTAACTGTATCAAGTAAACGACCAACACATAACAAGTTGCAACGAATATTAGGAACCAAGAGTGCATAAGACAAAGATAAAGAAGGGTGAGGTTGATGGTACCCTCACGGTAATGGGGGAAGGTAAACCATTAGCACTAGTGATATAGGGATCATGAGGGTTATGAGACAACTCATCAAACATGTTAATATCACAAGTCATATGATCAGAAGCACTAGTGTCAATTATCCAATTATTAGAACCAATACCTGGCATGGTATCAGAAGCACATAAATTGGCAAATGGGGCATGAGAATTTGTCTCTTATTGGGTCATAATGCAAGCAGCATTGGGGCCATACATACGAGCTTTGTAGTCAACAAACCAATCGGGGTAATCATGCTCCTTAAAACACTTCTCGAAGTAATGATCACCACTGTAATGATGACACTTACGAGGTCCTTCAAGAGAACTAGGTTTGGCAGGAGCATAACCAGAAGAACGAGAACCATAAGGGGCGGAATAATTCTAAGGAGACGGGCAACTGGTCTTTTCCTGATGGGTGACAGATCAGTATACGCGTAGAATCCACCTTTAGGGCCACTGCACCTTCTCCGAGTATAGCATACTGGCGAGTGGCTTCCTCCATGACTATGGCGTAGGCTTCTAGAGAAGGCGGGATAGGACTGAGAGCAAGGATTCTGCTACAACTCTATCAAACGGCGAATTAAGCCCTCCAAGAAAATCATAAACTCGATCAGCTTCAATTTCTTTCTGATGATGAGCCACATCAGCAGATCAACTAAAGTCATTCAAACGCATACAATCAATCTCATGCCTGATGGCCAGGGCCGGCCCTGACTTTTGGGTGGCCCTAGGCGATAAACTAAATGAGGCCCCTTCTCTTAGTATACAACTGCGAAAAAACAACAAATAAAATGATTTTATGTAGAGGGTAGTGCGTGAATAAAAAAGGTAGCTCGCATTACAATAGGACATATCTCTGTATACACACTGCATATAACTCCTTCAAGGTGAGTACTTGATTGCTTAAGTATTCCTATTGTTATGCAAACCATACTTTATTCTCATATGGGATGAGACTAATAAAGGAGAATTATACATTGTGGAATGGGATAAAAGCAAGGGGCTGTAAAGCGAACATATAATGGTTGTTTGCTGGTGATGAGTTCCAAATTAAACTTTGGGACATGGACAGTGACAATGTGAATCTGGTTTTTTTGTTTTTGTTTTTGGCTCATCTTTCCGTGCAGATAGCATTAATTCTGTGATGGATAAGCATAGTTCCATAGTTCCATGCCATCCAACACTTATTGAGCTAGTGAGATTAGGTATGTCAAGCCCTCACAAAAAGAACATTCGAAAGAAGAGGTGGTCATGGGTGTTGTGCAGTTGATTTCCATATATGATCACCATAAGATCATATCAGGGCACAACCACAACAAGTTTAGAAGGCCTCAATTTCTGCCATCACCATAAGATTATGACCTCCATCACCTGTAACGCTTCTTTTATTTTTTTTAAATTTGTTTTTTAATAATTATTTTTAGTTGTTGTTAATTAATGAAAATTCCCTAAAATTAACGGAAATTTTAACGAAGTTATATGTAGGTGGTGGATTGCAACACTTTATAAAGTTTAGGTGGGTAAAGATAAAAATTAAAAGTTCAAGTGGTAATTACCCACATGCCTAAAAGTTTAGGTAATATTTACAACTTTTGGGGATCCAGGGCCATATATTGTCCCCATCGCTACCGAATATTGTAAAAGAGAAGTAGCACTACACCAATAGCTAATGGCTTACCCGCTACACATTTTGAGTTGAACCAATATTGACATTGTATTGTGCAATTGTCTTCTCTGTTACACAAATTTTCATATTTCTCATAATACTAATGCTCTTCAATTTTTTCTTTTTAAATAATTGAATAAGCGATAACCATGAAGGGTATTTTCAGATTTGCATACAATGAGGTTAGGGTCGATGTCGTTGAATAATTGTGAAATGGGAAATTCGTATCATTAATAATATTTTATGGGGGAACATGAATCTGCGGAGTCTTTAGTCTGTAGTTAATTTATGACCAATTCGCTTTGAGTTTTGTGGAAAATTTGGCCTGCATGTGAAAGACAGTGGGTCTAGGGAAGACTTAACACATGAATATGACCGAGTGGTAAATATATTTTATTTTATTTTTGTACGTAAGAAAGTTGAAATTACAAACTTGGGGTGACCTTACACCAACAATAGAACAGGGCTAAAACAAGAGACCAAATTCATGTGAAAATAACAATGTGCAAGTGTGAGGCGAAGACCTTAAACCAATACTTGCAGTCTAGAACAGCTTTGGTGGCTGATGATCTCGCGGTCATTGGTCATGATAAACATAATACTCATATATATAAAGAGGAGGGTGTTTTTTTGACACATTGCTAAGATGCCGTGGGGTTCGAACTTGAGACCACTAATCTGCAAGTCAAGACCACTGGGCTAGGCCTCATTGGCGAATATCATACTTATATTTAGTTTGGTAAATTTCCTTACATGATAGCAGTCTATATAGAGATAATAACTGGGCTGCTTGAACTAGTTTCTGACTCAATTTGGGAGGCCATTCTAATTGAGCTGCTTGAACTTGTATCATCGTTCCCTACAATTTGTGTTCTTCCAGAGGACATCTCAATTTCCAAACATTCCTTCAAGTTGTTATAGATAAAAGTTATATCAGGCCTTTGGAATGCCGTTAAAGGCACACATGCCATGGCAATTTGTAGAGCTTTCCAAGCAGAAGAGGTGTTGTAGGTCCCTTGTATTCTTGAATCCACGATACTCTCAATTTCCATCGTCTCAAACTTTGGACTCACCCATCGACATATGTGAATAGGTTCAGCTTCCACATCTCTTATTATTGCTGCTCTACCAGTTATTAGCTCTAGCAACACAATCCCAAAGCTGTATATATCACTCTTTTTTTTCAGCTTTCCTGTGTAGTAATATCTGGCAGAATAGGGAAAACAATTAATTAGATATTCCTTGTTTTAGGGATAATTTGATCTAATAAAGCACTATACATACCTATAGGATTTAGGGTTTAGGGCTTATATATAGAAAATGACCAAACATATAACTCAATTCAAACAGTTCACATATATGAAAAGGTTACAATTTGGATCTGATCATAAAACAAGATTGCAGAAAAATTTGGAAAATTTATTGAGCAAATTAACACTTACTGAGGATCAAGGTACCCAAATGTTCCTTTAGGGTCAGTTGATACATGAGTGGCACTTTCAGTTGCAAAAACTTTAGAAAGACCGAAATCGGCTATCATGGCTTGAAGACTTTCATTTAGCAAGATATTTGAAGTCTTTAGATCTCTATGTACTATTGATGGCTTGCAGCCATTGTGTAGATAATCCAGTCCTGCAAAAATTACTTAAGCCATGTTAACTAAATGAAGATCTTAACTCTACGATTTTCTTGCAACATACTATGTTTTTGTGTTTCAACACAAAAACACACGTACATATATGTATGTACATACATTAGTCATAACTATTTCATTAATGTTTCCAAGATGAACACGAGCATAATTAAATTTTGAGAACTGGAAGAGAAGAAACTAGATATATATATAATTTTTCATTTCATTTTTATTTTTGTTTTAGTGCTTACCTCGTGCTGCATCAACTGCAATTTGAAGTCTCTCCTTCCAGGTCAAAACGGGTAAAGTTACATCTGCACCCAAAAGTTTTCAGTGACCATAGAATTCTTTAAATTTTGTTGAAAATGAGCAATAGAGGAGAATTAGGCTTATAAAGCGAGTTCATATGAATGGGTATCGATAAATTTCCATTAGCAACGAAATTATAAACTAGTGCCATAGTCTCCCCTTCATCACAGTACCCAACCAGAGAAACCAAGTTTCTATGATGAGCTCTCATCAACAGACTAACCTGCATTTGTTATGGCAATCAATCATTTTTAGCAACAACTAATGTTGATCTTGTTTAGCTCTCTTCGTAATCAATACAAAACAGAAATTTAAGTATATATATCCTTCTTCATATAGCTACCTCATTTTCAAATTCTTTTGAGCCCTGTGTTGACGATGAAATCAGCAACTTGACAGCAACTTGAGTCTGATTTTGCAGAGTGCCAAAGTAGACTTCTCCGAATCCGCCTCTTCCAATTATTGATTTAAAATTACTGGTAATCTCCACAATCTCTGGGTATGTAAAGCGTTGGCCCTCTGACTCCAATAAACTGCTTTGGTTGGAATTCTGCATCACCTCTACATCAAAAGGATCATCACAATGGGCATGTTGTTTTTTCCTTTTAAAGCCCACCCATGAAACAGCTGATACAGTTGATAAGAGGATGAAAATTCCAGGGATTGACACTGCCAAGAGAATACTGATACTCTGCTTCTTCTTTTTGCACGAAACTTGTCCGGATAGATTTGGATTTTCACACAAACTGAAAAGAAAATTGTTGATGACAATCATAGTAAGATGTGATTTTGATGGACTTCAAAATAGCACTTCTGCTCTTTATTTTTATTGTTAATTTTCTTCCTCCTTTCTTTTAAAAATAAAAATCGTACCGTAGGGATAGCAAACCATCCTTCCTCTTCTGAATGAGTCCTACGGGAACTAAACCTGTGAGTTTGTTTTTCTCCAAGTTTCTGCAAAGCATGCAATAGATCTATTACCATAATTTCTAAGGAGTTGGCTGTTTAGACCCATAAGCAAGTCAATAACTTACAGGACCGTTAACTTTCGCAGTCGAGACAAAAAGTCTGGGATTGATCCAGTTAAGTTGTTGTTTGATAAATCTCTGAAATGATAAGCAGCTTTACTCATTTAACTACTGATTGTGACCAATTATGGGCATATTTTACAAATATGTAGTAGTTAAGGCATACTTACAAAATGTGTATCATGGTGAGATTGGATATATAAGGAGCTATCTCCCCTGTTAATCCGCTGAAGGACAAGTTCCTGCATGATTACATATATGTTCCGTAATTGAATAATTAAGACATAATTGGGATTAATTAAAAATATTTCGAGTAAGACAGTCAGAGTACTTACAAGGATACTATTCTACTGTGCTCATTGCTACAGTCTATACCTTCCCATGAGTTAACCAGAGGGGAGCATGGATCTCCTTGCCAGTTCTTCTTAATTTTGTAAGTTGACTTGATGCTAGTGATTGCATCAACTAATATTTTCAAAAGCAAACAGAATATATCACTAAATTAACAGTGACAAAATTAGCTTGTGTTACAAGTATAAGGAAAAAGTACTCACCATCTGCTTGGTTTGTTCTTGATTCTAAGAATTCTTTTACGGTGTACACCTCGATGGCATTAAGGATTGGTGGAAGGGTAGAGTTCATAGCCTTAAAGATTGAAAGATTATATTGTCCTCCAGTACTCAAAGCCCTAGTGCTGTAAATAGTGGAGGAGGACAAGTAATAAGGAACAACTTTCTCATGAAGGGACTCTCCATTCATAGTAATGTTGAACTGCCTAGACTGGTTGGGTTGGAGCTTTTCAAATTCTGCAACGTGCATGTAAACAAAATATTCTGCACTGTTATCAAAATCCATCCAGGAAATGTACAAGGCATCAGTTCCATTCTTTGGTGTGGCAGCTGTGCTCATGACAACAGATGGGGGCTGGAAACTATCGTGAACATCAGAGTCGATCGTGGACGAGGTAATTACTAGTTTCCAATTGTCGTCATAGTAGCCACACCAGAAGCGATCATGAACATCATCTGGATACCTAAATGGATATTCAAGGGACCATCAGTATTGATTCTAGCTATTCAACCATGTAAACATTTCCTTGGACATTATGTACTCACCTGTATTCTGTCAAATTAGCTGCTGTTTGACCGGTGTCAAGCCGCCATTGAAGTGCCAACGACCCGGTTTGTGTTTGATAAGATGTATTAGGTAAAGGCCTCAGTTCTAGTGCCGATATAAATGGAATCCCCAAGCCGGTGTTCACTAGACAAACTTGTATATAGTCTCTTAGAGGGATATGTATGAGCTCCTTGTTTGTAATGGTTGATGCATCCTCCAACTTCACCGAATCCCAAACATTAGTTCCAAGTTGCAACTCGAATTCTGGCAATATATTCTGCCTATCATAGTTCCCATATTTGAAACTTGATCTGATCAAATATTTGGTGCCATTTGTGACATTGATTTTGTAGCAGTTCCTGATCCCTTCTGGGAAACTCCTAAGAGACATGTAGGGCTCTTGATACTTATTTCTGTACTCTTGCAATACGACGTTATTTTCACCGGTGCTTATGAAGGTTTCGTCTGAAATGTAGTTAATTCCTGTCATCTTTTCTGTATAGCTGGTATTTTCTGCAAGGCCACAGTCTATGCTAATAAAGCCTGAAAGAGAGACACACATATTAGATGTCTTGTGCTTACTAAAATGTATGGCTTACACTATACACCGTTACCAAAGCAACCTTTTTTTCCTTCTTTTTTTTTTTTTTTTTTGGCAATTGGAGATGGACATACCTGTTTGATCATCCTGGGCATGAACTAGGAGGAGCATAAAAGCAAAGCCACCGAGCAGTGGAAAGAGGAATGGCTTCATTCTCTGCGATAATATTATTCTACTTTGAGAAACCATATGCAGAGTTATCATTTTATGTACAATATTAGCAAATCTATAGAGTACAATATTTTGACAGAATAATTCTAGAAAGTGAACTGTAAAGAATCACATTATTTAATTCCGTTAGCTAATCAAACAAATTGGGGCAGATGATGTGAGATCTAAATGAAAAAATTTAGTAGTCGACGGCAACATATTTGGCCAAGAGTTAATGTCATGAAGTGTTTTTGGTACTTTCTTTGCAGGCTAGCCAGTCACTGGTGAAACTTCTAGAAAGTCGTATGAGCAATATATTCCACCACCGAAGAAATGTTCAGAACATGAGATGATATTGTGAGGTGGACTCAAATGGATGGTTATCGCTGTATTTAGTTTATTATTATTATTATTATTCGTTATATGCTATCTGCATCCATATGAAGAATAGAGGAGCAAAGCCTTGTTTATTTCTGGCTTAACTTACAAAGGAACCCCAATCATATGGTGGTGCATGAAATTTGGAAGTAGTACTTAAGTTCAATTGCAGCCAAACCTGAAAGATGATCTAATAAGTTTCCACATTGGCCATATATTCGTAGACAAGCCCTACGTTGGTTTCGTCGTTGCAATATCCGACAAGGCTTGTCAAGTTTTTATGATGAATTCTCATAAGAAGATAAACCTGCAATTTAAGGCACAAATAAACACATGTTACATATGATTGAGCTCAAGACATTGTGTTAGTTTATTTAATTTGACGAACATGCCTCTGCATGAAATTGTTGGAACCCTTGAACAGATGATGGTGAAAGCATCTTTATAGCTACTTCAGTATTTTCCAGGTAGCCATGATAAACACTGTTCCAAATCCACCTTTGCCAAGGACCCTCCCAAAGTTGTTGGTCATCATTAGTATCTCAGAACACGTAAATTGTCGCTTTGTTGATTCTAATGACCCATACTGAGGGCTGGGTTTTGCATCTATATATGACATCTCCTAAGAACAATACAAAGTCTAATGAGCATGTATCTTATACAATAAATACCTTGATCGTATAAAAACTTCAAAGTGTTATGTAGCACAGACCTGTTGTACAGTAGAAGAGGAGATCACTAGGTTCTGACATGAGTAACTTTATACATTTGATTGAAATGATTTGAACAGTGTAGCCGCACTGCTATACCCGATAAATATATTCGAATATTTAGAAGGTATAGCCGCCCGGCTATACGGCACAAAATGGTTTCCTTTTTTGTAATTAAGTAATACCTTAGTCCTTTTTAATTGCTTTAATTATTATTTCTTTAGTGTATAATTAGTATTTAAATATTTTACTAATTTTGTAAATCAAATAATAAATAGTAATTAATTATTTTAAATTATTTTGGGCCTCATTCGTTGCATGCTTCGTATCCACATCAGATCCTCAATATTTTATGTGTTCGTACATGTATGCCTTATATTTTATGTCCTTTCCTATATGCAGTCCACGCCTCACTACTTATTGCTTCAATTACTTCAAGTTTGTCGAATTCAATTTGGGGGTTTCAAATCTAGAGCAATGTAAGACTATGGTCAATGTAATTCCTCCATAAATATATTATAACTACCCTTCCTACTACTTTCATGCATGGCGAAGAAATCTACCTCTTCTACTATAAGATTGTTTTCTTTTTTATTGAAACCATGTAGTTAGACTGAAATTTTGATCAGGTATATCATTTGAATGCATATTGTATATCAACATTGATAAGGGTCATGCAATGATTTAAAATTATGTATATACATTATAAATAAATAAAGAAGGACTTTTAACCATAATGGTCAAGTCATACCTGCGTTTCATTTTGATCTTTCAATTTGTTTTTTTGGTTTCTACCGTCCTCTGATCTCTCATGGGTATTAATTTCGTCATTCTGTATTATTTCGACAATCTGGCCATTTATTGATGGGTAAAATTTCATCTGTTCTATTCAATTTTGCTCTTTATTTATTTATTTATTTATACTATGGTGGAGAAATATTTGATTTACCATATATACCAGAAGTAAAATGTTTGATTTACCCCTAACATTGACAAAAGTAAACAGAATTGGCGGAAAAACGAAATTGCCACGCAAATGGACGTATAAGGATTACATAAACCACAAAAAATAAAATAGAGCATCAAAATAAAATTTGGTTATAAAACAAGGACCATTGCGGTTAAAACCCCATAAAAAATAATGTACAAAATCAAAGTTCAATCTAACATCCAACTTGAATGAAAAAACAAAATATTCTAGGTTCTTTAATTATAAAATTTTAACATTATTTTCTTACTAAAGATTGGAGATGCATGGCTTAGAGTAAAAGTATTTTGTTGTGGCTGCCACGAAAAAAAAAGAAAAAGGAATACGGCTCAATTAAGCAATGCATGTCAACTATTCAATATATATATATATATATATACATATATTGATCTTCATAAAAATATATTATGATCAAACAATATAAAATTAGTCAATGATGTCATATGCAATGTTCGTTAGCATTTTTTTGTTGTTGAAGAGAAATGATGTATTGATAACAAACAGAATTACAACGAGTCTTTGATCACAACATCCTCAATAATTCTGGGAGGAGTCCTAAACCAAGAAATAATCTCACATTACATACCTTAATTGACAACCCACAATCCACTATTTGCATACCATATTTAGGGTTTGTGAAGAGAAGATAAGAGTGTAGTAGGTTTCTTGGATTGAAAGAGAAGAGTAATATGGCAATAGGTTGTAGAAGAGTTTGTGTTTTTCTTGTTAGGTTATGTTTAGATAAGGCCTTTAGCTTCCCTTGACAACTTCATAATTGCACATATAATTCATCAAGCTCAAGGTTAATTAGACTAGGTTAGTCTAGTTAGATGATTATTGTGGTTGAGATCAACAGTGGCACGATGCAATCAAGATCTTCAAGGGTAAATCATGGATTGCATATATATTAGGACATATCAAGTCAACGTGATGACTAGTCATCTGGTACTGCCAGCTCACTGACAACTCATTTAAAATCTCACTTGAGACTCACACTTGGCGAGCTGTATTTTTTGTCCTAATGATTTTTTGTCTCATTATAGCTTCAATTATTAGCTGCCATGTGGATTGTTTTCTGACCTAGCTTTTTTGGGTATAAATGGAGTCTTGGTTCTTGTAGCCGTCACTTTTGACAAGGAGAGTTTCTTGAGAGTTTTGTTTTTGCTATGCATCTTCTTCTTTGATGAAAGTATCCATTTTTCATTATGAGGTTTTAAAATTGGTTTTTAAAATCTGCTTTGATCTTTGAAATCCACTTCACCCATTGAGAATTTTTTAGAGTAAAACTTTTACTTTGCATTCTCTACTTGGTGAGATTTGGATTTTCATTATGAGATTTTGAAAATTGTTTATTGAAATCTACTGTGGTTTCAAAATTTACATCTAGGGTTTAGTTTAAACACTTCATCATCCTAGCTAGGTCAAATTCTTTGTTGATTTATTCAAGAGATAGAATCTATATTTCACTCATCGGTGACGATTGGTGCCATGAGGTGAAGAAGTTGATGGACTAGCTGCCATTTCCATTAAGGACAAGCTACTAGTTCAACTAAGTTTGGAGAAGAAGGTTGCACAAGGATGTAGTGCTCATTTCCTAAATAGACCTAGGATTGTTTGAGCTTGTAATTACTTTTTCTGTAAGAATCTTCTTGACTTAGTGGATTGCCTGGTCGAAGTGATGACCCCCAATTTTTCCCAATGGTGGGTTTCTGGGTGAACATTTCTGGTGTGATGTTCTTGATTTTATGACTAGCCATACTGTATCTGTTATCTTTGGAATGTTGATGAATGTTCACACACCTATCACTCTAGTTGTTGCTAGCAAAGGGGATGCTTAGATTGACGAATCCTTCTAAGTGCCTAAGTTGTCACATAGTTCTCTTATAGGGTGGCAGGGATTTGAATATTTGATATGTTGGGAATCTGTGTTTTCCGTAAGTTCATAGGTCTATGACTAGTTGTTGACTAGTCATATTGTCTTTGGGTTTATTTGATCATTGTTGTCATACATCTTTCCATTGGGGTTTTAATTTACCTCCCTTCACTTAAGTACCAATTTCATTTCTAAAACTTAATATGAAGAGTGGTGGGGTGTATATATAGATGTAATAGGGGTAAGTATTAAGTTGGATGACTTTTTTTTGTCTTTTTACACAATAATAAAACTTAAGAGCTTAATGATTTAAGTATTTGGGTAAACAGAGAAAAGTGTGGGGTTTAAATAGAAAAACTCTATATTCCATAGCACGAGAGACAATAAATACTCACATTCATACATTCTTTTTGGTTAGGGTAAATTACTCAAATGGTCCTCAAACTTGTACGCGATTTACATTTTGGTCCCTAAATTAAATTATTAGTCCAAATGGTACATAAACTCTATTTTAATCGCCCATTTGATCCAACAGTTACATTTTCTGTTAAATGTAACCAAATTTTAGGGGCAAATACGACTTTTCATATTAACAAATAAAATAGGGTTAAAATAAATACAAAATTAGAAAATAATTGAAGAAAAAGAGAAAAAAAATCATGAGACCCAAACCAGGGCCCTTCGATTTATTCTCCCCAATTCCCTACAAATTTTGAACCATTTTTAGGAGCGCATCAATGCTTTAGATCGCAAGTTTTCTTGGGATCTCAAGCCCCATTTGTTGTGCCTAGACGTTCTTGATCCATGTAAATCAGGTACAAGTTTGAGGACCATTTGAGTAATTTACCCTTTTGGTTATCAACTAGTTCTTAGTCCTGTAGTGTCCTTTATTTTATTCATTGAAAAATGTTTTAAATTCAAAGACTGATAGAAAAAGAATAATACATTATTTTTTGTTTTATTTAAATAAAGACAGTCGATTACTTGACAAAACCCAATATAGTTTACTTTTAATATTCAACTGATGTACAATAAATTAATAATATAAAAAACATAACATAACACACAATCAGTGGCAAACTAATCACTCGCAACTCATAATCTTCATGGTTCACCTGATGCGTTGCGTTCGGTGCTCTGCCAGTGCCAACATCACGGCCAGTCCCATTTCTCTATTTCTCTTACAGTTTTGGCTTCCTTTTGCCTATTGTCCTTTCAAACTACTTGTTTAATTTATTTATTTATATACTTGATTGAACATCTTGGGAACGAACTAGCAGCATCAGATTAAGAGCGAAACCAAGTAGAAAGAGGAGTTGCTTGAATGTCCACGACATGATCACTAAAAGGGAAGCAAACACACAAATTTAAGTAAGGTTTTTGTGTTCAATGGATATCCCTTTTACATATATATAGAAGTAACATTGCCCTAGTGGATCATCTTGTTATGTCGGATGTGGCTTAACTCAAGTCTATGGTGATGACTGGTGACCCTTTTACGATATATATAGAAGCTACTGCCAAGTCAGGGTTCACTAATATACAAAGTTACATCGCATCATGACTTGGTCGTCTTGTAGGCCTCTTGCGCGACCGTCCGTGCCAGAAACATCATCGTATCATATTATATGGTGATGACTGGTGACCAATTTTACGAAGGCAATTGTGTGGAAATTTGGGTTTGATTAGAGAAGACTTGTTAAACTGAAAGCATTAGATATTAATAATGGATATGGTGCAGTCCTCTAATCAACATTAACCTGCCCAGTAACCCATGTGTATGGTGTCCAAGCTTTATACTGCTTAAATATTGAGCATTGACTTTGACTCGGTTCGTGTGTACCTGTAAATGTGTTATTTAAACTATTATTTAAAATTTGTTTTGGCTGAGGGAGGGAGAGTCATAAGAGTCACGCCATGGTCAATGATAACCATTTACTCACAGTGAACCAAAAAACGCGGTGACAGGGGATAACCAGGGGTGTTTGTTGCCGGGTTGCCCAAACAGGTGACCGGGGTTTCATCAGCAGAGCATGAGGAGGCTGCTGTGATGTTTGCTGAAATGTTAGCCTTGGAATTTTAGGGAGACTCTATTAATGTTGTGGTGAATTTTAGGCGATACTTCAGCGGGGTTAAATTTTTACGCACTCGTTGTAGCACATAAGACTGTCAGATGTGCTCTATTATGTGTACTCTCATGTTGTAATGAGTGAGGTGGTTGCAATTGGAATCACATATTAAGTTTCCTACTTCTTTCTAATAATAAAGTTTCCCTCTTACCATTGAGCTTTACAAAATAAAAAAAAATAAAAAAAAATAAAAAATAATAAAACAAGAGAATGGAAACAAGAAAATTGAAAACTCTGGAGACGGGGCCTAATATTTATGGTAATATGACCTTTAGTTAATACAAGAACAGAGCTCAAACAAGAGTCCTAATTCATGGACTTGAACAACATCCAAGAAAAATGGAAGATTACAAACTTGGGAGATGAAGCCTAACATCTGTGATGAGAAGAACTTAAATCAATACTAGAAGTCTAGGACAGAGCCCAAACAAGAGCCCAAATTCAAGCTTCTTTTCATGATTAGCTACAGAGGCACAATGGAACTCAAGCAGAAGCATTATGTACTAGTACCAGTACTACCTCACGGAGGGAGTTAGCCTAACGATCGAATTGTCAGCCATTAACTCATTGAAATTATTGAATTCAGCCACACGGCTATGATTTGTTCGAGCACATTCTGTTGCCAAACACTCCTTCAAATCCACCACTACTTGGCTCATGCTTGGCCTCTTGATGGCATTTACGGATACACATGCCATTGCTATTTCCACAGCTTTCCAGACGGAGTTGGTATTGAAATTTCCCTCTAACCTAGGATCGACGATGCTGTTAATGTCTCCATTTGCAAGCATGAGACCAACCCATTGACTTATGTGAATTCTCTCATGCGTCACCGTTAAAACCGGTCTGCTTGTGATAATCTCCAACAGCACAACCCCAAAGCTATAAACGTCACTTTTCTCATTTAACCTGTTTGATAGGTAGAACCTGCAAGCCAAACCATACATGGAACTAATCAGATCACATTTTCTGATGCAAAGGACTTCGCTAAAATGTCCACTTATTTTTTCTTTATCTTCTTGCTGTTTTAGTTAATTTGTGTTTGCTTCCAAGACTTGTTGTGAATTTAAGTACTAGTAAAGATGATAATGGGAAAATTAAAAGTGTGAAATACTTACTCAGGATCAAGGTAGCCAGGAGTGCCAGCAAGAATGCTGGATGCACGAGTTCCATCATTTGTAGGGAAATTTCTAGACAGTCCAAAATCAGATATTTTGGCTTGTAAATTTTCATTCAGCAACATGTTTGTTGATTTCACATCTCTGTGCATTATAGGCGGCTTACAACCACAATGCAGATACTCCAATCCTGCATTTTAAAATTCTTACATCGCTCACACAAAACTTCAAACAAATAAAAGAGATTCTTGCTAAGAAAAGGATCATGGAAATCATTTTATTAGTTGCAGACCTTGTGCAGCATCTGTTGCTATTCGAAGTCTATCTTCCCAAGTCAAGATACTTGATCTGCTATCTGCATCCATAAGAAGAACAGAAGAACAAGGGAGCTCCAATCATATGGTGGTGGAAGAATTAAGTTACAGAGTTCCCAAAAATTTGGAAGTACTACTTGCAGTCAAACCTGAAAGATGGTTCAATAAGTTCCCATTGGCCATATACTCGTAGACAAGCCCTACGTTGGTTTCGTCATTGCAATATCCAACAAGGCTTGTCAAGTTTTTATGATGAACTCTCATAAGAAGATTAACCTGCAGTTTAAGAAGCCACAAATAAACACATGTCAATTCATTACATAAGATTGAGCTCAAGACATTGTGTTAGTTTATTTGATTTGACAAACATTGCCTCTGCACGAAATTGTTGGAACCCTTGAACAGATGATGCTGAAAGCATCTTTATAGCTACTTGAGTATGTTCCATGTAGCCATGATAAACCGTTCCAAATCCACCTTTGCCAAGAACCCTCTCAAAGTTGTTGGTCATCATTAGTATCTCAGAATACGTAAACTGTCGCTTTGTTGATTCTAATGACCCATGAGGGCTGGCTTTTTCATCTATGACATCTCCTCCTAAGAACATGACAAGTTTAATGAGCATGTATCTTATATAACCAAAACCTTCAGTCTTCATCATTTATCGCCGAAGAAATTACTTTAACAAATATTGGAAGTCTTACCCTCTTGCCTATTCCTTTTGAGGCTCCACCACCAGATAGCTACTGCAACTAACAAGAGGATGGAAATTCCAGCGGTTGGCACTACTATGGGAATAATGAAATTGTGCTTCTTCTTTAATTTGCAAGAACCATTCCCAGATAGATGTGGATTATCGCACAAACTGAGATCAAATGGTTGGAAACTTCAGTTAGATTTGATAAATTCTAATCACTGATTTTATAAAATATAGATGTTATATATAACTCTCAAAAATCAGATTCTAAGGAAATACCAGATAATTATATAACTTTGGATTCTAAGGATATTTGAAAATTAAAATAGAAAGCACTTATGGTATGTTAATCGAAAATTAGAAGGACAATACAAAAGACCCCCCCAACTATAAGGTTATTTTCAAGTTCATACCCACCTTTGGGGGCATTTACAAGTACATACTCAAAGTTATGGAAAACCTACAAATTTCCCCCTCCGTTACACAAACCGTTAATAAGTCTATTAAATGCTGATGTGTCAACATAGGCCCCATTTTTAATGACATGGAACTCCAGATGGACAAACAAATAATAAAAAGATTCTTTACTTTTTTAAAAATTAAAAAGAAAGAGAAGACAAAAAATATCTTCCTTCCTCCTACCCAGCAACGCCATCAGCAACCCACCCCTTCCAACCACCATTGAAGCCACCCCGATGCAAACCCCACCCCACTCAAACCCCCACTACAGCAACCAAACAACTTGGGTGGTATTTTCCGTGACTTTGATTATGTACTTGTATATGAACTTGAACTGACCCTATATATAATTTGGGGGTTCTTGTTGTAGTTTGTCCAAATTAAAATGGAAAAGACTCAATTTTAGGGTGAGCCAAACACTGAATTTGAAGGGCTTGATTTACTAAGAAAGGCATACCTTAATAATAGGAAACCATTATTCTTTCTTTCAATCAGTCCTACCGGAACCGAGCCTGTGAACTTGTTTTTCTCCAAGTTTCTGCAAAGATAAAATCTATCACGATGCTTTCTAACAAACTAAGCATTTACAGTACTTTAGACATATAACCAAATAACTTACAGGACAGTCAAATTCTGGAATTTAGACAAAAATTCTGGAATTGGTCCTGTTAAGTTGTTGTTTGATAGATCCCTGAAATCATGAGCAGCTCAATTCATTTAAATTAAACTGATTGTCTACCTTCTCATTACATTGGTAAGTACTCGTTTAGCAAATTCAGTAAGACATATATACTTACAAAGACTGTATCATTGTGAGATTGGATATAGAAGCAGCTATCTCCCCTGTTAAGCCACTCGAGGACAAGTCCCTGATTGTATGTTTTGTTAACTTCACTAGTGAACACATGAGGTAGAATTAACTCAAATCAGAAGAAGTTTGTTTGAAGTAACATATACTTACAAGGATATGATTCTTGGTGACTCAAATTCTTGATAGTTACACTTTACTCCTTGCCAAACGTAATCTTGAGGGGCACATGGATCTCCTTGCCAATTTCTTTTAATATTATAAGTTGACTTGATCGATGTGATTGCATCAACTAATATTTTCACACGCAAACAGAAGATTTCATCAGAAGAATTCATATGTACACTTCCATACTGGTAAGGTACTAAATGAGAGGAAGCTACTTGTGTAAGGAAGAACTAATTAGTTAGTGGTTACCATCTTCTTGGTTTGTTTCTGCTTCTACGAACTGTTTAACCATATAAATCTCGAAAGCATTGAGGACAGGTGGAAGGGTAGAGTTCTCAGCCCTGGTAACTGAAATTTTAACATATTTTCCACCAGTGCTCCAAGCTTCAGTGTCGTAAACGGTATATCTTGACAAGTATGGAGGAGCAAATGGCCCAAAACTGCCGGCTTCTTCCCAAGAAACGTATTGCCATCTAGATTGGTTGAGTTGGAGGCTTTCAACTTCTGCAAAGTGCAGGTAGCTGTAATATTCAGCATCTTTGTCAGGCAACGATAAAACAATACTCAAGGAATCACTTGGATTTTTTGGCGTTGAAGCAGTACTCATAACAACAGATGGTAGTTGGTACGGGTCGTCAGATTCAGACTTGATGGTGGATGAGGTGTCTAATTGTGTCCAATCATCGAGGTCATAGGCATCCCAGAATCGGTCAAGAATATCGAATGGATACCTAATCAAAGCCAAAGTACCATCAGAATATAATAACAATTAAAAGTTTCAATGATTGCAAACACACACACACACACACACATATATATGGGGGAACTCATAGCTAACTAGGAGGAGACTCACCTAGTTTGCGTATTAGGTCTTTTGCCCGTGTCACATCGGGAGACAAGTGTCAATGGCCCCGTTTCCGTTTCATAAGATGCATTAGGTAAAGGCCTGAGTTCTAAAGCAGATATAAACGGAACCCCAGAGCCTGTGTTCACCAAACAAACATGTATATAGTTTCGGAGTGGGACATATATGAGCTCTTTGTCCGTGTCTGCATCGGAGGCATTTTCAAACCTAACCGTATCCCACAAATTAGGTCCAAGGTGCAGTGCAAATTCTGGTATCTTATCTGGGCCATCATAATTCCCATATACGAAACTTGCTCGGATCAAATATTTGTTGCCGCGTGTAACATTTATCTTGTAGCAATTCCTGGCTCCTTCGGGGAAGCTCCTAACAGACCCGTATGGCTGTTGATACTCATTTCTGTAACTAGGCGATGTGGATTTACTTTCACCGGTGTCTATGAAGGTTGCATCGGAAATGTAATTAATGCCAGTGCCCGTTTCAGAATAACCTGAATCTGTCTGGAGGCCACAATCTATGCTAATGAATCCTGAGATATATAAACACACATATGTAAGAAAGAGAGGTATATATCTTAGCTATATACTATGCTACCAAAATTAACGATTTATTTTTTCTTGCTGCTGATATATTTACCTGATTGATCATCTCGGGAATGAACAAGCAGCATCAGATTAAGAGCGAAACCAGCAACCAGAAAGAGGAGTTGCATGGACGTCCACGACATGACTACAAGGGAAGCAATAAAGACACAAACTTAAGTATTTTGTGTTGAATGGATATCCTTTTATATATAAAAATAACATAAGTCAAGCCTACGCTTTTTGTCTCATGTCTCAAAGTCCATTTTTCAAGTGGTGTAAAAACTTTAGTTAATTTGTGCACGAACACTTGTTTGTAATTTCTTTTGGTTATTGGTAGAATTTTCTGTTCTGTGCATAAGTTACCAACTAGGGTGGCGCTACAGCCAAGTCAAGTCAGTCCTACCGCAATTAGATTTAAAAAAAAGATGCATGATGATGAGCATCATTCAAATTGGGTTGCTAAGCTAGCATTGATTATACTTTTCGAGTCACAATTTGATGAGCTCTCTCTATTTATGATTATACTTTGCGAGTCACAGTTGGAACAGTTCTCCCATGATACTGAAGATCATTGTTCCTGGTCCATATGTGCCATGATTTATGGACGGTCAGGATCTACAATAAAGTCTGCTACATAAAGTCTTCCAACTTCGTAGTACATGAAATTCAAAGTGTGCTACATAAAGTCTTTGTGGTATAAACTTCGTACATAAAATTCAATTTCCTTTCATTTTCATGTCTGCCGTCAATTTGCTATCAAAAAATCTGTTAACTCATGATGTGGCAATAAAGAGACCCACAAATTATTTTAAAATAATAAATACATTTATAAAGGATTAGAATCAGCCCTTACGCCCAATTCACCACCTACATCTAATTCCGTTAAAATTTCCGTTAAGTGGAATTTCATTTTCGTCAGTTCACTAAAAAACTAATTTTAAAAAACATAGTTTTAAAAATAAAAAAGAAGGGATATAGAAGCAGAGACAAAATGGAGACTCTGGCAGTGTCTGCGGAGCAAGTCCATGTGTTTCCTCACCCTTCAACGCTCAGCAGCTGAGAGAATCTGCAGCTTATCTTACGACCACCAGAAGAATAGCCGTTTTCTCATATTTCCCATCTCGTCCTCATGCTAAAAGCTTCCACAAACCTCGCAACTTTCTTCTCCAGACATACAAAATGGTGAAACCTGATGGAGTTCAGCGTGGACTTGTGGGAGAGATAATCCAAGAGACAAAAGCAGAGTGTTTGTGGTCGGGTGTGGTGGGGGAAAGGGTTTAGGGTTTAGGGTAATGAGTATAATTAGGTGAATTTTATTTTTTAAATTCTGTTTCTTTATAATTCATTTTAGTCAGTTAATTGACGAAAATACCCTTAAATTTAATGGAAAATTTTAACGGAGCTAGACATAGGTGTTGGATTACAACACTTTACAAAGTTCAGGTAGTTAAAAATAAAAATTAAAAGTTTATGTGGTAATGACACACATACCTAAAGGTTTAGGTGGTATTTATGCAAATTTCCCTTTTTGCTTGAATATTGAGCATTGACTTTGACTTGGTCGTCGTGGACATACCTGTCCATGTCAATTAATGCCATGTTCTAGCTGTGAGTATGACCAATTGGCTTGCCTGGAAAATTTGGGCTTGATGTGGAAGGCTTGTAAAATAATTGATTATTGGACATTAATAATTGATTATTTACTAGTTATGGCCAATTTGGTATTGTTGTGCTGTGAAAATAATCGCTGTCAGATTTTCTGTGAGAGAAATCAACTGTGATATAAAGCAGTTTGGTATTTGATAAACTTTTTGTTAAAAGTGTTGTTGGTACTAATTCCTGCATAATCAGAAAATGATTCTTGCATAATTATCAAACCCAGCACCTCTTCAAAACTGATTCTCGCATAATCAGAAAATGAAAGCACCTCATTAGTTGCTTTCCCTTATAGCTTTCTCTCATATCAATTTTTAACAATAAGTGATTTTCTCATTGTTTACCAAAATGGCTGAGCTTCCCAAATTTTTTTAAAGTCACTTATCACCCCAAATAAGTAATGTCAAACGGGCACTTAATGAAAGTAGTTCTCTTTTTATTTTTATCTAAAGAAAATGTTTTATTTTTACCTAAAGAAAATGTGTTATTATTATTATTATTATTATTTGTCATTTTTTTTTGGCTAGGGAGGGAGAGAGAGTCATAAGCACTACTACAGAAAGGGTAATAGGCATCGGGGAAAAACCGATACCTTTTATTATCACATACCGATGCCTCGTAAGATGATGCTAAAGGGGGTTGTAAAAGGCATTGAGGAAAACCCGATGTCTTTTACAGAAACAACATCGATTTCTTTAACCAAAGTTTTGCGTCAACATCGGTTTCTAAAAATGTCAAAACTAAGTGAACACCAGTATTTTTATAATTATTTTTAGGTAAGATATATTTCTTGACCGAGTAATGCTAGAAAGTGAAGTATCCCATTAGCTAATAAAACATATTATTAGTACTAGAATGGTTTGGTATACATATCTTTGCTGCACGGTAGCTAGTCACTGTCGAAACTTCTAAAAAGTCGCATGTGAAATATATTATATGCACAAATTTCCCATTGATATAATATTAGGCTTCAATCACTGGCCAACTAGAGTGGCTAAACTATAATTAAGGTGATTCTAGAATGAAAGTTCTTATCCCATGATCAATTGTTAATAGCCCATTGATTATTATTAATTTTACCCATTGGACATTTTCCATGAGTAAGACTGGTGTAATTGTCAACTCTTTTTGTATTAGAAATTTTCTCGCACATCTGAGATTCTCAAAGGCATTGAGGAAAACCCGATGTCTTTTACAGAAACAACATCGATTTCTTTAACCAAAGTTTTGCGTCAACATCGGTTTCTAAAAATGTCAAAACTAAGTGAACACCAATATTTTTATAATTATTATTAGGTAAGATATATTTCTTGACCGAGTAATGCTAGAAAGTGAAGTATCCCATTAGCTAATAAAACATATTATTAGTACTAGAATGGTTTGGTATACATATCCTTGCTGCACGGTAGCTAGTCACTGTCGAAACTTCTAAAAAGTCGTATGTATATATTATGTGCACAAATTTCCCATTGATATAATATTAGGCTTCAATCACTGGCCAACTAGAGTGGCTAAACTATAATTAAGGTGATTCTAGAATGAAAGTTCATATCCCATGATCAATTGTTAATAGCCCATTGATTATTATTAATTTTACCCATTGGACATTTTCCATGAGTAAGACTGGTGTAATTGTCAACTCTTTTTGTATTAGAAATTTTCTCGCACATCTGAGATTCTCAAACTGATGCTTGGATTTCAGGTTGTGTAATTGGGTGCGGGTAGGGATGTACTTGAATTAGAAACTTAACAAAGAGCCCCATGAGTCTGTCCCAGTAAATCGATCAATCTTACGAGTGGTTTGAAATGCCTCTAGACATTATTCATAAAGTCTTGATTGAGGATAGTTGCAATTGGGATCACATATTAAGTTTCCTACTTCTTTCTAGTTTTTAATAAAGTTTCCCTCCTACCATCGAGCTTTTAAAAAAAATTAAAATTAAAATTAAAACAAGAGAATGTAAACATAACAGTAAGCAAGAAAATTGAAAACTTTGGAGACGGGGCCTAATATTTATGTAATATGACCTTAAGTTAATACAAGAACATAGATCAAACAAGAAGCCTAATTCATGGACTTGAACAACATCCAAGAAATATGGAAGATTACAAACTTGGAAGATGAAGCCTGACTTCTGCGACGTGAAGAACTTATATCAATACTATAAGTCTAGAACAAGCCAAAACAAGAGCCCAAATTCATGCTGCTTTTCATGATTAGCTACAAAGGCACAATGGAACTCAAGCAGAAGCATTATGTACTAGTACCAGTACTACCTCACGGAGGGAGTTAGCCTAACGATCGAATTGTCAGCCATTAACGCATTGGAATTATCCAATTCAGCTACACGGCTATGATTTGTTACAGCACATTCTGTTGCCAAACACTCCCTCAAATCCACCACTACTTGGCTCATGCTTGGCCTCTTGGTGGCATTTATGGATACACAAGCCATTGCTATTTCCACAGCTTTCCAAACGGAGTTGGTATTGAAATTTCCCTCTAACCTCGGATTGACGATGTTGTTAATGTCACCATTTGCAAGTATGAAACCAACCCATTGACTTATGTGAATTCTCTCATGCGTCCTCGTTAAAACCGGTCTGCTTGTGATAATCTCCAACAGCACAACCCCAAAGCTATAAACGTCACTTTTCTCATTTAACCTGTTTGATATGTAGAACCTGCCAGCCAAACCATATATACATGGAACTCATCAGATGACATTTTCTGATGCAAAGGACGTTGCTAAAATGTCCACTTATTTTTCTTTCCTAATTCTTCTTGCTGTTTAAGTTAATTTGTGGTTGCTTCCCAGACTTGTTGTGAATTTAAGTACTACTAGGGAAATTCCCAGACTTGCTGTTTTAGTTAATAATGGGAAAATTAAAAGTGTGAAATACTTACTCAGGATCAGATATTTTGGCTTGGAAATTTTCATTCAGCAAGATGTTTGTTGATTTCACATCTCTGTGCATTATAGGCGCTTACAACCACAATGCAGATACTCCAATCCTGCATTTTAAAATTCTTACATTGGTTACACAAAAATTCAAACAAATAAAAGAGATTCTTGCTAAAAAAAAGGGTCATGAAAATCATTTTATTAGTTACAGACCTTGTGCAGCATCTGTTGCTATTCGAAGTCTATCTTCCCAAGTCAAGATACTTAGTCTGCTATCTGCATCCATAAGAAGAACAGGAGTGTAAGCCTTGTTTCTTTCTGTCTTAACTTACAAAGGTGCCCCAATCATACGGTGTGGTGCAAGAATTAAGTTACAGGGTTCCCAAAAATTTGGAAGTACTACTTGCAGCCAAACCTGAAAGATGGTTCAATAAGTTCCCATTGGCCATATACTCGTAGACAAGCCCTACTTTGGTTTCGTCATTGCAATATCCAACAAGGCTTGTCATGTTTTTATGATGAACTCTCATAAGAAGATTAACCTGCAGTTTAAGAGGCCACAAATAAACACATGTCAATTCATTACATAAAATTGAGCTCAAGACATTGTGTTAGTTTATTTGATTTGACAAACATTACCTCTGCATGAAATTGTCGGAACCCTTGAACAGATGATGCTGAAAGCAACTTTATAGCTACTTGAGTGTGGTCCATGTAGCCATGATACACGGTTCCAAATCCACCTCTGCCAAGGACCCTCTCAAAGTTGTTGGTCATCTTTAGTATCTCAGAATATGTGAACTGTCGCTTTGTTGATTCTAATGACCCGTATTGAGGGATGGCTTTTGCATCTATGACATCTCCTAAGAACATTACAAGGTTAATGAGCATGTATCTTATACAACCAAACCTTCAGTCTTCATTATTTATCGCCCAAAGAAATTACTTTAACAAATATTGGAAGTCTTACCATGTTGTCTTTTCCTTTTGAAGCCCCACCAGCAGATAGCTGCTACAACTAATAAGAGGATGAAAATTCCAGCGATTGACACTACTATGGGAATAACGAAACTGTGCTTCTTCTTCAATGTGCAAGAAACATGTTGAGATAGATGTGCATTATCGCACAAACTGGGATTTGATAGAAAATGCAGTTAGATTTTGATAAATTATAATCACCGATTTTAATATCCTCTGTAATCAGATTCTAAGGAAATACCTGAAAATCAGATTCTAATTAAATATTTTGGATTCTGAGAATATTTTAAAATTAGAATAGAATAGAATAGAAAACACTCAATTTTAGGGTGAGCCAACATGGAATCTGAAGGCCATGATTTTCTATGAAAGGCTTACCTTAGTGATAGAAAACCATTATTCTTTTTTTCAATCAGTCCTACCGGAACCGAGCCTGTGAAATTATTTTTCTCCAAGTTTCTGCAAAGATCAAATCTATCACTGTGCTTTCTAACAAATTAAGAATTTACAGTACTTTAGACATATAACCAAATAACTTACAGGACAGTCAAATTTGGGAGTTTAGACAAAAAATCTGGGATTGGTCCTGTTAAGTTGTTGTTTGATAAATCCCTGAAATCATGAGCAGCTCAATTCATTCAAATTAAAACAAATACTCATTTATTACATTGGTAAGGTAAATACATTGTCTACCTTCTCATTAATGACATTGATAATTACTCATTTAGCAAATGCAGCAAGACATACTTACAGAGACTGTATCATTATGAGATTGGATATAGAAGCAGCTATCTCCCTTGTTAAGCCACTCGAGGACAAGTTCCTGATTGTATTTTTTGTAGATTCAATAATTAAGACATGATGAGGTATAATTAACTCAAATATCAGGAGAAGTTTGTTTGAGGTCATATATATATACTTACAAGGATATGATTCTTGGTGACTCAAAGTCTTGATAGTTACACTTTACACCTTCCCAAACGAAATGTTGAGGGGCACATGGATCTCCTTGCCAATTCCTTTTAATTTTGTAAGTTGACTTGATGTATGCCATTGCATCAACTAATAATATTTTCACATTCAAACAGAAATTTCATCAGAACAATTTATATATATACCTGCGTACTGGTAAGGTACTAAATGATGAATCGACACGTGTAAGAAAGAACTAATTAGTGGTTACCATCTTCTTGGCTTGTTTCTGCTTCTATAAAATTTTTAACCATATAAATCTCGAAAGCATTGAGGATGGGTGGAAGGGTAGAGTTCTCAGCCCTGGTGATTGAAATATTAGCATATTGTGCATAAGAACTCCAGGCCCTAGTGCTGTAAATGGTATAGGACAAGTAATGAGGAGGAGCAAATGGCCCAAAAGTGAGGCGTCCGTTCCTAAAAATGTATTTGTAACATCCCACATCGATCAACGGAGAGGGGGTGATGTGCCTTATATGTACATGCCCGCTTCCATCTAGCACAAGGCCTTTTGGAAACTCACTGACTTCGGAGTCATGGGAACTCCTAAGTTAAGCGAGTTGGGGTTAGAACAATCCCAGGATGGGTGACCCACTGGGAAATTGCTCGTGAGTTCTCAAAAAAACAAAACTGTGAGGGCAGAGAGAGGGGCCCAAAGCGGACAATATCGTGCTACGGCGGAGTCGATCCCGGAATATGACAATTTGGTATCAGAGCCACTCTGCCGTCACTACTACATTTTAGTCTTTGCGCGACGAAAGGGTATTCGTCGCGCAAAAATGATTTTAGTCGCACATCATTATGCGCGACAGAAGTTTCGTCGCGCACAGTCCGTCGCGCAAAGTTCGTGAAGAAAGGATTTGCGGGACGAACAAATGTCATTCGTCGCGCAGTTTGCGCTACGTATAACAACTTCGTTTCAAAAAACATTTGGGGACGACCTCATTGTCCGTCGCACAAATATTTGTGCGACGAAACAGCGGTCGTCGCAAAAAAAAACTGCGCGACGGACTACATGAACCTTACGCGACGACATCTTATTCGTTTCGCATACACATCTTGCGCAACGAAATTACTCGTCGCGCAAGATTAAAATATGTTTGTTGATTTGTTATTTAAATGTTTTTGCGCGACGATTTACGTTTCGTCGCGCAAAAGCAATATATATTATTTAAAAAAATTTATTATTATTTGATTTTTAATTTTGTAAAAAAATAAATTTTTTTTTTTAATTAAAATGAAATTACAATTAAAAAAATTAATCGTAAAGAAAACATCTATTATATAAAATAAAATAAATGTATACAAATTGTAAAAGTAATTATAAAAATAAAAAACTAATCAAATAATGTTCCGAAATCTACTTGGTCGTCTGCCACATGCGGCTCGGAGGTATGGGTGTCTGCAGGGGCCGTGGTGTGCTGGGGATGCTCGGGGTGGACGGGCTCGGAGGTCGACCCACCAAATGTCGGGATTGGAATGCCGGACCGCGCGAGGGACTGCAGAATCACCGACATCTGACCCTCAAGCTCGGCAACCCGCGATGTCAAAACAGTCACCTGACTGTTTGCCTGCGACGATGACCGCGGTCGAGGTTCCCTCTGTCGGGCATTCCCCATCCCTCTACAATACGTTCCCGGCCTCCTCCCGAAAGTCTGATCCAACGTCTGCGTCAAAATCTGAAATCCAGCATCATGCGGAGGATCCACAGACTCGATCGGAGTCTCGGGAGGAAGTTGGGAGGCGGACTCTTGAAGAACCAACTGGCTCCTCTCCACCATCGTCGTCTGTTTAACATTACATAAAATATAAATTCAAAAATGCATATAAATTGAAAGTGGAACATAAGAATTAAAAATACATAATACTTACATGAAGGGACTCGGCCAACTCATTCCCAGGTCGAACATAAACGTCACCAAAGACGTCGATCTCTGGGAATTTCGACCCCCCCTTAATTGAACAAGAGAAGGAAAATATTAGTATGAACAAAAGAAATTAATAATAATGACGTATTAAAAATTAAATATAAATTATATTATTCTTACCCGACGCCGTGCATCCATCCTATATGAGAAGGGCCTGGAGCCGGAATGGTGAAGAAGAGTCTTCTTCTTCCTATTGCCCTTATTCACTTGGGCTTTATTCTGTTATACAAAAAATAAAACGTAATAATTGAACTATAAATAAATTAAATAATAATGAGATATAAAAAATAAAATAAACATTAAACAAATATTATTAAAAAAATACCACATAATCGGGCGCCTGAAAATGAGCGCAGAGCCACGCCCAACTATCCTCCCGCCCCTCAAGCTCCTTTGGGCAACCCTCCTGAAGAGCGACTTGCGGATTATCAAACGCCTGGAAATGGTGGTGCAAGTCGCTCTTCCACTGCTTGTACCTCTCACCGAAGAGTCTGTTGACGTACGCCAAAGTCTCCTCGTTGATGTCCTCTAAGTCGTAGTTCGTCTGCAATAAATTGATTACATACATTAAGTAATAGAAATATATAAAGTTTGAAAGAAAAATAATTAAAAGATAGGAAACATACCGACAACTGGCCGCGAACTTGCATCTTGATCTCGTCAGGTATGACCTTCCAAGACTTCCATTGCATCGGGCAATGGGTCCGAACGACGTGCCCAATGTCGTGGGCCAAGGAGCTATGCAAGTCCGCCGTCGGTGCAGCCCGATGGCGCTCGTCATATCCGATGCTGATACGACTGTTGGTCACCCGGGTGACCTTCGCCGTCTTCAGCTGCCGACACGGCCCTCGGGTGTTCCTCTTGGCTGCAAAGGGATATGACAATATTGTTACATATACAATCAAATTGAACCATAAAATTCCCAATTAAAAAAATGTTAAAACAAAAAAAATGAAAGGGGAAGGGTATTACCTGTAGGTGCCCCCGAGGCACCAGTACAGTCAGTGGATGTGGTGTCGGTGGTGGTAGCGGGCCGGTGTCGCCGCCTAGCGCTAAGAGGCTGCACCACCGAAGAAGATGATGATGCAGCCGCCTGGGATCCCCCAGGACCAGCTAGCACGTGGTCCTGCTCCATCAGTGCTGGAGCAGTGGCAGCTGATACCGGCTGAGCCGGGGGCTTCGAACTCGGTGTAGCCGTCACCGCCCTACGACGTCTAATCAAGTCTGACATCTGCACAATTTCATTAATCCAATGTAGAACATACAATGTCAGTAAAAAATTGAACTAACTAATTAAAATAATAGTTTGACCTAGGGTTTGCGATTTCGGAGTATCCGGGACTCCGATCCACGATCCGTCGATTCCTAAACGATCCTATAAATACATGGTACCACATAAGTGAGTTTCAGCTCGATCCAACGGTCCGAACATATCAAACCCTAAAATCGCACAATAGGTTCGAACCGTTCGAGACTCAAACGATAACCAAATTCCAATCCGAGCACACCTACGCGCTCGTGACAACGAAATGTTTGCACTGGGACAAAATGCCCTATGCCACAGTACCCCACGCGCCACCACACGCGCCGGCAGCGCGTGGGTGCCCTAAGCGATAACAATCCCCGGGAAATCCTACAAATTAAGGGGCAAGGTTCCTACCCTAGGTTTAAACATCAATTGGAGGCACTTTTGTTCTCGGACCTACCCCGAAAAACGGACGGAAGTGGCCGGAATTTCAATTTCAAAACCGGCCGAAACCTAGGGTTTCAAATTGACTACCCTATGCACACAATCAATCAAATCCTACACAACCATCAGCTAGAGATGAAAAATAGCCCAGAAAGCATACCTCAATTGCCGGATTTGGTGCCCGGAGGAGAGAGAACAACGGCGGCGAAGATTCGGCCTAAACGGAGCAATTCACGGCGGCAGGATGGACGGCGACGGCGGAGAAGGTCCTGGGATCGACGGTGGCGGCGGCAGGGTCTGATTTGGGGCGGAGTAGGGGCTGAGGTCACGGCGGAGAGAAATGGAGGTTTAGGGTTCCGTTTGAGAAATTGGGGAAGAAGGAGAAGATCGCGATTTTCAGAAAACTTATTCGACTTTGCGCGACGAATATCTATATCCGTCGCGCAAACTTCATTAAAATAACCTTTGCGCGACGCAAAAGTGAACTTTTCGTCGCGCAACATTATAAAAATTTGACCTTTGCGTGACTTTAAACCTTGATTTCGTCGCGCAAAGTTGTGAATAGATATACCTTGCGCGACGAAACAACTAGTGTCGTCACGCATACTTGTCCAGCCGCCCAAAATTTTGGGATTTGATTTTGCGCGGGAAAAATCAATGCAATGAGATTGCGCGACGAAACCGTATTCGTCGCGCATGCTAGCTGTTGCCAAAAAATTTTGCGCGACGGCTGGTCACGGGTTCGTCGCGCAATCTGGCTTTTGCCCAAAAAAATTTCACCAAGTGTTGGAGCGGAGAGGGGAGGGAAATTTTTTTATTGATTTTGCGCGACGAATGGGCACATATTCGTCGCGCAAATTGGCATTTTCCAAAAAAATTTCACTAAGTGTTGGAGCGGAGAGGGGAGGGAAATTTTTTTATTGATTTTGCGCGACGAATGGGCACATATTTGTCGCGCACACTGGCATTTTCCAAAAAAAATTTCACTAGGGTGTATCCAATTCTAACTTTTAATGACTTTTAATGAATTTAAAAGTCTGAAGGTATTCAATTGTGACTTTTAAATAGTCTTTAAAAGTTTAGTTGTATTCAATTGTGAGTTTTAAAGAGTATTTAAAAGTTTTGAGGTATCCAAAATGTTAATGACTTTTAAAAACTTTGTTAAATAAATGACTTTTCAATACTTTTAAAGGTAATTCTTACTACCAAAAGTCTTGCTAATTTACACCAGACTTTATGAAAATATTGGGAAGCTGAGAAGATAGAAACAAAACGTCTCCAAATGTCTCCAATTCTTTCTTCCTTTGTTATATCAAGCATCAAGCAGATGGATCTTTTTTCTTCATGGTTAGGGCTCCACTTTGGTATCCCATTGTCATCCACTTCCTTTAGGTTAGTAAAAAAATATTGAATGTTTTTCTTCTCTTCTCATCCACACGTTTCTGTTGATGAATATCTCTTCTCATCCACTTCCTTCAGCTATGTTTGCATATAAATATTTTATTATATTGATTGTCTCATATGCTATGTTTGCATACAATATTTTATTATATAATTTTTTGCCCCTAAACCCATTAATTTATTCTTTAGGTACTGTTTCTTTACCCATAATTCGTTAGGTGGATAATTTTTTCATATAATATTCTCAATTTGATTACATCCCACATATTAGGTTAGGAGAATTGCTGGAATATAGACTCTTGTAATCTGACCATTTATGTTGATTTGTGAGTGTTTATGAAATATTATTGATGACTGAGTAATATTTATTTCTTTTGATAAGAATATGTTACTTGTCTATGTGATTAGATTTGATAAATAAAAATTTAAAAGGTGCATTGGATGCAGTTTACCAATAAGCTATTATGAAAATATACACAATTAATAAGGATTTGTACGTGTGATATAGTAATTATCAATGGAAGAATCACAACGAGGAAGCGAGGAAGTGACCCTGAAACCGCAACTGAGTTGTTCAATCTTCGCCATGCTTCTTTGAGGAATGTAATTGAGAGGATATTTGGGATATTTAAATCAAGATTCACAATTTTCAAGTCAGCACCTCCATTCCCATATAGGACTCAAGCAGAGCTTGTGTTAGCTTGTGCAGGACTACATAATTTTCTTCGTAGGGAATGTCGTTTTGATGAATTTCCTATTGAACCAGAGAACGAGTCTTCATCATCTTCACCATTACTAGGGAATGAAGGAGATAATGTGGAACAAGTTTTTGAAACTCAAGAATAACAACGAGAGAATGCTAATGAATGGAGAGTTGGTATAGCTTCTGACATGTGGAGAAATGTCATGCAAGATAATAACGGAACTCAACGGTAATGAGCATTGGAATTTTCAAAAGGAATTTGTATTATGGTTCATTCACCGTCATTAAAATGAATCATGGCTAAGCTTTTTTTAAAACTGAATCATGGCTAGTTGAATGCCAATTATTTCCTTATGGTACATTTTCAAATGTACTTTGTCATTTTTATCATTTTCTAATGTTAAGGAGAACTATTCTTTGCTTTTATGTAATTGTATCCAATTGTTTTTTTCCCTAATTTTTTGTTCAATATATGCCGACTAGTTCATTCAACATAAAAGATAAATGCTATTTGTAAAATAAATATAAAAATAAGTATTTAAAAGTCTATAAAACTCTATGACAAAAGTATATGAAAGTTTGTCACTTAACTTTATAAAGTATGTAAAAGTCATTAAGAATTTGTCTACTCTAGAAAAGTCATTCACTTAAAAAAAGTATTTAAAAGTTAGAATTGAATACACCCCCCTAAGTGTTGGAGCGGAGAGGGGAGGGAATTTTTTTTATTGATTTTGCGCGATGAATGGGCACATATTCGTCGCGCAAACTGGCATTTTCCAAAAAAAATTTCACTAAGTGTTGTAGCGGAGAGGGGAGGGAATTTTTTTTATTGATTTTGCGCGACGAATGGGCACATATTCGTTGCGCAAAACCATACCCTAGTACCCTAAACCCTAAAACTTGTACCCTAAGCCCTAAACCCGAACTCCTGAACTAGTTTCAATGATCCAACCGGCAATCTTCTTTTTTCATAGTTCAAGATCGTATACGTCAAAAATCATAATGAATGAACATTCAGAGATTGAGTAACGGGACAAAACGTTTCGACGGTTCTAAACAAATTGTCCCGATTCAACGGTGATTTTAACTCCGATCTTGAAAATTTTTTACAGTTGCGGTTCTTGACCCTATATGAATACAGAGATGTAATTCGATCTTCAATTTCAGATATTTACAGTACAAGACATCACATAATCTTATGTTAGATTGAAGGAATGTATAAAGAAATTATTCAGTTTTTATGAATATTGTGTTTTTATGGAATACGTATTCTAGGAAACTAGTTTCAGTAATCTAGCCGTCAAATATGTTTGTTTATACTTCGAGATCTTATACGTCAAAAATGAGAAAAAAAAACATTCAGAGCTCAAGTAACGGGACAAAACGTTTCGACGGTTATAAACGAAAAGTCATGATTTAACGGTTATTTTGACTCTGATTTTGATGATTTTTTACAGCTATACTGTTTAACCCTATGTGAATACAGTGAACTACTTCGATCGTCAATTTCAACTATATACGTGTGTATAATTCAGAAATATATATATATATGTATATGTTTGCGCGACGAGGTCTGTTTTTCGTCGCGCTAAAGGCACTTGCGCGACGAAATTATTTGTCGCGCAAATGATAGAGTATGCGCGACGTGTACGTTATCCGTCGCGCAAAAGTTGCGCGACAATTATGCCTTCGTCGCGCAAGATTATTTGCATCACATATTATTAATCTGAAGTATTCATCATTACATATAATTAATTGTATGAAAGTATGATTTATTCTATTTTCTTTCGATTTGAGAATGGAAGGATTGTTGATAATCTTATGTTCTTTGTATTCATTTTTTCGGTTATATGGTTTTCATTTTTTAAAAGTTTTTGTGAAAATAAATTTAAATTTTATGATACAAATTAGTTGGCTATATTTATTTACCAATGGTTTATAACTACAATTATTTTAATAATGTTTCACTTGGTATCATATATAATGTTTGGATATAACAAGTACATATATGAAAACATTTGCATTACACAAAATATGTCCACTAACATAATAAAATTAAAAAAAAATTAATCATTCATCATCTGAACTATAATAACTTTCGTTATCGTTGCTATCATCACTTTCGGTCTCCCAATCCTCTTCCTCCTCCTCCTCCTCCGCCTCCTCTATAACTTGGTATTCGTCTGCGCATCTGTTCGGGTTTTGTATCCACCTTCTGTCCATAATTCCTGAAACCAGCATCACAACACAACAATCACAACAACTTCATACGAAGTTATAATGTCACCTTATGCCTCCGGTAAGGGTCCTATCCCATTCGGGAATGCATACTCCTGCCACGTAACCTACGACTACATGAGATTAGATTTCGACGTGGATGAATTTCGCCAGCATCTCGTTACAGTTCTTGAGGTGGCCATAGGTATAAATACCTATGTACCACCCGAAGAACGTACCGAGATGACAACGAAATATCCACAATCGAAACCTAATCCTGTAGCCATAGATTACGTGACAACACTATGCATTACCAAACTGTCCAAATAATGGGACAATTCAAGAATTAATTGGACCGCAGTCATGCATTACGCATCCATGCACGAAATCCAACTAATCTCGAACGGGAAACTAAGTGTTACTAAACATAAAAATAAAAGAACGAAGTTAATTTCAATTAACTTCGTACATCACAACAGATTGTACTACGTTACGCACAACATAATATAAATATAACTTCACAAGAATATTTTAAACATATATAAAACAAATAAAATACCTTCTCAATCGTTCTCCACTAATCGCTAATTACAAATATCCCTAACGAAAACAAATTAAAAAACCTTAGTACGAACTTAAATTAATACTTTTAAACTAATGACGAAAAATACTTACTCAATCAATGTATTGAAATCCCAGCAGCGGCAGAGAGGTTGAGAGAGAGGCAGAGGCAGAATGCTTTGTTTTTGCATTCTGCCTCTGCAATGGCAGAATTCTAATATGAAGAAGAAGGACTTTGCGCGACGAACACACTTATTTGTCGCGCAAACTCCCGTCGCAAAAAACCAAATCATTCGTCGCGCAAACCGATTTTTTCGTCGCGCAAACACCTGCCGACATCTAACTTTTGCGCGACGCTAGAACTTTCCGTCGCGCAAAATTGTCGCACAAAAACAAAATTCCGTCGCGCAAAACAAGATATTCGTCGCGTAAACGTTGAACTTTACGCGACGAACTGTAATTACGTCGCGCAAAAAAAATATCCCACCCAGGTCATTTTTGGCGCCAAAAAATAAAATATCTCTTGTTCTCTTACGCGACGAACCGTCTTTCCGTCGCGCTAAATAAGGGGACTGTCCTGTTTGCGCGACGGAGAATTTGTTCGTCGCGCAATGTTGCCTTTAGCGACGATATTTCTCGTCGCGCAAATGTTTCGCGCTAAAAAAATCCCCCCCGCTTTTTTTAACTCTGTTTGCGCGACGAAAAATTGTTTTGTCGCGCATATACATTTTGCGCGACGAAAAAGTTTGGTGGCGCAAATTTTCAGTGGATTGCGCGACGAATAGTTGTTTTCGTAGCGCAAGTATGGTTTGCGCGACGAGTTGTCCTTCGTCGCGCAATATTTCGTCGCGCAAATAGTGAAACGTAGTAGTGCGTGTGGTGTGAGTGTGCCGACGAGGACGTCGGAACTTTAAGGGAGGTGGATTGTAAGATCCCACATCGAGCAACGGAGAGGGGGTGATATGACTTATATGTGCACACCCGCATCCTCTCCTATTAGGTCTTTGGCCCATGTCAAGCCGAGTGACAAGCGCCAATGACCCCATTGTCGTTTGATAAGATGCATTAGGTAAAGGCCTGAGTTCTAGATAAGATATAAACGGAACCCCAGAGCCTGTGTTCACCAAACAAACATGTATATAGTTTCGGAGTGCGACATGTATGAGCTCTTTGCAAGTGTTTACATCGGAGGCTTATTCGAACCTAACTGTATCCCATAAATTAGGTCCAAGGTGTAGATCAAATTCTGGTATCTTATTTTGGCCATCATAATTCCCATATGCAAAACCCGCTGGCATAAAATATTTGTTGCCTGGTGTAACATTTATTGTGTAACAATTCCTGGCTCCTTCGGGGAACCTCCTAACAGACCAGGATGGCTGTGTATAGTTATCTCTGTAATCAGGCGATATGGATTTACTTTCGCCGGTGTCTATGAAGGTTGCGTCTGAAATATAGTTAATGCATGTTACCTTTCAGAATAACTTGAATCTGTTTGGAGGCCGCAATCTATGCTAATGAATCCTGAGATATATACACACATATATGCAAGAAAGAGAGGATTTAGCTTAGCTATACATTATGTTACCAAAAGTAGCAATTTGTTATCTTGCTGCTGATATTCTTATACCTGATTGACGATCTTGGGAATGAACTAGCAGCATCAGATTAAGAGCGAAACCACCAAGCAGTGCAAAGTGGAGTTGCGTGAATGACCACAACACACTACTACAAAACAACCCTTGCGCGACCAAATTTTGCGCGACGAAACTCAATACTTCGTCGCTAAAAACCTTGCGCGACCAACTTTTGCGCGACGAATTTTTTTTCGTCGCTCAAAGTCTTGCGCGACCAAATTTTGCGCGACGAAAAAAATTTCGTCGCTCAAAGTAACTTTGCGCGACGAAAAAAAATTCGTCGCTCTAAGTAACTTTGCGCGACGAAAAACAGTTCGTCGCGCAAAGCGACTTTGCGCGACGAAAAACAATTCGTCACGCAAAGCTACTTTGCGCGACGAAACAATTAACTTCGTCTCGCAAAGTCCTTATAAAAATAAATAAAATATTTTTTAAAATATTTGTTAGAAAAATATATTATTGTTTTTTGGATTGGGTTTTTATTAGAAAATATATTTTTTAAATTGACGATCGAATTAGTTCATTGTATTCATATAGGGTCAAAGAGTGTAGCTATAAAAAAATCATCAAAATCGGAGTTAAAATAACCGTTAAATCGTGATTTTTCATTTATAACCGTCGAAAAGTTTTGTCCCATTACTTGATCTCTGAATGTTTATTTCTTCCGATTTTTAGCGTATATGATCTCGAAGTATAAACAAACAAGTTTGACGGTTGGATCGTTCAAACTAGTTTCATAGAATGCGTATGCCATCAAAACAATATATTCACTAACAATTAAGAGTTTATTTATACTTTTGTTAAATATAACATAAGATTTTGTGGTATCCACTAGTGTAAATATTTTAAATTGAAGATCAAATTCAGTCATTGTATTCATATAGGGTAAAGGAGTGTAGCGGTAAAAAATCATCAAAATCGGAGTTAAAATAACCGTTGAATCATGATTTTTCATTTATAACCGTCGAAAAGTTTTGTCCCGTTACTTGATCTCTGAATGTTTATTTTTTGCGATTTTTGGCGTATATGATCTCGAAGTATAAACAAACAAGTTTGACGGTTGGATCGTTCAAACTAGTTTCATAGAATGTGTATGCCATCAAAACAATATATTCACTAACAATTAAGAGTTTATTTATACTTTTGTTAAATATAACATAAGATTTTGTGGTATCCACTAGTGTAAATATTTTAAATTGAAGATCAAATTCAGTCATTGTATTCATATAGGGTAAAGGAGTGTAGCGGTAAAAAATCATCAAAATCGGAGTTAAAATAACCGTTGAATCAAGATTTTTCATTTATAACCGTCGAAAAGTTTTGTCCCGTTACTTGATCTCTGAATGTTTATTTTTTGCGATTTTTGGCGTATATGATCTCGAAGTATAAACAAATAAGTTTGACGGTTGGATCGTTGAAACTTGTTTTTTTGAATGCGTATGCCATCAAAACAATATATTCACTAACAATTAAGAGTTTATTTATACTTTTGTTAAATATAACATAAGATTTTGTGGTATCCACTAGTGTAAATATTTTAAATTGACGATCGAATTAGTTCATTGTATTCATATAGGGTCAAGGAGTGTAGCTGTAAAAAATCATCAAAATCGGAGTTAAAATAACCGTTAAATCGTGATTTTTCATTAAGAACCGTTGAAATTTTTTGTCCCGTTACTAGGTCTCCGAATGTTTGTTTTTTACAATTTTTGGGGTATACGATCTTGAAGTATATACAAACAAGTCTGACGGTTGGATCGTTGAATGGTGTGTGTATATATATATATATTTACTTATTAAGTAGCTTTAAATTTATTTATTTTGTACGTATAACACTTAAGAAATTGGTATATACATTTATTAAGTAGCTTTAACCTTATTTATATTTTAAATCGTAAAAAAAATAATTTTATTATTCATAACAATTATTTTTATAAATATCGTGCTATGAACCAATTTTTTGTCTCTCAAAAGTTTGCGCGACCAACAATTCGTCGCGCAAAACTTTAAAAATTTGGGTGGGTACCAAAAATGGGACGCGGGATGAAAAAAAATTTTTTTTTAGACTTTGCGCTACCAATATATATTTTCGTCGCGCAAAAATTTGGCGGGTACCAAAAATGGGACGCGGGATTTTTTTTTTTTGACTTTGCGAGACCAATATACTAATATTCGTCGCGCAAAACTTTGCGCGACCAATACTCCAATATTTTTCGTCGCGCAAAGCTTTGCGCGACCAACAATGTCGTTCGTCGCGCAAAGTGATACGGTTTTTAAAATAAAAATAACTCCTCCACCATTTTCTCAATGTCTTTCTCTACTCTTTCCTCTCCTCTCTCTTTCCCTCTCCCCAAATCCCACCATTTCTCTCACCCTCACTCCTCTCACTTAATCTCTCATCATCTCTCTCTTCACTATCTCTTACTCTCACTCACTCTCTCATCTCTCTTTTCACTATCTCTCACTCTCACTCACTCTCTCATCTCTCTATCACTATCTTCTCTAATTCTCTCACACTCATTTCTCTCTCTCATTCTCACTCACTCTCAATCTTGCCAAAAGGTAGATTCTCTCCAAATTTTAATTTTTTTTTCATTAATATGTGTTTTTGGAGTTAGTTTTGAGTTTGTGTGGGGTTTGGGGTTGAGTAAAGGGGAGGGATTGGAGTTTGGGTTGGATTTGTGGTATAACAATTTTAGGGGAGATTATCCCTTTTATTTATTTATTGTACTTTGTTAATTTATGTGTACATTTTGAATATTATATATATATATATTTATTGGATAATTTGATCACTATTTTTCATATGTAATTTTATTTTGAATATGTCAATTTAAATTAAAGTAATTAAATTAAATTTAAAAAGTAAACATTTGAATAAATTAATATAATTAAATTAATATCAATTTAAATTAAAGTAACGAAAAAAATCATACAATTAAATTTAATTTAAAAATTAAAAATTTGAAATAATTAATATAATTAAATTAATATTAAAGAAATAATAAAACAAAAAGTCAAAAACCAAAATATTTCGTCGCGCAAAACTCTAATAATTTGGGCGGGTACCAAAAATGGGACGAGGGAATTTTTTAAAAAAAAATTTTAAAATTTTTTCGTCGCGCAAAGTTTTGCGCGACCAATATTTTTCGTCGCGCAAAGTCGCTTTGCGGGACAAATATTTTTTCGTCGCGCAAAGTCGCTTTGCGCGACCAATATTTTCGTCGCGCAAAGTTACTTTGCGCGACCAATATGTTTCGTTGTGCAAAGTCACTTTGAGCGACCAATATTTTTTCGTCGCGCAAAGTCTCTTTGCGCGACGAATGAAAAAATTTCGTCGCACAAAGTCTTTCTCCACGATCTTTGCGCGATGGAATCTGCGCGACGAAGTTTCTGTCGCGCTAAAATTTGTGCGACTATAATGTATTTTGCGCGACGAAATTTTCTTCGTCGCGCAAAGTGAAAAATGTAGTAGTGACATGACTACAAGGGAAGCCAAAGACACAAGTAAGATATTTGCGTTCGATGGATATCATTTTATATATATAGCGTTTGGTAGTTGCGTTCAGTCACTGCTGTTTTTTCAAAGCACAGACAAGCTTTTAGCTTAGGTTAAAGGGAATTGTGCTGCTTTAAAAAACAAAAAAAAAAAAAAA